ATTTGCGTTAATACTCGGATGTTTACCAAAATATTGATAGTACCTGCGCTTTGTGCCGCGCGCGTTGGTGTTGGATACACACGTGCGAGCAGAAATTGAAAGCATTGTAAGCCGCTCGGAGCGCCAGCGCGCCTCTAAAGGAAGATGATGATATATCTATATATTGCTAGCGAGCGCTTTTGGTGGAGGCGCCACGGACGCGCGCGTCACACGTTTGTGTGTGTCCTTTCACGCTGTGAGCGCGGACGAAATGTCGAGCGAAGCAAGACGGAAAACGTATAAATTTCCATCGTTGACGCGCTCACGGCACGAAGGACCTCTCGTCCTGCCGGCGTCCTTTTCGTCCTTCGTCCTTGGTCGTCGTCGTGTTTATGTGTTTAGATTGAATATTCATTCGTAATCATGTTTTAAGCTGCTTGAGAAATTTCGCTCGCTGCGCGTTACTTACTAAAATTCACTTTTTGCTCGGCCGGCGGAGGCACAGGGTGTTGTTTTTATTTAAATTGAAATTATTTTATCTGTCAAGTTTGTAAATTTAATGCGATTTGTGTTTACTATTAATATTGACTTGGCTCTGCGACTCCTCGCTGAAAAGGACTTTGCGACGACGATCGTAATCGAGCTGAAAATACTCGAAGCTCTCTCTGCGTTTACCTGGCGTTGTTGCAGGCAGAGAGCGAAGAGGCGGTTGAGACACACACGCCGGCATCCGTTTTCTCCTACGCGCCGGTTGGTTTCGCTTACTTTGCTTACCTTTGCGTTTGATTTTGCGTTGGATCTCGCAGCGGCAAAGACGCTTTGACGCCACCCTCTCTCGCTCGGAGCGTTTAAATCCGACTGTGTGCGGCAGTGCCGGCGAGATACGGACAGAATACACACGACGATCCTTTTTGCTGCGTGCATGTCGAAATTTATTTTCCGCGAAATTAAATCTAGTCATATGCCAACGCATGGGACATGTCTTCATCTCGAGCGCCCTCGGCGCTAAAGGTGGTGGTGGTGGTGGGCAGGGACGACGATTTTTTTTTATTTATCTTCTGCTGTTACTGACACGTGTCACACGTGACACATATCATTCAAAGATTTAGAGAAAAGCTTACAAATCGTAAAATACAATTTTTAAATTAAATTTATTCCGCCGGGATGAGCTTTATTAAAGAAAGTGAATTGGGGGGCCGGGTTTATATTAAAGAAGGAAACATTTTTGTGCTAGATTTTTCCAATACTCATCAGGAATGCGATGATTATCTTGCGTTTTTTTTTCGTGGCGCCGCTCTTCCTTAAATTCACATCAATTTGTAGTCGAAAATATCTAAATTGTTTCGGAGTTATGTCGCTAGGGAAAAATTCATTTCAAACTTTTTCGGCTCGGCTGCACGATGACGAAAAAAAATATGCGCGAGGGAGGAGTGTGGGTTTTCATCATTTTCGTCGTCGCATAAAAATAATTGCGTCGCGTAAAACGTGAGTAAAAAAAACGTTTTTTTTAAGGTTGGAATTTTATTATGTGATTATTTTTCTTTTCAAGTGTCGAAGTTTGGCGGCCTATAATGCTCGGGATTATTTGTGTGAATTATCTCTTGACGCGTGTGATGCCACGTGACGGCACGTGCGTGTTTAACGCGTCGCAGGATTTTCCACCGTTTAGTCACGCTGTGAATTGTTGGGTGTAACAAGCGTAATATTCACTATGAAGAATTTTTCAGAACAATACGCTGAAAGGTGAAAATTTTTATTCGCTGAGTTTTGACTCGTCTTTTGCTGGACCCATTCCACTATCACCCTTTGCTTTATTTACCTCGTCGAACATTGATTTTGAAAGGACGCGTCGAGTCCCTGGATGTCCTCTTGGGTGTTTTCGCGCTTCGGTGCCTGGTCGGCTCAGTCGGAAAATGTAGAAATCGAAAATCATAAATCATTTTGTTTTCCTTTTTATTTTCGCTAATTTGCTATAAAAAAAAATTAAGGAAACGATTGAGATGATGGCTAATGGTTAGTATTATGTGGTTGTGATATTATATAGAAACTTGTGTACACGTTGTACATGCGTGTGTGGATAGGGGATGAAAAGAAAAATGCAGCGAAGTGAAACACGACCGGTGGATCCATATCCTGACGCGCACCACATTCTCGCGCGCGCGAGTTTAGGCCTTTAGTGGCGAGGCACGCCATTGAGCTTTTTCTATGCCATTCTATAGAATGCCCGGCGCCTCCACCACATATCCGAAAAGAGGTTGGGAACGAGAGAGAGGTGGAAAAAGAAATGTGGAGAAAGTCGTGCGTCCTGCGGACGGAAAATGTAAGGAGTTTACCTTTTCCTATCTGTTCTTTTCTTCTCGCGCACCGTCGCTACCAAGGGAAGAAGGTAACTTCGCTTAAACTGAACCGAGAGCCGGGGCTGAAAGTATTATACCGCACGGGGAAAGACATATGTAAGGGATACTAACATATGAGGTTTATAAATACGAAAATGTATAAGTATAAAAAAGCTGGCTGAAGAAGTGGAGGGTAGAGAATGATGGCAGCAGGGGATGAAAAATGGCAGGACATTGTAATACACATGGTCGTGTCTTCTACGCTTTGTAAATGTTTTTTTTGTCGTCATCAATTTTTTTCTTCTTTCAATACACAAAAAGTGATAGTTTGGTTATATGAATTTTAAAATTTATGAAAAGTTCTTTTTTGAAGCGCATTATAAAGTGTTCACTTTAAAAGATTAATATTTCTTTGTTCTGTGCACGCGTTTGCACTGCGCCGCCATCTTGAATCACATTCAGTTCGCATCAGAACGCTGTTATTTTCTACTTTAGTTTATTTTATTAATAAAAACAGAATGAAAACATTTTTTATATTAAAAAAAATTCCGGTTATGTCAGGTGTGTGTTTGTGGTCTGGCGTGTTTGCAATTCCGCGAAATAAAAGCAGAAAGCCATATTGATTGTGTGATTTGGTGATTTTTCGCGATTTTTCCGGCAATTTTCAGCCCGAAAAAACAATACGATTTCATTGCGAATGCGTTTTAATTTTTTAATGTTATGCCGCGTTGAAACCGAGCGCGCACGAATAAAATGTAAATAAATTTCTATGAAAACTGCTGAAAATAGTGCAAATTCTATTTTTTGTTCACCTTTGCACTCTTTTGTTTTGGTTTGTTGTTTTGTGTTCGGAGCAAGGGGCGCGTTCACATATTGCGCATATTTAATTCAATCGTTTTCTGCTTTCATGCGCCGTGTAAAAATATATTTGTTGAAATTTTTTACTCTTATACTCGTAGATTTACAGTCAATAATGTTAAATTTTTATTTAATTGTATTTGAAGTAAGTTATTTTTGAAATCTGAATGAAAAATGTTTGAACGTCGTTAAAAAATGTTTTGAAACTATTTTTGGTTTGACTTCTTGTTTTGTGCGAACATAAGTCATACGAGTATTTCGCACATCTTGGCTCTCTTCCTGCGAGTTTTCCACCGGAAAACGTTAGGTGTTTCTATTCGTTTTTCATTCTCCGCAACTGTGTTCATCTCTATTCTCGGGTCTGCGTGCGCTTATGTTCAACTTTTTTCTCCTCTGCAATTTTTTACTTGAACTTTTCACTTCTACGCGTTTTTTTTTTCCTGCACTCGCCGTCTTCGTTTGCCTTCTTGCATCAGGTTTTCCACTCGTATTCAGCACTCCTGCTTAGCGCTTAGTGCTTGTTATTTGTTTGGCGCACACTTTGCGCGCTTTGTGACTCGTGCTTTCTTTCTTTTATTCGTCTTACATTTTCCCTAGCAGTAGAGTGCGTGTATATGTGTGTGGGCTGCATAATCACCTGCTGCTGCTGCTGCCGGTGGTGAACACTCGAACGATTCACCGGATGGCAAAATTCCAGATGCTGCAGCGCGACGCCTGCGAGAGTATTCAGGCCAACGACCGAGGCACGGAGGTGGTCGGAAAATTCGCATTTTCACCTTTGAGCTTTCGAGTGATTCGAAAGCAACGCTTTTGTTCGGCGCGGCCTTCGTGAGTTTTGGCTGTTTGCGACGACCTAGTGTCGAATTTCCCACGGTTTCAACCAATTTCCGACACACATTGCAAACAAAGATAATTTCTGCTTGAATGAATTTGGAACATCTCAACACACTGTATATATTTTAATAGTTAAGTTTGTTTACGTTATTTCGGGGCGGTAAATATAAAAATAAATGTGAGAGTCCACTCCCACTCTCGCTGTGGAATTTTTTAATAGAATGTAATAAAAAACGTCTTCTGCGTTCCTTTACCCACGAAATTTTCGCCCCGCAAGACGCAAAAATGTGAAAATTCACATTCGCATGTTTTTACGCTTATATAAACACACACGGGCGCAACATGCGTGCGAAGAAAACTCGAGACAACCCCAATGGTCCTATTACTACCCCTCTACGTACGCCTTACTACCCTTATCATATGTTTTACGTATTTTAACGGGTTTTTTTTTCTTCCCGACGAAATATTTCATGCTCAACTGAATATTTCATCGAAACGCGAAAAGGAAATACATTTATTCGATTTACCCCTCGCTTTTTGTTATGATAATACATTCTTTGTCAAGAGTCGATATTGTAAGTCGTAACGAATACTCTCACTGATGGGTTAATTATTAATTCGGGCATTCGTCCAAATGGGAAACAATGATTACTCAAATTGTGATAAGAATTTATATGCATTCAACACACGCGATGCGAACATTAGTGTGCAATAGCGCGGTAATACCTTGCGACGCGGGTAAATTTCTTGGTAAATATTTAATTTGCGCCCGTGTGGTGTGAATAATTGATGGCGATATTTATGACCACGAAACGACACTCCAAGGGGTTGTTTTGGCAACTGAAAAGAAACGGCATCTTCTGAATTTAGTATACGTATCTTGAAAACTGTTATTTTAATTTTATTTTTATATAATTTTATTTTCAACATTTCTGACTTTTTTCGAACAATTTTCAATCCTCTTCATTTTTTTCGCTTTGTTTTTGCTTGCAGAGAGGAAGCGACGAACTGCTGTCGCAGTCGAACGTGTCCGTGATGGCGCCATCCGCACCGCATACGGACAACAACAATCAGGAGAGCGCTAAAAAGGTAATTAACCACAAAAAACATCTCTTAATTAATTGAAAACTTTGATCTGTCGCTTTTTTATATTTACTTGATCTATTTTTGACCTGAACTTAGATTTTGAATCTATATTTTTTATTTTTTGAAAGTTTTTCATCGAAAATATATTTATTTATGTCAGAGATAATTTGTCACGTTTGTTTTGTGGCTGGCGCGCTTGTTATATTCATTTTGGTGAAACTTGTGACTCCTTGACAATTGCGCGCTTGTTTGCCACCCCTCGCTATGCAAAAAGTGAAAAATTTTCACGAAATCGTCCTGAGAAATGACGATGCCAAAAGTCGAGCGGAGTCAGTCAGTCAGGGCGGGGTGCGCTGCGGAGAGAGCGGAGATGTAGAACGCGGAAGAAAAAGTACCAACTCGAAGGAAAAGAAGAAAAAAGTGTGCGCGCTGTTTAAATATTTAATGAGGCCATTTTGATTACACTTGGCGCGACGCTTCTCTCGCTGCGCACCCTCTTATATTCATCATCCCCTTTCTACGTGCCACTTCAGGTGAAGTCGTTTTCCCCTCTACACGCTCTACACTATACGCTAACAATGAAATCGTTTAGTTTTAGATTTTAGGTTAGTTTTGGGCCATTTTAAAGCAGAGCGCACTGCGAAAAATGATCGCAAAAAAATTCTCAAGTGTGCAACTTTACGTTTTACTACACGCGTTAAATTCTTGCAGTTGAATTACAAAATGCAATTTTCACATAAAACGCGAGGCGTCGTAAGTGCCGAATGCGTTTGAGGCTATTATTTTCTAAGAGACTTTTCAGATTATTGAAAAATAATAAAAGCGTATCGTATAATAAAAGTTGGGGAAACTTTTTTAATCGCAGCGTCGAGCAGCGCATCGAACAATAGATGTAATGAAAAATGAGGAATGAATGGCGCGTTCTACATAACCGATATGTTGTTAAAAATAAACAAGAAAAGAAAATACGCGCGCTCCAGAAACTCGTATAGATGCGATGTCGATTTCTGATTGCTTGATTTGAGTTTGGAGTTGTTGTTGGTTGGTTTTTTTTTTCGTTCTTCGTGTTTTCTTCTAGCACTTGTTGATTTTTTCCCCGCATAAAAAATGCTTTTATCTCTCGTCTTTGTGCTTCCGCCTTGATTCGTTGGCGGCTTTTCTGCTCGACGAGTTAATAAACTTGGCAAACTCCCTTTTAATATTTCGCTTGTTGTAATATCGAGTTCAACAATGCAGCGCGAAACTTTCTGAATGACCGATGGATCTGTGCGTATAAAGTTTGCGTTTTCGATAAATATGTTTTTCATTGTTAATTTGTGGTCGAGTCTGCTCCCTCTCGGCCTCTGAAAAGATCATTTTAGATTATGACGCCGACGTCGGGGCGCAAAACAAAGTTTGCGCTGACGCTCATCTTCTTCTTCTTCTTCTTCAAGGGAGTTGAAAGTTTTCGCGTCGGCATTGTGTCTGTCTGCTCTTTGTGCTTGACGAAAACATTTCTTCCTCGTTCGGCTTTCTTTACAACCTATATAGTAGCCTGCAGGCCTGGATGCAGCTGAGGTTCGCGTCCTTCATCCCTTAAGATACAACAACATGCTCGCGCTGTGCGCCGGTAATGTCGTTAGTGGCGCAAAAAGGGGTTACATTATACCTAACGGCATTGTTTCTTCTTTCGCCGGCATTATTACACACGTAATATATGGGTTTATAAAGCGCGCGCCGCCGCAGATTGCACGATATTCTTTATGCCCCATACCTTTATTACGGGTAATTAATATCGTGTTCTTTACGATCCGGGAGCGGGTGCGGGAACAACAGGTCGGGGCACGAACGCCGCCAGCTGTGGCGGCGGCGGTGGAACATTTTACTTTACCTTCGTTTATTCTTTGAGGAATTTGAGGGGGTTGTGGCGGTGTGCGGCGCACCAGCCATGAGATAATAACAGCGTGTGTTATCCTTTCATTTATTACCTTTTGCTTTATTATTATAAAGTAATGCAATGTGCCTAAACGAGGAGCCAATGCCGGCTAGCACCATTAAGTAAATAAAGATGTAATATCGGCGTAGCAACCGGGAAAAACGTATTGTAAATATTCCAAAGTATTACTAATTTATAATAATTAAAAAATAACATTTTTGAATTCATTTTCTTTTAAAATTTGTTTGGCGTAATGTTAAAAACATGATCTAATTAAACTTTATCTTAAGCTATTTTTTAGACTCGTCGAAAGGATAACAATTTTGTTTCTCGGATAACTTCAATATATAATTCAGGATAATTCACCTTCAATTAATATTAATACGTAATATAAGGAAATACTTCTGTAAAATCAATTTTTATTCGTTTCTTATTGTTTATTGCTTTCTGATGACACTTCTTATTATTTTTTCTACTTCCACCTTTAAATCACAAGGTTTTGAGATCCATAAAGTACTTTAAACACCGACGGCCAAGGCAGTGACTAAAGTACTTTAGTCACGGGGTGGAACTTGCGCCTGCGTATTTGTTTCTACTAAATTATGGAAAACTAGCTTTAACCCGCGGCTTCGCTCGCGTTGAATCCATCAAATAAATATTAGAAATCATTATACATAGTTGAAACGGATTGATAGAAAGAATGTATATTTCACTGCTTGGCAAGGATTATCTATGTGAAAAAATTACTACATGCAATAAAGTTTTAAATTTTAGATGGAATGCTAGATGGCGTTAAAGTAGTCAATTAGCCAGATGCAGAGGTATTATTGGCTAAACAATTTCTTTATTTTATTTAAAAAATATTTTTTTTATTAAATAAAAAAGTAGCCTATAACCATTCCGGGACCATCGGGGACCACTAAGAATATGTGTACGGATTTGATGTTGACTTATGTGTGAGCTTCATTGCTGGAATGCTAGATGGCGTTAAAGTAGTCAAATAACCAGATGAAGAGGTGTTAGTGACTAAACAATTTCTTTATTTTAATTTAAAAAATAATTATTTTTATTAAATAAAAAGTAGCCTATAACCTATCGGGGACCACTAAGAATATGTGTACAAATTTTCATGATGATATGTTAAGTAGTTTTTGCGTGAAAGCACTATAAACTTCAGGACATACGCATTTATAATATTAGTAAGGATGTAAGACTAAATTTCTCACATTTGTAAATCAACGATTTTTTATTTTTAGTTAACGCTAGTCTAGATATGAAAGTTATAGAGTGGGAGGTTGCGGATGGGAGATGAGTAAATATATATCGCATATTAATTACCAAGTTAAATTAATTTCGCCCGCGTCTTCCGCCAAAACCGGCATGTTTTGCTCTGGTTGCAGGTAGATTTGTAGATGTGTGGGCGTTGGTATTGGTGATACGTCAGGCAGCCGAGTCGGTTGGATGCCCCTCGGGCTGGTAAACATTTTGCGTTTCCGCGTTTCGCGTTACTACCACCACCAGCATCAGCGCCCGTTAAAGAACTACCCTCGATCCGCGAACGGCGAGCGCCGCAGACATTTAGCTACCGCGCGCGCTTTATAAATTCATTTTCAAAGGTAAGCACACCACTCAATATGGGTGCGCACATCAAACGGATACATTTTCCCTTAACGGCGGCGGCGTGGTGGAATGGGAAAACTAAAAGGAAATCAATCCGAGAAAGTGGAAATTAATATACATCTTATATTCAATTATAATTTTGCTTGCAGGTGAAGTTGGAACAGAATGTCGGCAAGCCGTCGCGCGTCATCCACATCCGCAACATCCCCAATGACGTCACCGAGGCGGAGATCATCCACCTGGGCATTCCGTTCGGGCGCGTCACCAACGTGCTGGTGCTCAAGGGCAAGAATCAGGCGTTCCTTGAGATGGGCGATGAGACGTCCGCCACCACGATGGTGAATTACTTCAGCAGCTGCATGGCGCAGTTACGCGGGCGTGCCGTTTACGTGCAGTATTCCAATCACAAGGAACTCAAGACCGACCAGACGCATTCTAACGCTGTGAGTATCACAACAATTTTTTTTACGAAACATCAATTAATCCGGCTATTTTTTATTAAAATCTCCTACGCGATCTCATATGCGTTTTTTTTTTGTTTGTTAAATTGTTTTAGGTAATTTAACAATTCCCGCTGGGTAAACAATTAATTCCCGATTGGGAAATGTACCAAAATGACAAATTGAACGTGTTTGCTGTTTGTTTTTGTTTTGTTTTTGAAAGCAGATACATTTGATCGGTAGTCATTTCGCGTTTCCGATTGACAAGCAGCACTCGCTGCAAATTACGCTCATTTTCCCATTGGTGAATAAAGGTGGAACATTGCGGCGGTGTGTGAATGCAAAGCGGCTTTTATTGTGATTAAAATTGCCATTTTGCATTCACTCTCTCTCACGCGCGCGCGCTGCAAAAATGAAAATGCGATTTTAATTGATTTATATCACGTTTTCTTGCTGCTGCTGCTCGCGTTGTTTGTTTTCATTTGGAATGAGGGTGTGTGGGCCGCTGGGGGTCGCGCCGCGTTATAATCGACCCGTTTTACCCACTTTAGCGCACGACACTCGACCTAAAGACGCTGGCAGAGAGAAGAAGGTGCTTGAGACGAGCAGCGCGCACTTTGCTAAATAGTAGTAAATTTTACTTAACCACACCATCACTAGCCACCTACATCCCTCCTCCACGGTGGAGGCGGTATGGTGCCGTTTATTCTTGTTAGTTAATTTTTATTGCGCCACAAATGCATAATATGCATACACCCACACATAGATGGCGCTGTATCCACCCAATGACGATGATTTTAATCATCATAACCTCGAACAAAACAACTGATCCGTTAATCTTGACTTCGTTTTTGCAATTTTACATCGACTGTGAATGCTGAATGCATATTGCATCGTTTGCACAAGCCCGAGATTATTCCGAAGTCCGTTTTGAATGCGCGTTATTGTATAGTCCGTTTTTATTTCCATTTATAATTTTCTCTTGGCTATCGATTGCTTACAGTACATTTGCGGAGTAATTAGCACCCCGGCAACGAAATGAATTTCGTTCTGCCATTCCGTTTTCCTCATTGTTTCATTTTCTTTGTCACTTTGGCGAGTTTCCTCAATGAAAGAAAGAAAAAGTGACATTTTCAATTTATCAACCTCTCATCTACAAGATGGTAGATGTGGGCGACCATTGTGTGTCGACTCCAGTTCCGATGGCGCTAGTGTCTAGGGTCGCACTTCATTCATGGCGCGAAATTTAAATTTTTGACTGTGAAAGCTTTATATTCATTTTTTGGGTCACTTATTATCTTTTTTTTTTTGCTGATGTCCTCTGAGTGATATTTCTATTCTTGTCGGTGAAATTGCGTGCGCTTTTCTTGCGTTCGTGTTTGCAATTAGAGGTTTTTTTTTCTCCGACGGCCGCCTCATTGTCTACCCTCATTTTTATTTTCCATTATTCAGCGTGAAATCTTTTTTGTCCCGGAAAAAGGAGAAGAAAATAAAACCACCGAAGGAGATTTATTTTAATCACCTTTTTGCGCCCGCCGCCTACATTTACCGCTGCTTGTTTTATTACTTGTGGTGTTGAATCTTTTATTATCTTCAAGGTCCTGTTTGGATTTATAATTATCATTATTTGCGACAAGGCGCAGGAAATATTCCGTTTTTTGTTACTATTTTTAAAAATACATTTTTGCATTGCGTCTTGTTCATTATTTTCGCGTCGCCGTGTTTTGGGGTAGAAGCGCACGCAGGGCAGATGATTAAAGCGATATTAAAATTCAATTTGTTGCCCGGTTCGGGTTTTCGGGAGTGCGCCGCCATCCTGGAATGGGAAAGGTGTGTTTCCATTAAAAAAAAAGTGCGAAATAAATAATCCACTAGGGCAGCCGCGCTTCGTGTGCAAACGAAAGCTCGGTATAATTTTTGCACCGAGCATAATAAAAAACGCATTTTTCTTGTATTTAATAAAACATTAGAATTAGAATTTACACCCGCGTTTTTCGTCTCGTAAATATTAATATGAAATATGTTTGAACCGCGCGCCAGCGTCTCGTCGAAAAGTAGTCGAAATGTAATACAAATATATATTTATGCATCGAATTTCCATTTATTACCTGGCACGGTTTTCGCTTACATTAGCCGCCACTTGCCGGCTCTATAGCGGGGGAAACAGCAGGTTTGCTCCCACTCGAGTGCCGGAAAGAATAACAGTATCCGTGGCAACGCGTTGCTGCCGCCGCCGTCGCCAGAGCAAAGGATCATGCAAAGGATGCGTAATTTTATGCAACACTCTCTGCCATTCCTCCTGGCACTGGGACCTTATTACCTCCACTTCTTACCTGCACACTGCCCTCGTTTCAAACGCACTGAGTGTAGGTATAAGCTTTGTGTTTGTCGAACACTTTTATTCCGTTGTTATTTCGTCCTTTGCGTTGCGACACTCGCAAGTGTTTCCACGAAATGAAAATTAATGCGCATGGAATGGGGAATGAATTTGCAATTTCAATACTTGCCAACTGTGCATTTTATTTTAATTTCTAACAAGAAAGAGAACTTATTATCTGATAAGCAATAGAGTGCACATTTCTTTGCGATACAAACGAATGCAGGACATCGGAAACACAAAATACGAAAACGAAGTTTAGCGCGTTGGAATAGTTTGCGCGCACGGCGCCTCCACCATCGGCTAAATTATTCACAACGTTTGCAATGGTTAAGGGGCACACCTAGTGTGACGACTTAAAAAATGGCCATTTTTTGGAATTAAATATAAAGGAAACTAGTGAGTCCACCTATTTAAAATTTTGAGGGTATATTTATACCGGTTTTGTGAATACACAGTAAATTTTTTGAAATAAAATATTTATTAGTTTTGGAATGACACGCGATCTCCGGCGGCGCCAAAAAAAAATGGTCCTCCACTGCTGGCGTGATTGCAGCCTTCTCCGTCGACAAAACCAAACAGAAAAAAATCTCCTTAAACTAAAACATATTTTCTATACAATGACCCTCGGGCGAACAAAAAAATCAAAAATTGACAAAATGGCGGCACTTTGAATAAAAAAGTTAAATTTTTCCCAAAATTTTGGTCGTTTTTGGCCAGCCAAAATTCGATTTTTGATCAGATCATAAAACTGGAGGGTCATTGTATGGAGAACTATATAGAGGAGATGCAAAAAAAAAATTTGATAGCGATCGGATCATTTGTCTTCGAGTAATCACGCCAGCAAATTCGAAAAATGCTGTTTCGAGAAAAACGCGTTTAAAGATCAAATGCAACTATCTAACTGCCGAGCGGCTACTTTTTCAAATGGCTGTTACTCAAAAACTATTTCAGATATCAAGTTAAAATTTTAGTATGTTATTTTAAAAGGTATAACCTATCGAAATATGGTAAAAAAAATTTTTCGATTTTTTGAAAATTTCACACTAGGTGTGCCCCTTAAGTTTAATTGTGTTCAAATGAAGTCGTTGCGGCAATGGAAACTCGCGTTTATAAAACACTAATGGTCAACGTGAACGCGAACAACGTAAACGAACTGCGCGCTCCGGAAAAAATGCCTACTGTTTTTTTGTTTTGTTTTCCTCGTTTTGTTTTTGTTTTCTTGTGCATCGCGCATGGAATTTCAATTATAGCCGGTGACGTAACGACCGCAAAATGTGTTGCGTTGCGGTTTCATACAGGTAACCCCCAAGGGAGATGTGTGTATGTGTTTTGTACGTACGAGTGTGAAGAGTGAAATGAGAATTGATCATGGCCGCGTATCGAATGCGAAGAATTAATTACGCAGCGTTTTTTTGCGCTCTGCAGTTTTTGTGGTTGTTAAATTAATTATTTATTAGACGCGCGTATTTCATTACAAATTTTTAATTAATGCATTGCTTGCTGCAAATGTCAAAAATGTTTAATTTATATTCGGGGCGTTTCTGTGCATAGTGGCTTGTGTGTTTAATATAATTTTACCTCCCGAAGGGCGGTGCGGTGTAAATTGTATTGGAAAATTGTGGGAAAGCCGAAATTAGTCGTCGAAATGTTTGGTTTCGAATCCCGGAGAGCAAGCGAAAGAGAGACGAGGCAGCAAACGTATCAAATGCAGCAGTGACCGCGACTGCACCAACTCACATGCACGTACGCATTGCAAAAATTAATTAATCATCACTTACACCGCTAATATGATCCGCGCATGCGTCAACCACTGCAACCCAAAGCGCACATATTGGTATCGCATTTATTATTCACTGGGTACTTACGCTAATGTTGCGGTTGGCAGCCATTATAACGTGAAACTTTTCATTCACATCACATTGCACCGCAATTGAGTAGATGGCGTTTGTGGTTAGGTCAATCCGCTATTTGGTGTTTTTCCATTTAAACTTCTATTGATTGCTGCAGCGCTCTCGCGCAGTTTATAACGATATAAATATCATGAAGCACAATGGGGTGGTGTGTCAGGTTTGTGTTGTTTTTTTTTTCTGCTATCCGAAATTGGAAAAAGTTTGATGAACTTTCGAGTGTGCTGTCGCGTCGAGCACTAATGATATTGAATTTTGCCGGCCATTGTGCGCGCGAAAAAGTTGTCGCAACTTTCATAATGGCTTTTTCGACGTCACGCGCCATCTTGTTATGCGATCGTCAAGAACAACAAACATTAATGAGAAATTAAATGCAATTTTTCTAACTTGCTGCGCGGCATCTTAAGCGGCAAATGTTTAATATAGCGAGTTTTTATTGAGTTTTCCGATGTTTTGATTGTTTTCCGCCGCCGGTGGAGGAAAGTTTTTTCATTGAGTTTAACTGGATGTCATTGTTAATGTTTGCGTTCGTTTCAGAACGCGTCTGCGCAGGCGGCGCTACAAGCTGCTCAGGCGCTCACAGGGGGCGCGGCAGCGCCCGGAGGCGGTACACCTGTCGCAGCGGCAACGCCCACCGTTGCACCAGCGACTAATGGTCAGGATATTCAGGGCGGTCCCAATACGGTGCTGCGCGTTATCGTCGAGCACATGATCTATCCCATCAGCCTCGACGTGCTGCACGTCATCTTCCAGCGGTTTGGCAAGGTGCTCAAAATTGTCACGTTTACGAAAAATAGTAAGTGCCTTCGGAATGAGGTTTATGTAGTACGGTAATTTAATTCATTACTTTCTTCCAGATTCATTCCAAGCTTTAATCCAATACCCAGACACACAGTCGGCGCAGGCGGCCAAGCAGGCGCTCGACGGACAAAATATTTACAACAGCTGCTGCACGCTGCGCATCGACTACTCGAAGATGACGGCGCTCAATGTCAAGTACAACAACGACAAGTCGCGTGACTACACGAATCCCACTTTGCCGACGGGCGACACTGGTGATCAGCTGGCGTTGACCGGAGGATTGGCGGCTGGATTGGGCGCTGATATTCTTCTCTTGGCGGCGCAGCCACGTCTTACGCGTGATAGACTTACCGGTAAGCACCGCCTCCTTGCTTACCTTCCGTGGTTCATACTTACTCCGTGATTATATCAATATGTTATGATTATGTCTAAGGCTGTTTTTATTCAGATTCTCTACTCGCCGGTGCACCGGGTGTCCTCAGCAGTCCGTTTATGCACGGATTAGCATCACCACTCACCGCCCAATATGCTGGAGGCGTGGCAGGGGCGTTGCCCGGTTTGGGCGGATTCGCACTCGGGCAGACAGCGCCCGGACTTCGAGGGCTAGGCACGCCTGGCATGGCGCTGGCGACGGTGCTACTTGTAAGCAACCTCAACGAGGAGGTACGTTTAATCACACCCTGCCCCTGATTTTTATTTTTTTAAACCACGCCTTTTTGATACATGCAATATGGAAGAAATTGTGTGCATAGAGTTTGGTTTATTTAATAATTTTTTTGCTTTCAAAAAGAACTAAACTATTAATGTCCATCCGAAACAATAAACGATAAAAAAAAACAGAAGCACACATTAGAAAGAGATTAGTCCGGAACGAAACATATTTTCTAATGTAGCCTTTGTACATTTTGCGATAATTTTACGATTGATGCGTATTGTTGATTATAACGATGAGTTTCTTACGTTGGTTTTGTTTTGACTTTTTAATGAAGACATACCTAATCGAACCGACATTAGTGTGAATAATTTAGAAAAACACGTCTCGCCTTTGTTGTTTAAAACTTTCAACCAGCAATATATGTCGGATCGATGAGTGGTGTTGCATTTTTTTGTTCGAAATCAGCGTAATATTTTTATATGCGGCGAATAAATGCGCCTCTCTTGATTGTTATATTTTTTTGTTGTTTATGTTGTTTTGTTTTGATTTTATTACTTCGTTTTTATTACATTTTTTATATTATATTTTATTACTACTGTCATATCTTTCTCTTTTTTCCGTAGATGGTCACGCCTGACGCTCTCTTTACCCTATTTGGTACGTGTGCACAGCTACTATCAATCAAACTAAGTATATTATATCATCTAATTATCATCATCAAATTCGGAGGGAATATTGTCTTTAATAATACGTCAAATTGTAACGTAACGTGTGTGTAACGTATGTCTGTGTCATTAAGTGTATATCGTGACTATAATTTTACTTTTAATCAGATAACGCACAAAAATAATCATTTACGTATTTCGTAACAATGAAAAACGGTTCTCGTGCATTATTTATTGACAGTTGGCTATTGCACGAGAACTATTTTTAATCGATTATCAGACGTTTTTGTGCGTGAAAATTGTGTTTACATCGTAATGTTTCCGGAGCGTTCAAAGACGCTTCGAGCTTTCTGCTTTTACTACAATATTTAGTATTCATCATTACGCCTTTGTTTCGTTGTTTTATTTAATCACGCATCGTACGCCTCATTATGTGTGTCTAAGCATCCATCCTTCACCATTTGTTTCATCGATTCATTGACTATCTAACTTTTTATATGACCAAATTGCAGGAAGTTGCCAAAAGATTATTTGAGTGAAATTCAAACTTTTGACTAGTTTTGTTATAGATGATTTTAGCATGCATGTGAACGAACTTAGCGCTAGAATTTCTAGAGACAACAACTTACGAAACATTACACGTTTAGATAAAAGAACGACTAAACGATGATATGAATAAAATTATTGTCTTTTATGATGATGATCTGTTTATGGCTTGATGTTACAAGGTCTTCATTAATGTTTGTTCGTGTTTTGATGTTAGGTGTCTATGGCGACGTGCAACGCGTGAAGATTTTGTTCAACAAGAAGGATTCCGCTTTGGTACAGCTGGCTGAACCGCATCAGGCACATTTGGGTAAAAATATATTGAAACTTTATTGATTTGGGTTTAATTTATTAAGTTGTTTGTGTTTAACAGCAATTACCCACATGGATAAATTACGAGTATTTGGTAAGAATATCCGCGTGATGCTGAGCAAGCATCAATCAGTGCAAATGCCCAAGGAGGGCCAACCGGACGCCGGTCTGACGAAAGATTACAGCCAGAGTCCACTGCATCGGTTCAAGAAGCCTGGCTCAAAGAACTATCAGAATATTTACCCACCATCGGCCACCCTCCATCTCAGTAACATCCCCGCCACCGTTAACGAGGAGGATATCAAGGAGGCCTTCACCAAGAACGGATTCACTGTCAAAGCTTTCAAATTTTTCCCGTAAGTGAAGACATGCCCCGATGATCATTTTACGTAGATCGCAATTTAATCACATTTTTGATTACAGTAAGGATAGAAAAATGGCGTTAATTCAACTGCCCAGTATGGACGAGGCGGTGGTGGCGCTGATCAAGATGCACAACTATCAGCTCTCCGAATCAAACCACCTGCGAGTGTCGTTTTCCAAGTCGAGCATATAAGCGAAACACACACGCACCCCCTCACAGTATGCACTGCAATCCTGCAAACAAAATGAACAAAACATTTCAGCGGCGCACGGTGCGTCGCGACCCAATTCATTCCAGCAGCTTTCGGTAGCTGAATATTTATTGTAAAATTGCCCAGCGACACAAAAAGGTAACACTGACCTGTACGACGGAAGCGGCCGACGCGCGACAAGCAACATGAGACTGTCTCGACACAGGCATTACTATAATATGATTACGATGAATTTATAATGTTAAGAGAAGCAAAAACAAAACAGTATCATATCTAGTTCGATTGTTAGGTTTAGTTGGGTTTCGATTATATATTTTTTTAAGACGCGCAATCGGCCGACGTCGGCTTGTATTGCGCAGCGAATCGAAGCAGTAATTGTATTTATTTATGCGTAATTTTTAAGAGAGTTGATAATTTAATTGCGACGGCGATCGCGCCAGTTTCAGTATTGTATTTTTTCGAATCGATCGATGAGGATGTTAAGAATCTGAACGTTTTTGAATTTGGAGTTTATCAAGCTTTAAATCGTTTCCTTTCGAGGCTCTAAACGTAGATTGGGAGGAGAGTACAGTAACGTAAACGTTAAGATAAAAAAAAAAACAAAGTAATGGCTACAAGATAAAAGAAGAAAAACAAAGTATTCTATAGAGAAATATAAATATAATCGCGGACTAATTAAATTTGTAGAGCATATAAGTACCTAAGATAAACAAAATATATTTAGAGAGACGCAATGAGAGCAAACTAAAAAAAAAACAGAGCAACCATCGCCAAGAGAGGCGATGGTTAGTAAAAAGCGTGTTGAAGCTGACGTGGAGCAACTAATCGGTGAAAATAGCCAGTTATTATTGTAACGATAGAGATTATAGGGTTGACAGGGTTTAGGTATACCCTTATTCTCAAATTATTGAATATTATTGATATCAGAATTTAAAAACTATATAAATTTAACGTGCATTGTTTTACGATGATTGTGAAATGTGGAAATACTTGCGAGACGTGTTCGCACTCAATTCACCTGGTTGTTAATGCATTTGCAAATGATCTGAATAATATTAGATTAAAAAATGATATGGATCTGATAACGTCGAATATGGATGAAGAGGTCATGATGGAGAAAACTATGAATGTCGTGCGCATTTTTTTATCGAGCACATTCTCTTTTTTCTTGATAAAAAAAAATTGAAAAGTGAATCAACTAATCGTATCTTTGATATAATATACTTTCTCTATTTACTATACTAAATATTTACAATGTACTACTAAACATATACACACTTTGACAATCAATCAATGATAAACAAACAAAATCCACGTTTAAGCGTAATATTCGAAACGAGCAAAGCATTTAATTAATCAAATTGTCATTTGCGGAACTGTGGGTTGGTCAGAACCAAGTGGTGGTGAATGTTGGATGCCTGTATTCTTTGATATTTCCAATTTTTGCCTTCGAAGAACACAAACACGATGTAATAACTCACAAGATGATACGAACACACGAAATGAATTGGGGCTAATGTGTTGTAAATTGTAAATTCACTTCTCTATCAAAATAATCGACGTTCTGTGAGGACAAACGACGTCATGCCAAAAGAAAAACGCTCACGTTTTGTTTTGTGCGATGTCATTTTTCGTCGCAAACGCGGATTGATCTATTATGTGCGCTTAGATAATGTAGCATCTATCTATCTGGCAAATTCTGTCTGAATCTGAATCGAAACACTAGTTACTATTGTTTAAAACGGCCTACGCAAAATGTGCGTGTAACGAAGCGAAGAAACGAGCCTAATTTACTACGTTTGTGTGACAGAATTTGCATTTCAGTCTAACAATCATGTTCACTTAATTTTTCCGCCTTTTTGACTGTTCATCAAGCAGACCTAACTAACAAGAGAGAACAAACGTTTCAAACCCAAAAAACAACATTTGCCAAATTCGAAGTCAATATCTAAATAATATACATGTAGGAATATAAAGTATCTTTATAAAAAAGCGAAACAAACAAAGAAGTGGGATGATGCAGAGAAACGAGTTAGTAGACACCCAAAATCTTATTATTATACATGAAACAAACAAGGAAGTGTTAGAGATCTATTTTTTTAAATAGGTATTATTATTATTACGTTGAAATATGTATTTTTATTCGTTAGTTAAACTTAAATTCTACGGACGCACAAGAAGCAAATTCATATACTTTATGCTCTTCTATAAACATAATCGTATGTTTTCGGATGTGTTCAAAATGGCGCCGCAGGCTAGGCTGCCATTTTGAATGGACTCAAGTGGCTTGCGGCGATTTTTGAATGCTTGCGCAAACGGTTACTAATTTTAATGTGTCGCTGCTATCCGCAGTGTCTTTTTATTTAATTTTTTCAAAGTAACTTAAGTGCTATTTTTGTGTATCGCTCGTTATAGTATTACCTCTTAAGTATTACTTTCTGAATCTTTGTATTTCTACGCTATAAGTATTCTATGAGTATTCTAAGTATTTTGATTTTTCTATAGGTTACGATGCTTGAAAGATATCCAGCGACCGTAGACAGTTCGATGGATTATCTTTAAACTTAGTATTGTTAGCTTCTCAGGTTAATTTCGATCATGGATTTTAGCTCCACGGTCGAAACCCTTGTATTTTCAGGCTTTTTATTTTTTCTCTCGTTTATTTTATTTTAGTATTTTTACTTACTACGTATTTTATTTTGATTTTATGTTCGTTTATATTCAATAATGACTTTCATTAATATCTTTTTGTTTTTTGTTGATTTTTATTCTTGCTGTGCACTGTTTTTCCTTTAATTTATTTTCCTGTGTTTTAACATTAAACTCTTCACGATTTCAATGTCGCCTTCTTTCGAAAAGATGGCGGATACTTTGCGCATATGCATAATTTAATTGTGCCACCACAAATAATTGGTATGTTAGAGATTGCTGGGATCAAACTAAATTTATTTATAAGTGACATATCGATTGCACATTGTGAAGCAAGCCGAACAATCAATTTAATTGGTAAACCAAGGGACTAATGCAAATATATTTACTAATTTTAAAATTATTACCTAAATTAAATTTAAAACAAATCAAAACGCAATGTACTAAAGTTAAAACGACACGATAAACGATGCATAAGGAAGAGGAAAATTACTAAACACAAACGGTACAGGGTACTCTTAAATTAAATTTTGCTAAATGATGAAAATTGTTGACGTTATTGATGGCTAGGTGTGATTTTGTAAATGTTAGATGAACTATGTGACAGATTATTTGTGTGTGGTACTTGGCTTTGAGCTTGAATTCACTTCGATTTCATTCGTCATTTTGTGTCGGCGGCCATTCTCACGCGAGGTGTGTGATTTATCCAAAAAATGGAAACAAAATATATCTTTCTGTGTTCTGTGTGTGCACACTTTAACGAGCAAGCAGAGCGCGTTGGAGACCGTTGTTGAACGTGTGAGGATCCAATGCGCGGATTTAAATATTTACGAGAAAAATATGTCACAATACAGAGTAAAACGATGATAAATAAACAAATAAATACACTGGCCGCATGTGCCAAACAGTGGGATCAAGTTGAAACAAATCATTGAATAAATTTAATTGAAAACGCTGAGGCTAGAAATACAAAGTATAAACAAAACAAACAAAAACAAAATATATCTATCTATCTAATTATAACTTAATATATCATTGAAAAAATATTATGACGAAAAGGCGAAGCAGACGTCGGAGAAGAGATGCGTATTTAATCTAATAATGCATAGCTATTGTATCATTATCGATTTCGACATGTGGGCTCCCAACATGGCGGATCGAGGTGAGGATTATTCTATGATTATGCTATCACACTATATTTACATTAATTACGATTTAGAGTATGTATACTTACATAGTAACAGTATCCTCTGTGACAACTATTTGAACGTAGCGAAACGTATTAGTGTAATTCTAGCTTAACTTAAAACATAACAAATGAATAACTATGGGCACAATACAAAGATGAGCAAAGAGCGTAAAATAAATAGTTCTTCGAGACATCGTGTGCGCTCGCGCGGAGGGCGGAAAGGAAGCGACATCAGTCGACAGAGCAAAAAAAAAACAATATGTGACAATCATTAACTTACATTTAACGTTTAGCAAGAGCGTGTTGGTCTTCGCCAATTGAATATACAATATTCGCAGTACTGTACACACACGAACTTCTTCTGTCTGTCTGTCTGTACTTCCTAGTCTCTGTTGTCTCTTCACTTCCTTTCTCACTCTCTGACGTGCTGTTCTTTTTGATTTTTCTCATCCTTCTTGAAAGAACTTCGTGGCTTCTTGTGGGGGTATTCTACGTTTGGTTCGTTTCTTCGTTGGTTCGTAAGTTCCTTTATTGTGTTTTTTTCGTTTGATTTTCAGCGATTCAAGGGCAGAGTTGGTGAGAGATTTTTTTGTTGTTTTGTGTGCGTGCCAAAAGAAATATTTAAAGAAACATGGAGGTCCGGTGTGGTTGAGATCCTAGTTGTAGCAAAACGACTTCGGTTTTGTCTTTTGATGGTTGATTCTTCATGCATTAACCACACACACATACACAAACACATCCTTTGTATTTGACTGTATAATGAATGAAAAGAATTTGATTATAAACCTATACCAAATCATTTGCTGTTTTTTCTATTGACTATTTATTTTAAATGTTCATTAAAATAACGACGAACAAGTTCGATAATTATGCGTTTATTGTAGAAATGTAGATAGGCAAGTCGAATTAAATTTAAAGCAGTAGAATTTATTGAATCTATGTATGTTTCAAATACGTTTAGTTCGATTCTACCTGCTTATCAGTATTTGGACGTAAACAAGTTTTTTTGCGCGCGTTTATTGGCGCTGTGCGCACACACACTCGCCTGGTGTCGCATGGAATACGCTCAGTATTGTTTGTCGGGTTGTGTTGTGAACACGCGATTCGATGCGTGAAGATAAAATCAGTAAATCGCGTTATATATCGGCGAATTATTGACATTCCGCTATTAATTTGTAATGTGTTGTGTTGTGCTAAACTTCATTGCGCGGAACATACTCGTGAAACCCAATTTAAATGATTTTCACCTGTTCTGTGTCGTCCAGCATTCAATTGTGGATTAACGCAAGCCACGTTTTGACCCTGTTGATGTTTACGAAGGTGAGTCTCACACTTTTAACCAGCTAGTTCAATACCCGTCGCAACATAGAATAGCATGGTGCCGTGGAGTTGTGATTTGCGTTTTAAAAGTGAATTGTAACTATTGTTTTATTTAAATATTTAATTATTTGAATTGTTGAGGCTTTTACTTAATGAAATTTTATTATATTTTTTTAATAAAACAAAGATATTTAGGTATTTATATGTATGCCGAAACATGTCGCAGTTTTACAAAAAAAGTGGTGAAATTCTTAATGTTTCTTTACTTTTTACGTTTATTACATTATGAGTGTAGCAGTGCAACACTCTTGTCCGTGCGAGTCTCGCGGTGCAACAATCATAGCGAAGCATAAGTTGAAATAAGTTGAGGTGATCAGAGATGTCGCATGCATGCTCAGATTTGTATTAAATTTTATTCGCGTTTAACGCAGCTCGTTGCTTGTTTGTGGTAGTGAGGTGCACATTGCCTTATATGGCAAACGCGTGCCGTGCGCAATTTTTATCAGGTACTTGTTTGTTTACATTTCTGCGCAGCGTTAAACTAGACTCTTGCATTCAAGACGTCGTGTTTCGTGATAGGAAACACGATCTGATTTAACTTTTGCAACTATTACACACTTACAATGCGTCTGGCCGGATGATAGAATCCACCAAACTGTCTGTCGACTAAGAAAACTCAGTTTAATAGCTCTCTGAATAATATTTATATATAAAATTCAACTTTTCTAATATGACGTAGGTATAATTAAAAAATATAGTTTAGGGGTGTCTGGGAGGGATTGGAACAATACCAAGTGTCTGGCAATGAGCAGCGCATGCTATAATAATGTTACAAATAAAATATGCAAAAATAGAGTTTGCTAAAATAACGAATTTGACATCATAATTGGGGATCGTGCTTACCTGTGTTGGGGACATACATAGAAAAATTTTCAGCTTTCCTAAAATGACAAAAGTCTGGCAGTCACGGGCTCTTGGGCTATTTATTTTTCTCCGCTGTTTGAATATAATATTGCAAGAATATAATGTTTTCCTTTCTTATTTACAGTATTTGCCGTGCCTTGGAGTCCGATGTGTTTCTGCATTGGTAAGTTTTTAATTCAATTATATTTTTCATTTTAATTTTAGCGTCGTACATAAGTTTCTATTTACGTAGTTTTTTTCGCGTTCCACCGCGTGTTGCAAAGACACAAGACAGTCACGTTTCAATCCGCTGTATCTCCTTTAGTTTTCGAGATGTTCACAAACGGAGTAAACTCTCAAAAAATGAAAAAGATCACTTTTTTGCACTTTTAAACATGATTTCAAAACCTTTACACCCCGCATTTTAATTATTTTCTTATTTAATTATCTTATCTTATAGAGAATTTTCCAAACTTTCATAATCTTCGATCGGTTGGTCGCTGGCATTTTTAGTTTAAAAAATATTTCCTAAATTCTTGAAAAACAGGATACCGCACACCCCTTGCCCATTTTTTCGATATGGGAGTCACTTCTACCGCTGTTCTCGTAGGGTGCCCTGAACACGAGTCACTTTTACCGCTAGCCTCGTACGGTGCTCTGAATGGGAGTCAATTCTACCGCAACCCATTTTAAATTATTAATAACCAACGAATATTTGTATAAATGTTGTGTGTGTACGCCGTAGTACTCGTTGATAATTCTTTATTTCCCTGTATAGAAATTTATTGCAAGAAAATTCCGTAACGCGAGTTATATTGATAGTTGTGTGTATATGCACTGGTACTCGTTGCGCTAGGAATTATAGTTTTTTTATTATAACACGCGAACGCGGTCTTACAATAAGTTCGGAGTAATTTTCCCGGATGCGGAATTTAATTCTTTATTTCCCCGTGTCGAAATTTATTGCGAGAAAATTCCGTAACGCGAGTTATATTGATAGTTGTGTGTATACGCAATAGTACTTTTTGCGCTAGGAATTGTAATTTTTTTATTATAACACGCGAACGATATCTTACAATAAGTTCGGAGTAATTTTCCCGGATGCGGAATTTAATTCTTTATTTCCCTGTGTCGAAATTCATTACGAGAAAATTCCGTAACGCGAGTTATATTGATAGTTGTGTGTATACGCACTTGTACTCGTTGCGCTAGGAATTGTAGTTTTTTTATTATAACACGCGAACGCGGTCTTACAATAAGTTTGGATTAATTTTCCCATATGTGTAATTTAATTCTTTATTTCCCTGTATTGAAATTTATTATCAAATTCCGTAACGCGAGTTATATTGAAAGTTGGGTAAACGGGCAAAAATTCAAAAATGTTACTTTTTAGTACTTTTAGTGGCGTTTTTTGACCTTTTACAGTTGTAGATATAATTATTTTATATTTTTATCTGATTGAGAATTTTTCAATCTTTCATAATCAACAATTCGTTGGTAGCTATCTCTTTTAGTTTATGAGATATGAATTTTTGAAAATCGTCGAAAAAAAGTATCAAGCACCCCCCCTTGGCAATTTTTTCTTAAGACTTAAAATTTCATCTCTCAGATTTCCCTTTTTAACTATCTCATCTGATAGAGATTGGTCCGTAGATTAAGACGCTGCGATCAGATCTTATTTATCTCTTTTAGTTTAGGAGATATTCGCGATTGAATAAAATCGGCAAAAATTGCAAAATGTCACTTTTTAGCACTTTTAGTCGCGTTTTTGGACCTTTTACTGTAGGAAATATAATTATTTTATATTTTTATCTGATAGAGAATTTTCCAATCTTTCATAATCAACAATCCGTTGGTAGCTATCTCTTTTAGTTTAAGAGATATGAATTTTTGAAAATCGTCGAAAAAAAGTATCAAGCACCCCCCCTTGGCAATTTTTTCTTAAGACTTAAAATTTCATCTCTCAGATTTCCCTTTTTAACTATCCTATCTGATAGAGATTGGTCCGTAGATTAAGACGCTGCGATCAGATCTTATTTATCTCTTTTAGTTTACGAGATATTCGCGATTGAATAAAATGGGCAAAAATTGCAAAATGTCACTTTTTAGCACTTTTAGTCGCGTTTTTGGACCTTTTACTGTAGGAAATATAATTATTTTATATTTTTATCTGATAGAGAATTTTCCAATCTTTCATAATCAACAATTCGTTGGTAGCTATCTCTTTTAGTTTAAGAGATATGAATTTTTGAAAATCGTCGAAAAAAAGTATCAAGCACCCCTTGGCAATTTTTCTTAAGACTTAAAATTTCATCTCTCAGATTTCCCTTTTAACTATCCTATCTGATAGAGATTGGTCCGTAGATTAAGACGCTGCGATCAGATCTTATTTATCTCTTTTAGTTTACGAGATATTCGCGATTGAATAAAATCGGCAAAAATTGCAAAATGTCACTTTTTAGCACTTTTAGTCGCGTTTTTGGACCTTTTACTGTAGGAAATATAATTATTTTATATTTTTATCTGATAGAGAATTTTCCAATCTTTCATAATCAACAATTCGTTGGTAGCTATCTCTTTTAGTTTAAGAGATATGAATTTTTGAAAATCGTCGAAAAAAAGTATCAAGCACCCCCCCTTGGCAATTTTTTCTTAAGACTTAAAATTTCATCTCTCAGATTTCCCTTTTAACTATCCTATCTGATAGAGATTGGTCCGTAGATTAAGACGCTGCGATCAGATCTTATTTATCTCTTTTAGTTTACGAGATATTCGCGATTGAATAAAATGGGCAAAAATTGCAAAATGTCACTTTTTAGCACTTTTAGTCGCGTTTTTCGACCTTTTACTGTAGGAAATATAATTATTTTATATTTTTATCTGATAGAGAATTTTCCAATCTTTCATAATCAACAATTCGTTGGTAGCTATCTCTTTTAGTTTAAGAGATATGAATTTTTGAAAATCGTCGAAAAAAAGTATCAAGCACCCCCCCTTGGCAATTTTTTCTTAAGACTTAAAATTTCATCTCTCAGATTTCCTTTTAACTATCCTATCTGATAGAGATTGGTCCGTAGATTAAGACGCTGCGATCAGATCTTATTTATCTCTTTTAGTTTACGAGATATTCGCGATTGAATAAAATCGGCAAAAATTGCAAAATGTCACTTTTTAGCACTTTTAGTCGCGTTTTTCGACCTTTTACTGTAGGAAATATAATTATTTTATATTTTTATCTGATAGAGAATTTTCCAATCTTTCATAATCAACAATTCGTTGGTAGCTATCTCTTTTAGTTTAAGAGATATGAATTTTTGAAAATCGTCGAAAAAAAGTATCAAGCACCCCCCCTTGGCAATTTTTTCTTAAGACTTAAAATTTCATCTCTCAGATTTCCCTTTTAACTATCCTATCTGATAGAGATTGGTCCGTAGATTAAGACGCTGCGATCAGATCTTATTTATCTCTTTTAGTTTACGAGATATTCGCGATTGAATAAAATGGGCAAAAATTGCAAAATGTCACTTTTTAGCACTTTTAGTCGCGTTTTTCGACCTTTTACTGTAGGAAATATAATTATTTTATATTTTTATCTGATAGAGAATTTTCCAATCTTTCATAATCAACAATTCGTTGGTAGCTATCTCTTTTAGTTTAAGAGATATGAATTTTTGAAAATCGTCGAAAAAAAGTATCAAGCACCCCCTTGGCAATTTTTCTTAAGACTTAAAATTTCATCTCTCAGATTTCCCTTTTAACTATCCTATCTGATAGAGATTGGTCCGTAGATTAAGACGCTGCGATCAGATCTTATTTATCTCTTTTAGTTTACGAGATATTCGCGATTGAATAAAATGGGCAAAAATTGCAAAATGTCACTTTTTAGCACTTTTAGTCGCGTTTTTCGACCTTTTACTGTAGGAAATATAATTATTTTATATTTTTATCTGATAGAGAATTTTCCAATCTTTCATAATCAACAATTCGTTGGTAGCTATCTCTTTTAGTTTAAGAGATATGAATTTTTGAAAATCGTCGAAAAAAAGTATCAAGCACCCCCCCTTGGCAATTTTTTCTTAAGACTTAAAATTTCATCTCTCAGATTTCCCTTTTAACTATCCTATCTGATAGAGATTGGTCCGTAGATTAAGACGCTGCGATCAGATCTTATTTATCTCTTTTAGTTTACGAGATATTCGCGATTGAATAAAATGGGCAAAAATTGCAAAATGTCACTTTTTAGCACTTTTAGTCGCGTTTTTCGACCTTTTACTGTAGGAAATATAATTATTTTATATTTTTATCTGATAGAGAATTTTCCAATCTTTCATAATCAACAATTCGTTGGTAGCTATCTCTTTTAGTTTAAGAGATATGAATTTTTGAAAATCGTCGAAAAAAAGTATCAAGCACCCCCCCTTGGCAATTTTTTCTTAAGACTTAAAATTTCATCTCTCAGATTTCCTTTTAACTATCCTATCTGATAGAGATTGGTCCGTAGATTAAGACGCTGCGATCAGATCTTATTTATCTCTTTTAGTTTACGAGATATTCGCGATTGAATAAAATGGGCAAAAATTGCAAAATGTCACTTTTTAGCACTTTTAGTCGCGTTTTTCGACCTTTTACTGTAGGAAATATAATTATTTTATATTTTTATCTGATAGAGAATTTTCCAATCTTTCATAATCAACAATTCGTTGGTAGCTATCTCTTTTAGTTTAAGAGATATGAATTTTTGAAAATCGTCGAAAAAAAGTATCAAGCACCCCCCCTTGGCAATTTTTTCTTAAGACTTAAAATTTCATCTCTCAGATTTCCCTTTTAACTATCCTATCTGATAGAGATTGGTCCGTAGATTAAGACGCTGCGATCAGATCTTATTTATCTCTTTTAGTTTACGAGATATTCGCGATTGAATAAAATCGGCAAAAATTGCAAAATGTCACTTTTTAGCACTTTTAGTCGCGTTTTTCGACCTTTTACTGTAGGAAATATAATTATTTTATATTTTTATCTGATAGAGAATTTTCCAATCTTTCATAATCAACAATTCGTTGGTAGCTATCTCTTTTAGTTTAAGAGATATGAATTTTTGAAAATCGTCGAAAAAAAGTATCAAGCACCCCCCCTTGGCAATTTTTTCTTAAGACTTAAAATTTCATCTCTCAGATTTCCTTTTTAACTATCCTATCTGATAGAGATTGGTCCGTAGATTAAGACGCTGCGATCAGATCTTATTTATCTCTTTTAGTTTAGGAGATATTCGCGATTGAATAAAATCGGCAAAAATTGCAAAATGTCACTTTTTAGCACTTTTAGTCGCGTTTTTCGACCTTTTACTGTAGGAAATATAATTATTTTATATTTTTATCTGATAGAGAATTTTCCAATCTTTCATAATCAACAATTCGTTGGTAGCTATCTCTTTTAGTTTAAGAGATATGAATTTTTGAAAATCGTCGAAAAAAAGTATCAAGCACCCCCCCTTGGCAATTTTTTCTTAAGACTTAAAATTTCATCTCTCAGATTTCCGTTTTAACTATCGTATCTTATGGAGTATAGTCCCTAGGTTAAGACGCTGCGATTCGTTCCTAACTATCTCTTTTTATTAAATTAAATATCACTTAAATATTTGATGTAAAATCAATTAATCTTTTAGCATAAAAAATCATAATTTCATGATTGAAATTTTGCGCATCTATTGCTTTTACCTGGGCGGTTCATGCAGCTGGTGCAGTCTTATTGTGTACAGTCTAGTTTTGTTTAGATCGCAGGTCTCGTGCGTATTGTGATTCGCGCACAAGGTCGCGTGCGATCGACGCGCTGCCTGCTTTGCGCATCTCCTACTTTCTTATCATAAACTGTCGCGGCGTTGCTGGCGCGGCTGCGGCATACGCTATCGATGGTTTGCAGCCAGTTTTGTGCCTCGCACTGGCGTGTCTAGGCGCATTGTGCGCGATGCGTATCGTTTTATCGGACTTCTATTTTCTACATTTGCATTATATTTGGTAATCAATCGACGTGTAACATGCATCTGCTGTGTTTTGTGAATGATTAATAGTGCGTTTAATGTCCGTAAATGATTTTTTGCTCGCTTTTGATGTTTATATTTTAAATTACAAGAATGCTGCGGTTTTATTGTCGGTTATTGTGTGACGTTGTCCGTCGCTAGATCAATTGGATACATATTTGCTGACATGTTGTTTCCCGTCCTTCAGAGGTTCCTTCGTGCTTGAGTAAGTAACTTTTATCTCACCATTTCGATACTCCGCACAGAATGTTTGTTTTTCACCGATGGGTGAATATAATAATTATGTTATACTATGGTACAATGTACTATGGTATATTCTATGGAATATAAATATTGCGAATTGATAGGCATTATTAAATTGCTTATGACTGGCATTTTCATCCAATATCAACTTTGTTGCATATTTGATAAAACGTGTTTTAAATTTAAACCTGCCGTTACTAGATAGTCAGTTAGATGGCACTACGATGCACGTTTTCGCGTTAAATATTGCTTGTCGGTGGTAGTGAGTTCACACCGTGTCCGTGTGCGATCACGCGATTTCGCACAAAAGATAAGTTTGTTTACCTGCAGGTATCACATCGTTGCAGTTTATATTGGCATCGTAAATTTAAGCAAGTATTCTTCAATTCTCAAATCATGAATATAACTAACAATTTTACATTAGGTGTAATAGTTAGTTATAAAAATCATCATCAGCAAAACAGTTTTATCAACAGCAGATAGATCACTTAAGCAGATATAACTTAAATATTTGATGTAAAATCTGGCACTCTGTCAGCATAAGAAATCAGAATTATGCAAATCGAATTTTAATTTTTCATTACTTTTAATAATCTAAATTATGAAACTACTGTGTCATTCGTAAAATTGAATTGTATTGTTTATTTCTATATTTTTCGGCAAGCGTGAGAATTCGACACGAGAATTGTGTTTGTTTTGAACACAATTCACACTTCCTTATCGCATTGCCATGTGTCGTCGTTGCCATCCCCTCACGCCGCGCGTTGCTGCATCACATTTTAGTTTTGATTGCAGGTAACGAGCCAAATGTAATTCGCCCATAGGTCGCGGGCCGTCGACGCGCCGACTTCGCGCATCTTTTAATTTCTGATCAAAAACTGTCGCGTCTCTGGTTATTGCAGCCGTGTTTCTCGCGACTCGTATCGTATCAAATTTGCATTATATTCGTTCTTTAAACAACTATTTAGTAATGTTGTTTATTATTTGTGTATATTATTTGTTTATTATAAGTGTCGAGTTGCTAGGTAAATACATTTATTCATCATTAGGATAATCCATCATGCTGGTGTATATAACTTTCGCGTAAACAGCATAGATGTATATTTTTCTCCGATGTTTGAATATAATATTATATGAATATAATGTTTTCTTTTCTTATTTACAGTATTTGCCGTGCCTCGGAGTCCGATGTGTTTCTGCATTGGTAAGTTTATAATTCAATTATATTTTGACGTGATAACGTCTTTAAAATCGTTTTACGGGTGACCGGTTCAGAAACTGTGTCGCGAGGCCTCACGAGGCCGATCGCAGGTATACCCCCCTCTCGTTATAACCTTAGGCTCCCCGCACACTACAAACTTTTTATCGGCCGATATTTTGATCGGGTTGGGCTGTGAGCGCGCACACTACGCCAACTAAACAGTTGGGTTTGTGGTGAGTGCGCACACTAGACAACAGTCGGCCGACTGCACCAATACTCTGAGCGAACTAAATTGATCAAGTCGGCCGACTAAACAATCGGTAGGTGTGCGCGCTTGCGACGAGCTCCATACTGATATCGCAGTCGGCCGATAGTTGGCCTGGTTGGCCGATAGTTTAGTTTGAACGCAGTTGGGTAGCCCATCAAACTTGTTTATCGGCCGATACAAAATCGTTGTAGAATGCGGACTTGCATACATCTTCATACTGATTATAAGCCCGACCAAACTATCGGCCGATAAAAAGTTTGTAGTGTGCGGGGAGCCTTAGTTTTCGTTGAATGTTTAACAGTAAAACAAAATGTGAAGTGCAAGTGAAGTGTTACAACAATTGCAACAAACAAAACTTATATCACCAATAAGACGTTATCACGTAAACATCTCGATCGTAAACCTACTTTACAAACAACCATTTTTTTTTATTTTAATTTCTGCGTCGTTATTAATATTATAACACGCGAACGCGGTCTTAAACTAAGTTCGGATTAATTTTCCCAGATGCGGAATTTAATTCTTTATTTCCCTGTATCGAAATTTATTGCGAGAAAATTGCGTAACGCGAGTTATAATGATAGTTGTGTGTATACGATTATACGCAATAGTACTCGTTGCGCTAGGAATTGTACTTTATTAATATTATAACACGCAAACGCGGTCTTAAACTAAGTTCGGATTAATTTTCCCAGATGCGGAATTTAATTCTTTATTTCCCTGTATCGAAATTTATTGCGAGAAAATTCCGTAACGCGAGTTATAATGATAGTTGTGTGTATACGCATATACGCAATAGTACTCGTTGCGCTAGGAATTGTACTTTATTAATATTATAACACGCGAACGCGGTCTTAAACTAAGTTCGGATTAATTTTCCCAGATGCGGAATTTAATTCTTTATTTCCCTGTATCGAAATTTATTGCGAGAAAATTCCGTAACGCGAGTTATAATGATAGTTGTGTGTATACGCATATACGCAATAGTACTCGTTGCGCTAGGAATTGTACTTTATTAATATTATAACACGCGAACGCGGTCTTAAACTAAGTTCGGAATAATTTTCCCAGATGCGGAATTTAATTCTTTATTTCCCTGTATCGAAATTTATTGCGAGAAAATTCCGTAACGCGAGTTATAATTATAGTTGTGTGTATACGCATATACGCAATAGTTTCGTTAGTATAACGCGCGAACCGAATGCGCTGAAATTAACAACTGATTATATTTTTTGAATTATTATATTTTATTTTATTTTAGTGCACTTCAAAAATGTGCTATTTCAATTCTACACGCATATCGGGGTTTGTGTATAAACAAGTTTTTATATCGCTATAAACGTGCGCAATGCTGCCTCTCATTCTACGAACGTTCGACCGCTTCAGTCTGTTCTTACCTGCACGCGGCTCGGCATCATTATTTTATTCATTCCGATTACATTACTTTTTATTATTGATTAAAAATGAGCATTTCTAACGGCACCTAATGACAACAGACATGTAGATTGTTTTGTTAAGGATGATTTGCGCGTAAAATGATTATAAAACTGGTGTTTCCATGTGCGTGTCGGCTATTGGATTATTTCGATGTTGAGAATTGGAATTAGGAATATGTATCCTATTCGTAATTTTAAGTTTGTGTAATTAACGACTGTCCTTGGCAGGATATTCTGGGAAAATTGTGTGTTAAAATAGTACAGTTTCATTATCCCTCAAAACGAATATAAATAAGTGTACATCATAGTGCAAGTTCTCACACACGTGTTGATTTTTTGTTTCAGTACTTTCTATGATTACCTGATGCACTGGTAAGTTTGTAAACGTTATTACATTATACTTTCATATTTATCTAAAATTGCATGTAACGTGAATACCGTAACAACACAAAATTGATGCGTGCCGTCGGATGCGACTTGGATCTACCCGCAGAGTATGGTCATGTCAATCATCGGTTTAATAACGTGAAATTTTCCTTGCTCGCATTTTTATTTCATAAATCTGCAGGCTGTTTAACGTATTTTCGTAGTTTGGCAATTAATTATTGAGAGTAATATATTTGTAAAAGACGATTTAATTTTCTTTCGCGTGTGTGCTTGAGTTGCCGTCGGCGGACACATTTTGCCTTGCTTGTGGCGTATCTGGAGAAGCGTCGCAAGGAAAATTTCAAGATCGCAATAAAATTCATATTGATGTTTTATTTATTCACAACTCTAGCTTCTCTACCTTTCCATTTCTTGATATTCTGAGAGAAACAGGTATTAGTTTAAATTTTCTTGTTGTGTCACCTTCTAATTATGAATGAAATTCTCTGCATCGAAAATTTTGAATTTTCTAATAAACTGTAGCGATTTTCTTCTTGTATCACCCTATATTCTACTTTTCCTTGCGTTCTAGTGTAAAACTGACTAAATTGGTCGTTTCTGGGTCGTTTTCTACTTAAACTTTGTATTTTATTTTTAATTTTAGGAATTTCCTGTTTGTATCACCCTGTATGTTTGTTTTTCTTGACTTCCTATTATAAGTTTTCTAAATTTGGTATTCCCGACTGTTTCCTTCTTTGTACTATTGATTTTCTTTTTGTAACACCCTGTATATTTGTTTTCTTTAATTTCCTATGAAAAACTGTCGACATTTAGTGTTTCCTAATATTTTCCATCTTGAACTTGGCATTTTCTTTTGTGATGTAGTAAATTCCTTTTTGCAGTACCCTGTATATTTGTTTTCCTTGTTGTCCGTGAAAATTTAGCTTTAGTTGTTGTTTTAGGTTTTTCTTCTTTTTTCTATTTGTAACACCCTGTATATTTGTTTTCCTGATTGTCGGTGAAAACGAGCGTTTGTAATGTTTAGAGGTTTTCGTTTGCACTTAAAATTTTCTTTTTGTAACTCCCTGTATATTTGTTCCCATTTTCACTCACGTAGAAAATGGTCTATTTCCTAATTTCTTTATCCCGGTAGTACTTTGCGAAGTGCAACTTGCTTGCATGTGCGCGGCTATGCAGGTCGTAAGTCTTGTTTCAATATGGCGACATGTATTCTGTTGACTTGTAAAATATAAACTTGTATTCTATTGTTAATAAATGAATAGTACGATATATTGACTTCCTTGATTTGTGAACCTCTTCTATCATTTCAGTAACAGGTCTCTGAGAGAATTCCCTCTCTCAGGGGATGATCCCCACTATAAAAATTGTTAAGGTATCCTGTGTGATTTGTGTGCTCCTTCTTTCATTTCAGCTACAGGTCGGAACTGGTAAGAATATTTTTAAGTGTCACCTCTCTTGAGGCGACTTAAAACTTAGAAATATTTTTACAAGTCCTTAAAAGGATGTCCTTATAAGGAGTTCCCTCTCTCTGGGGGTGATCCCCCACCATAAAAATTGTTGATATGCCTGATAATTCCGGGGATGAAGCGCAGAGACATCGTAGCTGTAGGATGGGCCGGGAGCAATGGACGCAACGAAGCAGTGGGCGATCGACCAGAGCGCCGGAGGCGCTCTGGGAGATCGACCGTAAACTGTCTTATAACGACACGTGCCAAAAAATTTAAAAATCTCATCCTCTCCTGTTCTCTTTCTTCTATCTCCTCCTCTTCTCTACTCTACTCTCTATTCTCTTCCTTCTATCTTCTCCTATTCTCATTCTCTACTACTTCTATTTCCCTGATCTCCCGTTCTCCTTTGACTTTCTTACTTCTCTTATTGCCTTCACTTGTATTTCAATTTCTCGTATATTTCGTTGCAATTCATATATGCAACCCAAATTACACCTGATATTTTTATATTTGAGAAAAATGCCTTCTATACCTGAGATTCGATCCGTGTCTGCTAGCATGCCAGCAGGTGCACGTCTCCACTCGACCACCGAGTGTTTTTATTATTGTTATTTGATTCTTCTATATATGTTTCTGTTTTTATCATGTTTTTAAAACAACAACACAATTCAAGGAACAGCAATGCATTGTACACGCTTCACGCACGTAAGATTTATATACTAATATGATTTATGACACCGATACTGAAAACAACAAAGGGGATGCCACAAAGAACTAAGAATTAGTTTATAACATTACAATGTGTTTTATTGACAACATTTAAAATACATTTGTCATTCAAATAAAAAAAACATTGACGAATTTCAAATCACGTAGCAATAAAGACTTACCTTAAAATGTGCGCATCTCCAATACTTCTTTTATGGATATCGCAGATTCCATGGCTCCCATACTCAAGAACTGGGCACCAACGTTGTCTATCAGCAGGAATTAATAATAAATCCTAGTTGTGCCAATATGCGAGAAGATAAACGACTGCCGATAAACACGCACGCGGCGCACATAAAGACCAACTCGGTTGTAGATAATGCCACAACCGAATAATACTTAGCGACGCCCGACGGAACATCCCAAGCGCACAAGCGAACCGATGATTAATTGGGTTGTGCCACATTAGCCTGTTACGAAAGGCCAATGAAGGCAATTACAAAATTAAAGTAAGACATGCGAAAAGTCGCTACGCAGATCGACTGACGAACAAAACACGTGTTAACCGTAGCACAGCGCGCGATCGACTAAACTGCAAAGAGAATTGATATCAGGCGTAAACAAAGAAGATAGCCCCTACCAGTACAATTTAAATAAGCAAGAAAACTGACGCACTGCGCCGACACAAGCAGCATAGCAGACACAAAACAAAATTAAAAGCATCAGGGTAGTATTTATTACTTTTGATTCATTCAATTTGATTTGAGTAACGCTCTGCTTGTGTTCCAATAATCCTAAATAATTAAGTATATCATTTCACAACTTGCTTATTTGTCATACATTTTAAAAATAAATTAAAAATCCTATCCTACCAGTAGTAGTTTCGCAAAGTTTAAATAGGTATCACAAAATAAATATTATTCCATCCAAGTAGGTTAAAATTGGTAATCAAAACCAGCGGCGTAGGTTCGCCACATTTGCATCATCACGATGACGTTATGTATCACCTCCCGCATCGGAGTCGTCCTTGTCAATGATCTCAAAGTCACTGTTATCGCTGCTGTCGCGGCGCATAGTAGCCGTGCGTTCTTTAGTTGTGTGCTGACTAGCAAAATTCGAATGCAGATTGCTCAGAAGGTTGCTGCCCACAGCGGCGAGACTGCTCACCATGCCGCCAGCAAACGATTGAGGAGATTGAGCGCCTAACACCGACGCGTCCCGCACGTCGGAGAAGCGCAAGCCCTTCTCGTAACGGTGCTCATCCTCGCTGCCCGAGGACGAGTTGCCAGTGAAGTGCTTGCTGTCAAAGTGCATTCCATCCGCCTGATCTAAATCCATGTCTGAGTCGCTGGAGTCGCTAGAAAAGTCTGCAACGGCCGATGCGCGTTGTCGAATTCGCTCTGAGGGCAAAAGATCGTCTTCTTGCAGGCCGGGCAAGCCTGCATCGGCGTCAAGATGCGAGGGCATCGATGAGATTCCACTTATTAGAGACGACGTGAAAGAATCTAAAAATACAACAATTAGTGACGATTACTCATTAATACTTATAAAAACTTGCCTTGAGTTCTCGTCTCGTCATCTTTGTCATCGTCGTAATTTTCCGTTATCAGTGGTAATAACTCCTGTTCATTAACAATTTCTAGACAGAAACGTAAATCACTATCAACAACAAATTATATCATTAAATAACTTACCTGGACTTCGTACAACTTTGACAAAATCCCAAAAACTCTTCTGCACCTCTTTGGGTGCAAGTTTCACCAGGGCCGGACCAAAGTAAACACCAAGCAGAACAAAGTATGCAAGTACTCGGCCAGAAATTGTGCGTCCGATGAAACTGAGCGTGAGGAAGAACGTTGTCATTACGCCACAAAACTATTAAACAATAATAAATACATTAAAACGGTATAGGTTGGTAAATATAGATAAAATTCAGTAATGTAAGCAGATTTAGTACAAAACATGAAAATATGTGATATGTGTGTAAACACAGATAAAAATAAATGGCTTACTAATCTAGTTTTGCAAGTTTTTAAAAACAAGTCAACAAAACACGACCTACCAACGACGGATTATCACGTTTCCAACAATGCATATTATACATGAATGTTGAGCACCATGCCGTGACATCGCTGACACGAAGGTAACGCTTCAAGTTCTTGAACTTGATGGCATCGTCGTAGTAGTCCAGCACCACAAAGAGCGCCGCCGTCGAGAATACTATGCAGTAGAACCGCGTTTCGTAATAAATAATCAACCTATAAACATTTAACACTAATTGTAGACAATTGCACAAAGGCAATAAGACATTTAAAGCTATTTTACTATCCAATATTAAATGTTTTGTTTGTACTTACGAGTATAATAAATTGAGACAAAGAAAACTAATCCAGGTGAGCGTCGCGTCCTCCCAGGAGATGACCTTACAGGCAAGATTGACATACGCATCAAGTTTGGTCATCTCTTCGTCCTGCGGTGGCGGCGGCAACGGTTTTTCGGCACGTCTGAGCACAAAATTGGCTGCGCGTTGCAGGTAATCCATCATTCTGCCGCAGTCGTGCACCAACTAAAGTGATATGTTGTGGTAGCAAATAAATAATTGAACGTCTTAAATCACGGCTGAATTGTGGCGACTCTGCAAATGCAAGCAAAAAACACACTTGTTTACTACATTTTCGAATGTTGCCACTTGCCGGCGGACCGCAAGTCGAATCGCAGGCGGCGAAACGAGCGCAGGTCACCGGCAGTCACACAAGAGACAAACTAAAATTAAAGTACTCAAAAAGCATAAAAAAACGCGAGGAGCGGCGCAATTGGTTTGTAAATTTAGACGGCATAACCGAATGCACCGCTGGAATTTCATGTTTTCTTTTTTTTATGGTTGAGATTCGAATTGAATTCGTTTTAAACCGTTTAATTTTAAATTGAAAGACAATGATGAAACTAATTTATATTCAACGAGGAGCGCATATTTTAAATTAATTTGGTATCAAAATACGTGACTTATCACTTATTATATTTAATATCATAAACCACTCAAGCGGAAGTTTACATGAACAAACAAAGCTTTTCATTCTATCTTCGCGTAATTAATAGCCAGTGTTACCCGACTCAACAAACTGTTTTGGGCTATTTGTATAATCATAATTACATGTTTTGGAAACAAGTAAACAAACTTAATTTATTTTGAATTTTATCTTCCAAACCATGTCAATTTTTTTGTAACATAAATCTAATTACACCTACTCCACTAAACAACTGCAAACAAACGGACATTCGCTGCATGTTGCCAGAAAACGTTAAAAATAATCACGTAACATCCGGTAAATACTAAAATTCTTCAGGATTCAAGGCAATTTCCAACAATTTACCACAAATAACTCGCGAGTTTCAGAAATTAAAACACAAAACGCGTTTTTATTAACGTCTACTCAGCTTTCCAGCGTAAAACTTTCAATTCTCGAAGCACCGCACCGCAACAAACAATAAACAATAAGCGACGAGGCTCTGGCCTTGATCGTTCATTAGGTTCTAGGACTGTAGGTTGACGGTCTCAGCTACCGAACGAAATCAAAACAATCCGATTTGTTGCGCACGCTCGCTCCCGACAAGTTATTACTTTCGCGTCGACGTCGAGTCAGGTGATATTAAGTTAATCAACTTCACGCAATGAATTAAAAATGCGCAACACTACAAGTATGGTAAATAAACGCATGATAGGCTATTAATTTAATCAATGCTTGATGCAAACGCGTGTAATCAAATTATGTATGCCGGAGGAATGTTGTGCAATGTTACTTTATCTATGTCTATACTGTAAACAGTCATTGCTTGTGTATTCGGTCAATGAAATAGCAACACGCGCGGAATGATACCTAACGATTATTAGGACGCATACACGTGTATGATATGTTGCATATTTCGCACGGTAATTTTGAAACATGAGATAATGTATAGTATTTAACTAGAACGTAATGGCTGATTAATTGCGCAGATCTTAGCTTTGCTTACTCGGCTGTGTAAAATTCGACCTCGCAATTAACAGCCATCATTACAGCTCGTGAGTAATATAGTACACATTACCTTCAACTACAACTTTACACTACGATTACAGACATGCGTCTTTAAATAAACAATTACGATGTTTTGCCAATCGGTCGCATTCAAACGTCAATGCGACACGAGCACACGAGTTAGATCAATCATCTTAGAAAAACAAAGTAGAAGCAGTAAATAACATGATTTGTTTTACCTTGAAAAGAGACGAATATTTCAAGTTAGACTTAATAATGTTGTTTTTACGATCTGCGCATTTAAATATTTCCGAAAACAGATGCGCAACGGGATACGGGAAATGTTTCCACACAGGCGCGCACAATCACATACAAACACAAGCGCGTTTCGCTTCGATGGGTTGTTAACTCGTAACTAGCAATGTGCGAAAACCGCCGCCTTTATTTATTGTTAACTCGCGAGACTGCGACAACTGCGACGGAAATATATGCGCAGCGCGCGCACCAGCACGCGACTGAATGAAACGGGCAGAATTAAAATTGTGCGCATTTTTCGCCAACTGCGGCCCACCACCACTCTTCCCAGTCTTACTAACCGACATAAACAAACCATTCAACACTTCACTCTTGCTCTCAATTCCCGTAGATACTACATGCGCAAAAGACTAAAATACTCTTCTAACTTGTAATGACGTACTTGTTTGTTTCTTTCAATTTTGTTTTTCCATCTATTTTCGAACCAACGCAATTACAAATTGTGTGTGTATGCGCGAACGCGCAGTATGACATAAACGTGATTCTTTTGTTTGCAAACAAGTGCGACTCACGAGTCGTAGGAAAATCGAATTTTCACAGGGAAGGAAATTCACTCACCTGGTGTGCGACAGCGACACACGTGCACCGCACTGTTAGGCACACGCTGGAGTGTACGCCATCGCGTAACACATTCGCTTTCACGACGATTTTCGATAAATTTAGCACCCGCAACCAACGACCACCAAGCGAGAAACGATCCGGATCCGCAGCCGTCCACAGACGACTGTGACATTCAATGACATTGACGGACGGCGCAAGTTAGCGACTTCAGCGCCAACGTGGGCAGTTGCTAGAAACAACGTTTCATATTAATTTCAGCAAAACTTTACAACTTTACAACAGATTCAAAATAATCAAAAGTCTAATCAAAACAGACCGATTCCTACATATTTTCCATGTTCAGATTATGTTGTTATATATTTAATAAAAATTTAATATACATTGGCATTGAAGACTACACAATTTGTTAGGAATCGTTATTGTTCTTGTCATAATCAGATTTGCACCATGATTGTTTCATGTTTAAGTACTAGTAGAGTAAATAATTTGATTTCATATTGTTCACAATTCTTTCAAGGTTCCCCTTTAAGTTAAGGCACGTTAAACAAAAATAATTGTTAGTTGCATCAATTTAACAATCAATCATTAAAATATCATAAATTCTGAACACGTTGCTGCGTTTCCTACTTCACATCTTGTACTTAATACAACAATTACGTATAAATATATTCGGCCGCATTGAAAATACATACGCTATTCGAGATTATAGGGACTTCTATGTTAATAGTTAAGAATAGAATATTTGTATAAAATGGCATCCACGCGTATGCGTTCGTTTCATTTAGGCACATTAATTATTAAGTTTACCTTAACAATTAGCAAAATAAATTGTTTTTAAATCATACATTTGCGTAATCGGACTGTGAAAATCACGCGCGTCTATGTACATAAAACGTGATTACGATTACGGATGAACACACAATGACGAAACTTCGCTATTCAGCTAATTATTCAAATGTTTTCTTGCTATGTACGCGTTTTTGTAATCGGTGCCGAACTTTGTGCGATGAAATAAATAAAACTTTGCGATTTGTTCGCACAGTATTCGAGTGTGAGTGTGTGGCATCAGTCGAAAATTAAAAATTAGTAAGTTATTGCTTTCGACTCTCATTCTCGTCGAGTGGACAATTCGATGGACTACCAAAACTCGTTCGTTGTTCAAGCTTAACCTTTGCCGGCGTAGGTGGGGTTCTTGAAGGTGGAGGTGGCTTGTTTATAAATCGGATTTTCGCCCTAAACAAAAAATAAAACAATTTTAAAACTGATTGCAAAAATTTTATGTTAAATTTTAATACCGTATCCCATTTTGCCATTTGTCGTTCCTTCTCGAATTTGGCAAACTCCCTCTTATCCTTGATAGTAGTAAACAACTTCCATAACAACAGAATTGCTAAACCAATGAGTACAATGGCAGCCATTACACCCAAAACGATGCCCAATAAGAAAACCTAACATAAATCAATTAAATTACCCACTGTCTTATATTAAAATTAATGTAGCAATAAGTTACCTTTGGTGGACATTTTCGCTCCTGTTGTGCTTTGACAACCACGCGGTTCTGTTCGTCAAAGTAATACAAATATGCAAAACTGCAGTCGTCTTCATCGTAGAACAAGGAGCACAAAACTTCCTCATTTTCTTCTTTGGCTTCCACCTTCTCCACGCCGATGGGTGTAAACTTTGTGCAGTTTTTGGCACACGCTTCTTCGTCCAGCGGACCAGTCTTGTACATTTGGCATTGCACGCATTGTTTAAATTCCTCACATCTATCTGAACACGTCTGCAAATAAAAATGTTGATTAAAACAAAGCACAAATTAAAATAAAGTGTTGAAAACTTACTGGACATTTCTCACAATATCGACCTGAATACCTTCCTTCTTCAGTACTTTCGCATTTGCATAATCCACAAACACATTCACCGTGCCCGGAGCAAATCTCACCATCAATACGATCCGGCGCGTAGCAAGTCTCGTTGCTCATCTTACATCCACAATCTGCACCACCCCAAGGTTCTTTACATGTGCACGTCCCGCATTCGCAGATACCATGTGTCGGTCCACTGCAAATCTGCCCTTCACGTCTATCGCAAGAGAAGTTATCACACTCGCAGAAATTGCCGTAAATTTTCTCATCTTCGTTATTGCGCACGTTGCATTCGCATCTTCCACATACGCAACTTCCTCTACCAGAACAATCAACCGTGCTGGTGTTATCAGGCCGGCAGCCGATACTATCATTGGCGTTTTGTGCTTGACTAGCAGAGCATTCACAATGTCGTCCAAAATGTGAATTATCGCATTCACAGATACCGCATTTGTATGTACCATAACCGCTGCACTCCTCCGCGTTAAATATATGACCGGCATTGCCTGGGTGTTCACAAGGACACGAGCACAACATTTCCAAATCAACAATCAAACTTTCATTGATGCCAACAGGATAGATGTTGAGTGTTTGCTTCCAGTCGCGGGGATCCGTCGGGCAGGAAGTGACCTCAATCTCAATTCTAAAGGAGACCACATCGCCGACTTTAATATCACCGCATTTATTGGTCTTTTTCTCTGGCCCATTAACATCTAAGCATTTAGAAAAGTAGTTGATTTTGATAGTGCTGGCTGCGTTGTCTTTCATTTCTACAGTGGAGGAGATTTGTTGGTACTGTTCTTTGACAAGATCGACAATATTAGACGAATCGTTGGACAGTTTTCCGCTAGATGAACCTTCAATGTTCTCTTGTAAGCGTTTGTAGATGCCGATTTGTTCTTCAGTCACAGCGAAAATCAAATTTATCGAATTTTCTTTTACTTTCAGATTGATTTGTGAGATGCTAGGATAATCCTGGATACTAGAGTGGGTGTACAGGCCATTTTCAAGATGGCAAAGTCCGTCGTTTGGTTTAATAATTCCTCCTAACTGATAACGAATAAAATACATTTAACACTAAATATAATATGAAATGTTTCCTATTTACCTTGCCATCTCCTGCATAATGGAACCCAGCATCCGTTGAGAAAACTAATAACCTTCTGGCGATGTCTCTCCAGCCGATTTGATTTCTACACACAATTGCTTGCATTACAGCATCAAAACCACCTTCGGAGCGTCCAAATTACCAGACACAGCTGCTTCTTTCACCAAATGCTGCAAAACATTTCATTAGTTCACCTGTACATTAAACTATACACAACAATTAATAATCAAAGCAAATGAAAAAGAAACTTAAAATATGTGCATAATTAAGGGGAAACTTACTAAAAGTCAAAGCGATTAGTAAGAAAAATGATACAATCCTCTCAAACCATTGTTAGTAGTTAAAAAAAGCGTCTAACACTGCATCTGCAAACCAGTAGCATGCAAAAGGTGCAATTTACAAACCTCTACAAGTGTCAAAGTGAGTTGTGTGTACATCATGTGTCTTTGTGTCTTGTTTAGAACTACGATTAGTTTAAATCATAAAAGAAACGGGATTATGAAAAACATATTATGTATGAATTATTGCATCATGAAAAATATTAAATAATATTAATTATTATTCACAACATCAGTTATATATTTTTCTGTTGCGGTTGTTGTTGATTTAATTCGTTGTTTATTTCGCCGTTAATTTTCGCGCAGTCAACAAAACTTACGGAGAACAATCTCGTGTCGGTGTCCAGGCGCATCGCGTGTCGGAAACCGTACGGTGCCGCACAATCGTCACATGGCGCGCGTAAACTACAATCAATAACTTAAGAACTAAACATCGACATGCTGCAACTAAAGAAACGATTTCAACAACAATCAAAAACTTTCAGTTTAATTTTTCGTGATGTTGTAATAATGTATTATTAAACTTAACATCTTATCATAGAAAGGTTTTGATTGCTTGCTGATTGTATGCGCTCGTCTGTGGTTTATTTGAGTTGGCTTTGGTGTGAAATGATTACATGCCGTTATCTCACCCAATATTGTGTGCATAATGTGGTTGTGTGACGTAAAATGGGTACACAAAAATAAAAAAAAAAAAGTCTAGTAGTGTTCAAATCACCTCCGTTCCACATCATAAATTACCATAATGCATCAATAAAAACAGGAATAAATTTAGAAATGTCTTCCCCCAAGGCTTCCAGATCCAGGCCGTTCTACAGCGACTAATACCCATGCATTTCGTACAAACTAACAAGGTGTAAAGACAAAAGACGTGACAACGTGAGACACAGATATTGATAGGCGGACAAAAATAACAAGTTTCTCGCATTCCATTATAAAAAAATATATAAGAAAAAAGAGTATTGAGAAATTAAAAAAATTGTACAAGAAATTGCCATGAATTTAACTTGCAAAAAAGATTTCGCATGGTTTTTTGTTTAATTTTGCGAAGAAAACTTACGGAGAACTCTGAGGTATCAGTGCTTAAAGTCATATGATTGCGGAACCCATAAGGTGCTGCGCATTTGTTGCACGGCTCTTGCAACCTACCGGCCAAACGGAAACAAGGACAACATGTTTAGAAACAAAATACAATTGGTACATTGGAACAAAAACGTGTGTGGTGAACACTACAAAAAAAAAATCAACATCCCAAGAACCTAAAATATTGTTTGGTTGCCATGACAACATGAGGTAGTTTCAAACGAGATTGATAGTGTGTTGTAAATGTGAATAATTGTACTCACTTTTTGGGCACGGTGCTCACATAGGGCATGACGACTTTGTCCACAAAACTACCGAATCCCAGGCGGAAATTTGAGGTGATATTACGCATTGATTCGGCTAGAAGATCGCCGAGAAGGGAGAGTTTGTGTTTATCGTCCTCCATGGATTTTGATAAGTCCATCAAGTAGTAGAGATCAACTGGATAGTCTTCGGCTTGCGTGTATTGCATTGTTAAATCATAAGATTGTCCTAAAAATAAAATAAATTAAAAGTAAACTTTTAGTTTTGTAATTTTAATTTATATTATAAAACTTACTTGCTCTCAATTTAAGATTAACCCTCTGTGGTGAGATTTGCACAATGTTACTAGCCCCGAAGCACTACCACTACTACTGGACGATGATGACCACCAGCTGGATGAAGAAGAACTGCTGTGACTTGAGTGCTGCTCCGAATGCCAGCCTGATTCCATTCCGCCGCTGCCTAAAGATCCAGCGGCGTGCGCTTTGGTGAGATTCCTAGCCAGAAGAATTTGTTGAACATTGTCCGGGTTCCAGATATACTCCTCGGGGCAAGCTGCGGCTGTTGGGCTGGTCGTTTGGAAGCAGCGTGCCCGGTCGCCGAAGTCCGGCTTGAAACACCACGCGCATGATGGCGTCTGAATACATTCATGGCATGTTGGCTTCGTGACGCAGGGATTTGGGGCGGTCAGCTTCTCGGCGATTTGTGCTTGTGTGCGCCATGCCACGCAGAGGAGGCACACAAGTGGCAGTATCAATCTGAATATCATTTCTACGAAAAAATAAATTAAATTAGAAAAACATGTGTAAATGTTTATAGAAAAGGAGATGATTATTAGCCGTAATTATATTACTGATTCTTAGAAACAGAGCAAAACAAAAGTTTCAAATTTAATGTTTATTTAGCGCAGTTTAAGTTTTTGATACGATTATGTTTAATCGTTTTTTGTTCTCTAATCAAACTCATAAAATTTTGAAGAAAAATGAAATTACCTTCAATAACTCCTCAAGAAAAGCTCAATTATTCCCGATTTTCGATTCTTGCACTAACGAAATTGTTCAAATTTTAATATAACATTGATCTCAACAGAAGTTTGTTCACAATTCATCTAATCCCACAATCCGGTTTCTAATATATCGCTCCCAATGTTGATGTACATCAACATAACAAGATTTATCACAGATAATTAATGTAAATAGTCCTCAAATGATAATTCTATTTGATTTACCAACTGCATACTTCATGTCTCAAGCACACAACGCTACAACTCAAGTAAACTTCTACGAAATAAAAACTGTCGAGCATGATCAAGATTTAAAGTTGATGTTGATTCATTCGCGGATGATTCAAATTCACTCATTGAAGAATATCATAAGCAATCAGCGGATATACTCATGGAGCATGAAACAAACGCATAATATTTGAATCACAACGCTAAATTTAGAAGTGGGCACGAATCCAAGGCGGTTTAATATTATGGTTTACTTCAGGTGTGACAAATCGACCGACAAAACTGCCCACAAACTTATTTTTTCACGTTTTTAAATTGTGTGAGTAAAGCCCGCGGCTGCAGGTGAAATCTTACTAAAAGACATAAATATTGATGAGTCTAATACTGGCATCAATTAATCAATAATTAATATATTGAAATATTTAAAATGGATTCGTCCATCATCCATGAAATAGATTAATCCAAGTTTATTTCCTGATTGGCTGTCAACCATTGATTTGCTGCTCGAAATAATCGTGATTCAATTGTTTTTAAATAAACAAAATTACTTCCTCCATAACTTCCTTTCCTATGAAGCTGAACGCGATTATCTGTTCGATTTGAACCGCCATGTGTTCAATTTCTTACTAAACCCAACCATGTATAGATGATTGAAGCATTTTTCAACAGTTGTGGTTGTGCATGCCTTGCGCTTATACAAATATAACGCATTGCACATTGCTCTTGCCTCTCGCTCGCGCTCATTGCGCGCGCCACCCACACTATTTCGGCCTCTGCACACTTTTAAAACGCCTCTACTTTTCTCTACTCTCACGCGTTTTACTCGCCTGCGCATGCATAACAGCACGCACCAACTCAAACAAACCGACCTAACCAACTACGCGAATATGTTATTTTAAACGCACGTAGATCTATTAATAAGGCGCGACGCCTTGTGCCGCTGGTGCGTGCAAAACGATGTTATCAGAAATTTTCTTCTGCTGACTTATCGCGGTCTGATAGTGAGAGTATTCGCAGAGTTATGAAGTTATTAATAAACAATGACCACATATCATTCGAGTGTGGTCTTCCAGTCGGTTGAAGTCATCGGTAATAATCGGATTTGGTTTAGAGTAATTGTTATCAGACGATGACTTACCGGCGTTGCAAGCGTCAGCGTTACGTATCCATTAATTGTTATCGTTGCGTTGTTATCCGATCGATTATCAGCGAGTGATAATGCGGTCGACGACACAGTTGCACTCGCACCGACTCACACTTGCACTTCGACTGCGGCCGTCGTCGAGTGTCGTTCGTCGTCGTTGGGCGGCGACACTTTTAGTTCAATCAGCTGCGTATTATGGCGCTGCTAACACTATGACTAGCAGGCAAATATGAAATTGACCTAGGAATCAAAGCAGAAAAATATTAAACAAATGTACTAAGCCGAAGTCTCGCAACGAATCGTCGTGGCACAAAGTACAGATTGATTCTAGATATTTACTGACAGGAATTTAATTACATTTTTAGTAATATTCTACGGAAAATATGAATTTATTTCAATTACTCCAAGGCATTAAATATCAACCGCATAATTCACATTATAACATGTAAAAAGCCAAAGTTTTGCTTGAAATGTTCGCGTAAAAACAGCTTCTACCGCTTTGAAATTGTTTAAAATAGATTTGTAAATTGTGCTAAAGACATAATTCGTTATGTACCACATTACATATTGCTTATTGAACATTCACCACATTTGTAAATATTGCTCGTTGCATCAATTTGTCATGCTAATAATCTCGTAAATGTAATAAAGGCACTGCGCTGAAAACCTATCCTATCTTCGTTTACGTCGTTAAAATCCAACCTAACTCTAAAAAAAACTACGGCCTACAATAAGTTGATAAATGCAATGTTGACCTTCAGTCTTGATACGTGTCCTACGAAAAATAAATAAAATTATAGTAATGAATATAGAGAGAATGAATTACTTAAGATAGAGAGATGTGTTTTAGAGAGCTCTCATAACATGTGCTGTCAAACATTTTGATTCACAAATCAATTGCGTCAATACCAATTCGCTTTGTAAATATAACTCGTATTGAAGTTGTGTATCAACGTGTAGTTCTTATTCGCAAGGAATGCTTGAATCGTGTCTTTTTCAAGATCACTAGCTAGTAAATGCACATCGATGAATGTGATTTTCACGCGTTCGAACGGAATGGTTTCGAGGATTTGCAGCTCAGTGCCACGCGCTTCAATGCTAAGAAAATCCACTTCTGTTAGATTCATCGCAAGCAGCAGGGAATACAACGGAAAGCATTTGACTCGTGTTATAAACAAGCCGGATTCGTCGATGAGATTTGAGTTAATCGAATTGATTTTCACGCCGTCTTCCTGATGATATGTGATTTCTCGTGGATATGGTGTGGGTGATAGGCAACCATGCATTGATTGTGAACGAATGCGATTGTGGCGATTGAGGTTAAAGTAGTGACGTGAGTCTGGTTGCACAAGAAGACCGCGCCAGTTGAGTTTCTTTTCCAGCCATTCAGTTTCGGAGGTTTTTCCGTCGCCATATGCACCGGCTTCCACGTATATTCCATTCATCTGAAAGAAAAACCATTGTCATACAATTTTTATTACAAATAATAACAATTTTTAATGCTTCTTGCTGAGTAGTTAAAGTAAAAGCAATAAAACTTTGTAGTTGAAACATAAACATAAATTTTTATCATAATTTAGTTAATAAAACTTAAACCGTAAGCATTTATGAACGGTCATTTTGAAATTACAAGCATAGACATTATTTCATATAAACTTATGTTTCAAATTAACATTATTACAAAATAAATAAATAATCTATTAAGATGATGTATCTAACCTTATTGTGCAGAAGTTTAAGAATAAACTCGATGTCTTTGGTCGGTGCTTCAGCCACAAACTCAATTTGTTTATGCTTCGGCTCAACCGCCGGCCTCAAAATGAAAGTCTTGATAAAATCCACAAGTCCTGGATCATCCTGTCGTAAATTTGTGTAGTCAGCATCTTGTGTCATGTTAATGTTGAACTGATGATGAAGTAATGCTACAAATAACAATTAAACCATTAATCATCCCAAGGCCACAGATAGTAATTGAACCAATCTATAATATGTACCTTTGTTGTTGATGTAGATGACAAGCAATGTCATGACAGTTGCAAAGCCCATAAAGAATGCTGCAATAGGCAACAATTTCTTCAGGGCAAACTCCCCAGGCACATTGGTGTTGTTCATCTTGGTGGGTGTTGGGGGCAACTGGGGCGGCAGCGACGGTGCATTCTGTGGATGCTGCTGCTGCTGCTGTTGTGATGTTGGATGTGGTTGATTCATGTTTATGTTTATTATGCTCAACATTTGTAACTGGGCTCATGTGAACATTCTTCAGGCGTGAATATAGACACAAACGCACGCGCTAAAAATAAATGGTTGAATATTTGAGGGTATTCGCTAATTGTTTGTTAAAATTGTCTCCTGCCGAGTGCAGCAGATGTGACCAACTCAAAGAAAACGAGTCGAAGTGAATTCAAGCGTCAGAAATAGAAGTGGAAGGCAGCTTACGGGCGCGTTTGATGGGCGAGTGTGTGCTCTGCTTCACTTGGCTCTTGGAGTGAATGAGTCTTTGTTGCACTGTCGTGTTCGTCTTTTGTTTCTGCGTCGCGAGCGTTCTCACCAGCCGCACATCCTGCCTCGGACGCCAGGTGTAAGGTGAGAAAAAGCGTCCGCGCGCGCGTCTTGGTTGCGGTGTACCTGGAACACGCTCAACTATGTGAGCAATTTACGTCAGGCATCAGTGTGAGCGTGTGTTAGAAAAGAAACTGGTAGGGCGAAGAAGGAAACAAACGCAACAAACATGACAAAATATAAATAAGAAAATTTAACATAGGCAACTTGTTTTACAATGTATAAAGAAATATTGCAGAAAATACAATAAATACCTATTTTTGCTGGTAATTAAACGCCAAATATTGACTATGAAGATAATTTATAAAGGTTATAAACATTTCACTAGAATTTTGTGGTTAATACTGATTGAATGTCCACAAACAAAACACCAACACCAGTACAGGCAGGCAACTGAATGTGATTGGTTGGTGATTTCATGTTGTGCAGTTTTGCACCACATTGATGGTAATTACACCTTATTAAACAAACTAAGCGCACATTTACTCATAGCATGACATCAGCCAATAGTTAACATTTCCAGAACTTGTTAAATATTACGCTTATCATTTGTAATAACAACGAATTTCACTTAAAATTCCATCCTTGTGATTAATCAGCTCACGACTCTATGTACTACAAGTTATGCAATCCATTGCACATCAATGAGTAAATCATTTACTAATTTAAAACAAGAATATATAAATATATATGAAATTTTAGTACATGTAACTGGTGAAAATGCAAAAAATCATATTATTCAAAACTACAACTTCGGATGACTCAGAGAATTCATTTGAAACACTCCTGACCAAAGAAAACTTTCAAGTATTCAGTATAAAAACGTTAGAATTCGAATTTTTGAATTTACAAGAGCTTAAGACCTGCCTAGACGAACCTGTTAAGTACGCAGGGATTATATTTACAAGTCCTCGGTGTGTAACAAGCGTGCTGAAAGCATTGAATGGCGATTCGCTGCATGACGAATGGAATACCAAGAAGAACTACGGGGTGGGTCCGAAAACCGTGGAATGCGCCCGGGCGGAACTCAATTTGGAGTGTCTAGGCGCCCAGGCAGGTAATGCCAATAATCTGGGTGATATCATCATAAGGGATTTTGCACTGCCGACATCAGGTAAAAACTTAAATTTATATTGTTAAGATAGGCAACCAGTATTGGTAATAAATCATACTTTCTTGTTTTCAGAAAATATTGCAGCAAATGTTTCATTACCGTTTTTATATCCAAAAGGAAACTTATCAAAAGATTCTTTAAAGCAAAAAGTTCAGACACACGATGTTATAGTGTATGAAACTATCACAAACTGTAATTTGGAACAAGAATTGACAGCCACAACTGATAACTTTACTATACAAATAGATTATGTTGTATTTTTTAGTCCTTCTGGTGTAAAAGCGGTTCAACCACATTTTTCCAAAGTAAATAATGAAAAACTGAAGGTAAGAAATTAATTTTTAAATTATTCAGTTAATTAATTTGAATTAATTTGCAAATTATGTACAGGTAATTGCAATTGGCCCAACAACAGAAGCATCACTCAAAGAAATGAATATTCCTGTGCATGGAACCGCAGAAAAACCATCAGCAGAATCACTGATAGCTCTGCTAAAAACGTTTTAAAACTTTCGAAGAGTTAAACAAAATTCGCGCCGGTGAACTGTTAATATTTGTTGTTTTTATAAATGTAGGAAAATTATAATGATTTTTATTGTTTTCACTTTTGTACAGAAAATCCGCTCCGCACTTTTCCTATACACGCTTACGTATTAAATTAAACTACTCCTCTCCACGCCACGCGAGCTAGAATTACAAAATAATCCTCTTCCTAGGTTAAAACAAAACAAAAACCTGTTTACATTGAATATTTAGAGCCAAGGTATGTTTTCCTGTCCTGTTACGCATTTACAGCTTTACAATTATAAGTCTTTGATCATTATCACAGAAGTTAACTGCTCATAATGGTGATTCTAATGATTATTTTTTAAATTTAAATTCAACTCAAAGTACGTTTTTTAAAGAGTCACACCACTCTTACTACTCTGCATTAGTTTGGTTTCGGTTCGTTGTCGTTTTAGTTTTGATATCTGTTAGTATACTCAGACACACATAGTCAAAAAGGCACATCATGCAAACTCCACCAACTCCTCCTCCTCTTCCTCATCATCTACTTCATCTTCATCTTCTCTCGTTGCCAGTTTATCAAAGATGTCATCATCAAGCGTTTGTTTCCTTCGGTATGCATTGATTTTGTCGTAAACAACGCGTACGCTTTCATCGTTGTCTTGCTCATCTTTGAGGTAGTACAGACGGATTTTCTTCTCCTGGTGGATTTCAACAAGGTCCATTTTTTGGAAGAGTTTTAATGCGTTTTTGATCGGATCTACTGACACGGATTCTTCTACAAAATAAAATAAACATGTTATAAAACTGAACATTATTTTTAATTTTTAATAAACTTACGATATTGCAGAGATCCAGCACGTAGTTGTGTCCTAATATACTCCAAGATATCACCGACCAATTCACGTTCATGCAGATTCCGGCCGACAAGCTGCGTCATGCACTCAGCTGTCACAGCGTAAATATCCACCAACGGCATCAACAGCGATCGCAGAAACAATAAATGATCTTTGCCTTTGGAGTTCAAATAGAGTCGTACAGGTCTGATATATACATCATTATCGTCATCCATATCAGCATTGAAATATACTCGTTTTGATGATGTGTCTTCATTTCTAGGTTCCTATATATATTTTAAGAATAAATTAAACAATAAAAATAATGAATATCAAGGACTTAAATGAAAACCTACCAAACTAAAGCATTCGTGTCGTTGTATCATGTTGTCAATGGCGCCCAAAATATTATCCTCTAAGGTTTGGCACGGTTTGCAGAAAATAAACTCGTATTGTAGATGATCGCAGAGTCGCGTGCAGTGCTCGATTAGATCGGTCTGATCTACATAGCCTTTACTGAGGTCCATCGCAAACAGGGAGATTGCAATGAGTGAATCTAGTGCGAATGTTGGCACGAGGGCGTTGCTGTAGTAGGAGAGTTCTATCACATTGGGAAGCATCGCGACGGGGCGGATGTATTCTTCGTGTTTGTCTTTTTCTTTGCGGACTAGGCCCGGACCTAATAAATCAATCTGAAGAAAGAGAATTTTAGTTATACGGCTGTGGAATATGAATTGAAAAATACTTACTGAATAGTTAATTATATCTAAATTATCTCCAACAAAACCGATTTCTTTTCCTTTGGCAATTAAGTCTAGCTTTAACTCTTCTAGTGCGTCGACCAGTACTTGTGCTTTGCAACCGTTGCGGAATTTATTCAGCAACAAAAACGCCACTGCATTTGTGGACATTACTGCTTGTGTAAATGAACAATCTGTAAAATTTGAAACATTATTATATCTCGTTTATTTAGGTTAAAATCAAGAAAAGCTAAAATTAATTAAATGAATTCTTATTATAGGCAGACGTTAAAACGTGTAAAACGCGAATAAGATTTATTGCGACTCTGGCGTTTCAAAAAGTATTATTTTACGCTTAGAGAACACAATATAAATAAATATAATCATAAATATTCTTACCATAAATAACATGTTTTGATATACTCTCAACTATACTCTTGTGCTCATCCGACACGACATCAGTACCATAAAGACTAGTGCTCGACGGATTCGATTTCAACTGCTTATTGAAAGTGGTCGGAATACGTCCGTTCGTGTTAAACGTCTTGATCATCTTACACAATGAAAACGGCTGGTTAAAATCCACGCGGATCATGCCATAGTTACTGTTGAGCACATGCCAGATAGCTTTGATCGCCGACCAAAAACTTTCCATTTCTTTGGGCTGTCCCAGCTGCTCGCGAACAAAGTTACCATCCACCAGTTTCTCGTAATTGATGCTCACAGGCACAAGCAGAGCATCTTCCACCGTGCCGTCGATAACAGCCTCAACTATAACGCTGAGGATGCCATACTTCGGCATGCATGGTTTACCAGTTCGCGTGCGGCCTCCCTCGAGGAAGAATTCAATGTTGTGACCGGCGCGGAGTGATTCGTTCATATATGTGTGCAAAATCGTTTTGTAGAGTAAATCTTTACGACCCATGATTGGATCCACACGGCGTTTGATGAAAAACGCTCCGAGACCACGCAGTAAAGATCTAAAATTAATATTATAGCAATCATTTAATATTTAAATTAAATTATTTCATTTACCCAAAGAAAGGAATCCTTAAATTATCCCCGGAAGCAACCAATGGACATTTTACATCATTATTCAACAAAATAAACGACATCAGAATATAATCCAAGTGTGACCTGTGTAGAGGTAAGAAAATCATCGGCAGATTTGTCTTGCCTGCTTGTTGCAACATTTCCACATCTTGTGGATGCACCACTACCGCGTTCAAAAAACATGGTAACAGTTTGTACAACACCCAGCTGGTAAACCGCAGCAGAAAGTCGGATAACTTGCTGCGCATATCATGCAACAACTTCTTCGCTCTGGCAGTATTACGCTGCAAGAGGCCCTGATATACATCGTCATCGTTACCGTCGGTGTCTTGAAACTGTTGCAGTGAAGTAGCATCGATTGCACGTTTCACCCGCTCGTCCCTCACAACAGTGCCTTCAACTTGTGGATATGGATACTTCTTTAATTCGTAAACTTGCGCCAAGTGGTTGAAAATTCTGTTCATCAAGGTAACTTTTTTCGTCGCTGGGCAGTAGTCGAGGATGTTTTTGAGCGCGAGGTTGGTGAGCTCCCGACGCGATTCCTGAAATGTTTACTTACAATTAGAATATATTGTTGTGTGATGTGGAAACTAGAGTAAAAGGAAGCTAACGCGAGGTGGTGGTGGATCGTGAAAGCCACGATAACGAAATCGGCTGTATTTGCTGTACATTGTGGCAATCTTCAAAGAGGACTAGTTGAGAATACTTTCGTTGCGCGTATGGAAGCCGAGAAAAACGTTTATAAATACGTAACGTGATGGTTATTTTTACACTTGATGATTTGCTCTGCTGTTTGAACGCGTGCAACGTGCGTTTTAGCGAGTGGTCAATTTTGCGTAGGTGGTTTGTAAAGCTAGTTTATTATAAATCAAAAATTATTTAAAAAAAGGAAACTTAAACACTCACTGTATGAATTTACTTATCAAATCTGCAATTAAAAAAGTTTTTGCTAAAAATTTTAATCATTTTAACTACAGCGAAGTTGCGAGTGCGCAGTAACAACACAAACCACAATTACCCATCAAGCACGTTCGTACCATACGTAATTATCAATAAATCTAAAGTATCTACGCATAAATATAGTTTTACCAAGCAGCGTAGGCAATGAAACGATGACAAGTTTTATATGCTCATGACAAATTTTATCAAACTTAACATTCGATTTAGAAAAGTAAAAAATCGACATAGCATTTGCTGGCTGTGCATTTAATGATGAATATAAAGATTAGTTGGCGTCGCGTTAAATTATCACATGCGTGATAAATAATTATTCAATCATTTTTAGCGTATTCGGGCTATGTAAATGTAGACATTATATTTACCTCGTGAGTAATAAAATTGCCAGACTCGTGTATTGATAACATTCCCATTACAAATGTGTATGTTTAGCAGAGTGAGGTATTGTTTTATCGAAGTACAAATTTAATATATAACTTCGGTTTGCACACACAATTTAGTACGTGCTTATGAAAAAACTATTCATTGTATTTATAGTGTCGTTAAAATTAAATTACATTTAAGAGTTTATATAAAATTTCACGTGTTCACTGTTGAACAACTTCAAGAAATTGTATTCGAGCATTATAACTGATTTAAACCGTTTAGAAATAAAAAAAAATACAAAGATTGAGTGTCAAAACCATTTGTAAGCTGGTTATAAAGTGAATTATTCTAGTAAAGTACTTTAGTCATGGGTTTTAGTCACGGGGTTGAGCTTGCGCCTGCGCATTTCTACAGAAATGCTATAACGCAATGAAGAAAAAATTAATATAAACGTTTTATGAAAAACCAACCAAGTTATTAATTCAAAGTGTGTACTTATCAAAGAATATACCACTATAGTTATCAAATCAAGCATATGTAAATAATACAATACCAGCAAACACAACTTCAATTCATTCAAACAAAAAGCGTTCAAGGAAAGCATCAAAGTATAATGAAACACGATAAGGCAAATTCTTCGACATTATAAATTCAAATTTAAGAAAAACAAACTTTTCAAGATTAAAAAATAATTTAAATTTCTAAATAATCCAAAACCTCTAACTATATTTGATAAAAAAGGCACAAACAACTATAATATATATAATTTGAGCAAAAAGATCAGAACCCCATCAACTTTGTGTTAAGCAAGCTTTAGATATTGAACTTGACCTCTATCTAGTCGCGCGACTTTGTTACTTTCGATTTGCAGTTGTAGTAAACTAGAGATGCTTCAATAATATTCCACATTAAATCATCTTCTCCGTTTGCCCTATGCTCAAGCAATATTTATGTATGACTTGCATATCGTATCTTATCGACTCAAGTCCAAGTAAGAAATAAATGTCACGTGTTTACTATTAATAAACAAGTCAACATTTCATTTGCAACACAACAATAAAACTCATTTCTTTTCAATCAATTTTTCCAAAACGACAATACATTGTCCAACAATGTGTTAATCGCCAATCAAAATTAAAAATTCACTTCATTCTAGTGTTTAATCACGATAATTATTCATAAAATAAAGTTAATCTTTGAACCATGACTGAATTTTGAAGTTATCCGCTTATCTTTTTCATGTAAAGATTGTGAGTTCAACTTTTTTGAGATGAGATTGCCAAACAGGCAGCACAATTAGCCATGCGCGCTTCCAGCATGATTCACAAACAATTAGCAACGCATAATAATGATTAATGCATACTTTGATAAGACCTATTTAGTTGTTTATTATTCTTTAGTTGTACTCATGTTGCGCGTCGGGCATCGAATAGAATAAAATTTCGTCGAATCATTATCATTGGCGTGGCGTGATTCTCAAAATGATCGTAAATGAAAGTATAAATCAAAATGCTTACGTTGACGGGACTTGTTGATTTGATACAGTAGCAAGTGAGGCCATTGCATGCTTTGCGTTGCATCTCAATCGCCACCTGCGGCAGGTCTTCTTTGATTGCGAAAAGATTGGCGTGGGCCTAGAAAATTCAAATCAAAATTAACCACACTTGATTGACATTAATCAACGTACAAAAACCAACCAATAAATTGTCAGTTGGTATAAAATTCGGTTAAAAATTCAATTTGTTTTCAGTGTACTCACATTTTGGAAATCCTTCTTGCGTGTGCGGTTCTCATGCGAGAATCTTTTTAGTGTTTCGATGGATGCAAGCGATTCGTTGCAGAGGGCGTTCGTCGGCGCGTACTTTTGGAATGAGTCGAACATGCGTTTCGACACGAGATCAACCATTTTGCCGATGCTGGAAAATACAAACAAAAAATTGTATTAAAAACACCATCAAACATTATTTCTAGAAATTACCCTTTGATTAAAAGGACAACCTGCACGAAAAACCACACAATCGTCAGCTGAAACGCCGCGTAAATCACGCTGAAGAACTCCGTATTCGAAACTTTATACATTTTGTTAGATTTTAATTTTTTCTCTCCAAAAAAATTAATATTTTACAGTTTTATCCTTACTCCTCGCACTATTATCACAAAATTGATTATTTATCAATAAGAATGTGTTGCTTTACATATAAAAATTCTTAAAACATTTCAAATTTTCGCCGTTTTTTGACACAAAACTTATGTTTAGCACGTTGTACGAGAGATAATTATATAATGCTGGTCGTGTGCGCGCTTTTCGGCACGTCGTGAGAGCGCAATGTGCACCACATCATCATCGCGCGGTCAGTACGCAAATGGCCGCGCGTGAATTCGATTGGGAGTCGTGCGCGCCGCCGCCACCGACGCAGACGACGTCACCCGCATGCATAATATACAAAAGGCGACACACTCAGCTGAGGGAGGCATATATCTATGACTTAATCACGCCGATCGCGCGCGCGCGCTCGCCAGCCTGGACTTAAGTTAAGGCAAGTTGAGCCCCCGACTCTCGTTCACAGGTCATTTGATAAAATACATGGGCACACGCGTGCGATCGCTGCCTACGATGTGTGCTCGTCGCCGCTGATGTTACAAACGTTACGGTTCATTGGCGTAGATTGGCGCGGCCATTGTGAAACAATTGATGCAAGGCAAGGCGAGCGCACAGCGAGCTTTGTGTCCTCGGACGTGCACCACCTTGACCACAAACCAGAGAGACCATTATACGAATACAACAACGCACAATCAACAAACGAAATTTTCATTTATTGATTCGGCAGTGTAACGTTTAAAATTTAATTCTAGCAATAAATAAAATTGATGAAAAATTAAATTATAGATTATATACTGTATTTTATGAGATTGTTGATTGATTTCGCGCCTCATAAATTACAAATTGTTTTTTTTTGTTGGAGATTACGAAAGTGGATGATTAACTGATTAACAATTGATTTTTGTGTATTATTTCTGGTGGCTTTGAGCCGACCTACAAAAGTTTTAATTAACATCAAAAATTGATGCATTATTAACTTAAGTAAATAGGTACTTTGACGTTTTTGTTCTGTTTAGTTTGTAGCATGAACAAAGTTCTGTGTATTAAAATCTGCCGAAACGTATCGTAACATTAATTAAATAATTGTTTAATTTGTGAATATGATCATGTAATATTTAAAATATTGAAAAATGCCAAAAATTGTAAATTAATTCGATGAAATTATTAAAAATGGATAACGTATTCAAAAATACAGGCAAATGTTAATATTTGATTACAGTATTTAAGTATACAGTGGTATAAAGTACTTTAGACACGGCTTTGGCCGTCCGTGTTTAAAATACCACTTTTTATATCTCAAAACCGTGGAAAATCTGGCGCTTTAAAGGTGGAAGTAGAAACAAGTACTTTTTGATAGTGTTATCCATTTTTTAATTTTAAAATTTTTGCTTTAATAATTTGACAAACGTTTACTACTTACACAATTATTTTTTTTGAGAATAACCAATTTGCTTCCAATACATTTTGCGTCTTATGTAACAATTTCTTATCAGCATTGTCCTAATTAATATCTTAACATGTTACTACTTATGATTCATGTCGATTTCGACACACTTCGCCCAAAATTCAAATTACCAAACACTTGTATGCAAAGCAACACGAAATAGTTTAAAACATTGAATAAATCAAAAAGGAAGCACCTCTTGAACCCGATACATCGCGCCCGATTTACGATTTACATGCAACCTAGAAACGCATTCATTAAGATTTAAGACGTCAATCAAATTTTGAAAAAGATACGCGCGCACTACTAAAATAAGTAGTGTTAGACTTCGACTTATTAATGAATACGTAACAACAATAACAATAACATCGAATCCAGTGTAGAATTTACATGCACACAATCCAATCCCTCCGTCTGTCTACGCATGTTTATCAGTCCCAGTCATAAATATTAATTAATCCTTAAAAAAATTCAAAAATTGATTGTCTGTTACGAATTTATGGCAAGGAAAGTTTTGAGAGTAAGTTTAAAGTTAAAGGATTAAATCGCATTTTATTCTAAGTACGATGAACTTGACTTTTGTAATCAATTAGAATTAACAGCAAGTACTGATTAAAGTAAAAGTTAATTTTTATTATTGTCATACAGAGTAGATCTCACAAGTATCGGTGTTGTTATGAGTGGAGATATTAATATTTCAAGTACGTACTCGTGGATTTTTTATTAGTGAACTCTGTTCGTAAATAATATTCATTATCATTAGATCTATTTCATCATATTTTTATTCAGACATGGTTATTCCATGATGAGACATTTAAAAACATATTTTTAAATTGAGTTTTGGAAACTTTATTCAATAACAACAAGAGATACTTCAACACACGTGTAAAATTAGTGCGAAAAATAAGCCACAGGGTGCAAACTATGCTTTTTCTACTTTTAGCTTTCAAACGTCAGTTATAAAGTGGTACTTTAAGTACTTTAGTCACGACCTTGCCCGTCTATATTTAAAGTACCACTTTTTATGTCTCAAAACCGTGGAAAAACCGGCGCTTTAAAGGTGGAAGTACAAAAAATAATTAAGTTAGGATTCGTAAGCGATTTGAATGTGATATATGGTGCATTACTCTTTTCTCAATTGTGCCATACTAAACTGTTCTATAATTCTTTTTCTTATTCGTGGTCTGTTCTTCCTCATGGGTGCAATAATTTCAACTTTTTATCCCAAAAATAAGTGAACTTTTTTTAATTGAAATTACTGCCATTTACCAAAATAGTGAAATGAAGATGTCAATTTAGAAACGATTTGTACAAAATAGTAAACAAAATAATTTTTTCTTGATTATTTTATATTTAAAGTGTTGATTTGAGGAAAATTTTAAGGTCAATCTCACATTAATAGAAAATCAGAGTTCAAACCAGTTCAATACTCTAGTAGTCTAATGCTCTGAAGTTCACACTCTGAAGTACATTTCAAACGTTGACATGCGGTAAACAAACGTCACCTTTGACATTTAACTAACCTCAAAACTCACTAAATCAACGATATGTCACCATCAAACAAAATGACTGCTTTAATTATAAAAATGCAATGAATATTTCTAACCCACATTATCCAATTATCCAAAGATAATACCAGATTATTACCTAACATGTGTATTATGATTCCTCCGCTTATCGCACAATTCTTATCGCCTCCTGCCCGATCTAAGATTACAACCGGTTACCTATAAGCAATATATTCCAATACCTACGTCTTTGTTAGCTGCTACCATTACGCAGAAAATAATATTCTCGCACTTGTGTGCGTGTATGTGTGAATAGGAATGTTTATGGCGCGCGAAGCGATAACGCGTTATTAATAACATTACGACATTAACATCACGCGGCGCGACGCGAGATAAAAAAGTGTTTTCGATTCGGTAGCGCGCACGGGGGCACCTTTCGAGCACGCATTCATATATTACTCATTTCGTGCTGCATTTTGGAATCGGGGGCGATACGGGCGGACTCGACTTGACTTATCAAATCCGGAATTGATTAGCAAAAAACTCACACGCGGAGGTAAACAAATTGCAAATCCAATTGCATTGTGCACTTTGACTTCTGATTACATTTTTAACATACTAAATATAAAGTAATTAATTTATTTCAAGTATTTTACGATGCATCCCAAATCCAATTAAATTAATTAATTAAAATATAAGTGTTTAAATTTAAGACTGACCTTTGTATGCCTTGCATGAACACGTTCGGGAACACCCACCAGAGCACCCCGACGAAAAACAGCGCCTCCCAGACGCCGTCCATCGCGCCGCGCCGCCCCCGGCCGCTCACTCGTGTCTTTATCGCTCCCTGCGCACTACAAATTGTACCCAGGTTCATTAATTTAACAATCACAATAATCTAAGCGTGCCAAAAAAAACAGGAAATTAATTTTTTAATTTTAACATTGCGATTGGCTGAATGTCAACGCAGCAAAAATAAAAATAGAAATTGCACATATAATTAGCAATGCGATCAACTGCCAATCAGCAATTGACCTAGTCGCACACACAATAGCACTATGAATTATATTTTAAACATTTCTCTTTCCATATAGCCTATAGAATGACACATAACATAACTTTATATATTTATGTGTAGTATTTTAAAACAATATGCATGTCGTGATAAGTAAACTGCAAGCTTCTCAACATAAACGCGTAGAACTGTGTAAATAATTAAATAAACTCTGTTCAGGTGATAAGAAATCGGTCGGCGACACAAAAAGACTTCACAACAATTAATAAAAATAAAAAGAAACGATATATAATTAGAAACTCTTGCACATACAGCAAAAGTTATTTTTTCTTTCTTTTCTCGTATTCCTAGGAATTGTAACTGACCAATCAGTGAAAATTACACATCAACACCGTCTGTTTGGCCGTCATTTATCGCCGGCAGCGAAACGAGACGCGCGAAGCCCGCGATTCGACTAAAAAGCCGGAGCCAACCGAAGAACAAAACGCGATGAAGAGTAGAGTTACGAGTTACGCGGCGAAATTGTGGAGCACGCACGCGGCTGGTACTCGGCGTGGGCAAGGTCATGGAAAATTGCCTCTGAATAATATAGAAAACAAGAAATGAAAACAAAAAACAACAACTATCAATTATTTCCCTCACAGAATTTATATTATCAATAATGTTCTGTAAAAACTAACTGTGTGGAATTTAAAAAATCATGATTATCATGTAAATACGGAATGTGTAGCGTTGTGAAACATTTTTCATTGATGAAACAACACACGACACGAAACAAAACCTTCGTCTTTATCCTACTTATGGTTCGCATTGCATTGCAGTAATTGAATATTTAAGCTGATTTAAGCAAAACATGCATTTCCTGCGCCGCCATCAAACAACACATCCGAAAGCCTAACTTTAGCCAATCTTCCACAAATAAATGAGGCTAGAAAGCGTAGAATTATTAATTTTAGAGAGTATTAAACAATCAACGGCTGTTACCGTTATTAATTGGAGGTTATGCGATCGGAATCTCCAAAATGAACGATTTAATAAGCAAAAACAGAATGTTGATGACTTACGTTGTGTGCGTTGATGTGGAATATGTAGAGCCATACAATCAGTGCATGGATTCGGCGTCAATGTTGATTGCTCTGAAGAAGGTGAAGAGCGCGATGACAAGGAATGCCGTTGCCGGATGAAAGGCTACACCACAGCTGCACATTTGTACACCGCCGTACCGCACACGCGAATGCACGGTGTGTGTATGTGCAGATTGCGGAATGGAAAGAGAAGACGCGAAACCGTTGCGTTTGGATTGGGCTGAAATGTCTGAGATTCCTCGTCGTGTAGGTTATTTATAGTGGTATTGATTCACTTAGGAACTGACGACACAATACTGTTTATTTAATACTGCAGTTAATTATTTCGTGGCTTACGTCTTCAGCACTTTGTAAATCCACTTTTTGGGGCGTTTGGAACACTTTGGAGGTTGTGCTCCAGCGACACGCATCAAGCGGCACCAACATTGTTTTGTTTCGATACATGCAGCGCCATCGCACGCAGCTTTTATAAACTGTAGAACCAATATATATTTTAAAAAAAGTATTTTAATGATTGAATTTCTTTAAAAATAATGTTTTAAATCATGAATCTTTGCTATTACCTAGCGGTGGAAGGTAGTACTATTTTGACAACATATTAAACAACAAATAATTTGAAATATAACGCGCTTTACGTTTAAAATCGTTAAATAATGCGTCTTGAATCAAGATATACACCCATAAGCAATCCCCGTGATGTAGTATCCAGATCAACAAATACAGATCCATCATCAGACTCGGAGGAAGATTCTGAGCCAAGCAGGACAGATGAAAATTCACCATATTCAATGACCGAACAACAACTCGCTGCGCGTGCTTTAAAGAAACGCCGCGGAAGATTCGGCAAACAACTTCACGTTTGTATCACTGGTAAATATACATTTCCCCCATTTCCCACGTCAATTTAAATCTGTACTTTACCATTTTCAGTAACACTAGGTTCAATCAGTGCCGGTTATGTCATCGGTTCGGTTTGCCCGAAGATCCGTGACCAATACAACGCTAACGAAGGCCATTACAATCCAGACTATGCCCTTTTTGCAACCATTGTCTCCGCAGGCTTGGCCGTTGGCAATTTCTGCATGTCTATAGTATCAATGGTTCGTGGCCCACGCCGATTAATGCTCATCACAGCCCCATTGAATGCCTCTTCATGGCTGCTTATTCAAATTATGAAAACTGTCAAGTACCAAAAAGTGGGAATGTTCTTCTGTGCGTTCTTCTCAATTTCATACATACGTTGTGGATCACTCCTACTAACAGACGGCATACATGAAGACTATTACTACTTCTTTAATCTGATCTTTCAAACTGGGTATGGTTTTGGTATGATGCTTGGACATTTATTCGGCTTCCACCATTTGTTAGATTACTACAGTGATGCCCTAGGCGCTATAATTCTTACCGCACTCTTCATCGCTTTATTATTCTGCCGAGAAAGCCCTGTGGCCCTGTATCATAAATCACCACTGAAGGCACAGGAAGCGTTGATTGCACTGCGAGGACGTGATGAAATCCAAGTCCTCATGCGGCAAATCAGCAGAGATCATGAAGCGCGCGTGCTCACAATCGGCACCAAGTATATATTCGTCTATCATGTTGTCTATAAAAGTATGATTATCATTACCACCCTCGCAGTGTTGCAATGCTTCTACGCATATCACATTTTCATAATGTTTGACATATCAATGTGGTACACCAGTACAAGATTCAAAATGGTGGATATCTTTGGTGAATTTCATGATGGAATGGTCTATGGTGTTGCCTATTACATTGTTCCGTTCATTAGTGGATCACTCAACTTGCGAATGGTATTTGGTTTGAGGAAACCTGTCATGGCGTCCGCCATTACTGTGCCATTTGTATTGGTCATGCACAGCGTTTACTACTACGTGTTATTCCACACGGATTATTTGAATAACGTCATGTGGCTTTCGTTTGCCATACGGATTTTGCACATCATCTGTGTTAACTTCAGCAGTTCATGGAGTCTGGATGTGATGATATCGGATTACCTGCCAGAGCAAGTGCAGATTTGGGCCTATATTGGTGTTTATACCATCAAATATGGGATGTTTTCGTTTCTGTTCTGGTTGTCTTTTATGTTGGAGAATCTGCTGGGCGCTTCGGTAATCATTGGCATCTTCGCGCTGGTGTCTTTCGCGGGGATTCCTTTTTGTTACTTCTATATTGTCGAGTGTAAAGGTCGCACTCTGCAACAACTGCAGTTGGCTATTGGGGGCAATCCTATTGGGTCAAGAAATTCGTTTCGGTGTCGCTACCAGAATTATTTGACTCGATGGCGAAAGTTTAAACAAATTGAACGCGAATCTAGATTGGCTGGTAGCAAGATAGAGCCGAGGTTTGAGGAAATATACTTGTAAGACATTATAACATTATGAATGTCTCAAAATATAAATCTGTTTGTTTAAAAAGTAAGATGTTGAATTATTCTACGGTAAATTCAAATTTGCAAATGTAAATTTTAAAATTTTGTTATTTATTTCCATTTTATTAACGTTTTAAAATGGAAATAAATAACAATAAGTTGAGATTACGTTAACTTAATAAAAATTAAGTTCTTAAGCGCTTAAAAATGGCCCAATCATAATAATTAGCGTTTATAATTTAAGTTTTAAAAAACTTATAGACATAAATATTAAATTATCATTATCATAGTTTAAGTGCGTTTGATTAAAAATTTAAAGTTTAAAAGTATAACAGACATGTTAATACCAAAAGAAAAGTAAATTACGAGCCATTAACCTGCAACAAACTTACATTTTAGTTGTAATACAAGTTGATAAAGTAAACCCAACGATCATTTAAGTATTTATTCAAAATCTGTGGAAGTCCAATAGCCCTACATGTTTTTGTTTTGTTTCTTTTTGCAAATTATCTCCTCGTCAACTCGTCATTAAGTTAGCTTTCAATTGATTTATTTATAAAGTTTTCTCCATTTGTTTGTGATTTAATCTGCTTGGTTTTAATTCACGTTTAGTCTGCTTGGTTCGATATTAAAGTCTCAAGTGTCATGCAGTCTGCTATAAAGTCTCTTCGCCTTCGACACGCCTCGCAACTATGTATCATATCTATACAGATAGTGTTTATTCGAACTCATCTCCATCTGCTAGCACTAGCTCCTTGCGCACAATGCATATTACATGATATCAATTATAAAACATTACTCATTTAGACGATTACAAAAATATATCAGCTTAGTCTGCGCCTCCTCTTCGTTCTCATCGCGTTTTTGGTTGCATTTCATTAGTTGCAAGTGGCAAACTCACGCACAGTTCGAGATTGCTATGAATAACCTGAAGAGTTACACGTGTACACGAAGCTTGGAATGTATTTCTCATTAATTTATCATTTATTTCGTTTTAGCTGGTGTTGATGTTGTAAGTAATATGCGTTGTTGTTGTTGTAGTTGTTGATGTTAGTTGTTACTCGTCGGTCGTCCATTCAATTGATTTGTTTAAGAATGTTTTTACTGGTTTACAGCTAGTGTTACTAGGAACGTAAACGATAAACGAATCGAACGAACCAGAAGTTATTAAGAACGTAATCGGTTAGAAACGAGAGTAGTAGTATGCTACACCTGTCCAACCACCGCGCACTGACACCGCACTTGAGTAGTGTTCAAAGTAGTAAAGAAAAACAAACCCCTCTCCAACCACACACTCGTTTAGCACGCGACACACACATGTCCGCACCCGTCCGTCCACCCTCGCACATAATATATATATATTTCTTTGTTTATATATAATTATAGTATTTATTTGCTAAGAATTAAACATAAAAAGTTTGGGCTACTATTTCCATGTTTCTCGCGCGCTCGCTCGCTCGCACCCACCATTCGCTCGCATTGCTTTTCCGCTAAATTCTCGTCATTCGCACACGCACCCAAGCGCCGCCCCAAACATCGCCATCGCCCACAACACACCTGCGAGATGTCCATGTTTGGGCCGCCATTCATCCTACAATATAATGCACTTATGTATTAAAAAAGTAATGATAGAGTTATTCGAGGGAGGGGCGCCCTGCGTGTACCGCCAGCGCGATATGCGCGCGCCGCCCCCCGCCGCTAGCGTTTTTCTTCTTCTGTTTGTATATTCGATGCACTAAATCTAAAGAAACCTCGACGGACAACCGCACACCTCTCGCCGCTTATCCGTCGTTTTACAAGAAAAAGCCCTGCTTGCTGGTCGGCGTCGTCGGAAAGTAATGATATAAATGAAAGCGATAGTTAATTAAAAACAAACAAAAACACACGACGGAGCCACACCCCCTCTCGCCACTATAAATATTTTGATTTTTCATCGTCCGCACCAGTCCGTACGTTAAGTGATAATTACAATTATATCGTATCAATGTCGTTACAAAAATATAAAATCGGTTTCCACTGAAAAATATGTACAAAACTCTACGCTTAGGCGACATATAAAAAAGAAACTATAAGTAACAAGTAGTAATCATTATTACGAACGATAAACGTGCACATTTGTGTGTGTTTAAAATAAAAAATCGTAAATCGTAGCTAGCCAGCGTGGTATCAATAACTTAGACGTCGCGCGGGGGCGCGCTCGGCTCGCGATCGTAACTTAACGTAACAATTTTTTAAATCTGTTTCGGTTTTGTGATGTCTTGTTCTCGTTATATCTCTGTCTGCGTCCAAGCAACGTTCACGATATGTATAACTCTCAATGAACGAAACGAAATGATTGACGAACGTAGTGTTGTAATGCATTGAATCGACCGACGCTGCCGTGCTCACCGTCGTCAGCCCTCGAGCGCGTTACTGGTGGCGCTGGCGGTCCCTCCGATGCTCCGGCTCCTCCTCCTGCTCGGTGGTGGTGTGTTAGTGGACTTCGGATGGTTCGGGTTTCGTGGCGTGATGATTTGTAGGGTCCGACGTGCTCATAGACTAAAACAACCAAAGCCAAGTTAGAAACAATTGGTGCGCAATGGCGTCGCGGGTACTCACCAGGCCTGGCGGAGGAATGACGGCGCCCGCATGAGGCGTCGGCTGGGGGGTCGGCGGCGCAACGCTGGGAGTCACCGTGTGCGGGGTTTCGTGCGGCGTCGTGGAGTGCGCCTGTTGCACGGGCGGGAGCGCGCCGCCCTGGTAGTAGCCGCCGTTGACGCCAGCTGGGGACACTACACGTTCGTTAAGTAGGCTGGGCACGGGGCCGGGGGCGGGCGCGAGGGAGTGGGCGTGCGCGGACGGATGGGATGAGGGCGAGGGCGAGGCGTGGGGCGGGGCATGCGGGCGCGGCGCGGCCAAGCCGTTATTACCTGTACCTTCTGAGTAGGCGCCGGGCCCAAGGAAGTACTCCTTGTTGACGCAGTTGCGCAGGCACTCCGGGATGCGCCCCATGATGGCGCGCCGGATCTCTGAGGCGGCCATCTCGCGCAGTTCGGTCGCCGACGCGTCGCTGTAGAAAGCCGCGTGCGGCGTACACAGCAAATTGGGCGCCTCCTTCAGCGAGCCGGTAAACACATTGTACGGCTCGTTCTCATGCACATCCAGCGCGGCGGCGCGAATGCGGCCCTGTTTCAGCGCCGAGGCAAGCGCATCGTCGTCAACGAGACCGCCGCGCGCCGTGTTCACCAGGAAGGCGCCCGGCCGCATCTGCTTGATGGTGAACTCGTTGATGAGGTGATGGTTGTGCTCATTGAGCGTACAGTGCAAAGACACGCAGTCCGACTGGAAGAGCAGGTCCTGCAGCGTGTAGACGCGCGTCAGCCCGAGGCTCTTCTCGATGCCATCGGGCAGGTAGGGGTCGTAGAAGACCACGTTGAAGCCGAACGCCTTGGCGCGCAGCGCCACCGCCGACCCGATGCGCCCCAGCCCGACGATGCCGAGTGTGTCGCCGCGTATCCGCGCACAACCCTGCGCCGCTTCGCGCACCTGCTCGGGCCCGGTAAACTTCTTGCCCTCGCGCACCATGTTCGCCAGCCAGTACGTGCGCCGATAAAGGTTGAGGATGAGGCACAGCGTGGTGTCCGCCACCTCCTCGACGCCGTAGCCGGGCACGTTGCACACGGCGATGCCCAGCTCGCCCGCCGCCTTCACGTCAATGTTGTCCACGCCGGATCCAATGCGCACGATGATGCGCAGCGTCTTGAACTTCTCCAGGTCCTCCTTGGTGAGGATGATGGTGTGCCACATGAGCGCGCCCACCGCCTCGTTGAGCACCTTCTCGTGGATTTCGCTGGTGGACTGCGCGTCGCAGAACGCCACCGTCGCGACGTCCTTGAGGATGGGCATCTCGATGGAGCAGTCGCGGCCGTCCAAGAGCGCCACCAGCGGGCGCGACTGCATCGGCCCATTTGAAATGGGGCCGCGTATGCTGCTTTCCATGCGGGGCCGTTTCACGTTGATCATTTTCCGTTTGTCCATCGGACGCCGGCCGCGCGAGCGTTGTGGGGGCGGGGGCGGTGCCGAAAGGCAGGGGCCGACTGCTCGCTGTGCTCACTCAAGTCGGGTGGGTGTTACACTGCGCGACGCCAGCTGCCACAACCCATAGTAGTCGCTCATCAAGAGCCAAGCGTATCTGCAAATCAACAAACGCACACAAGTTACTAAAAATTCAACAATCCAACCAACAGCGGTAAAACTAATTCCAACCAACAACAAGTTGCCAACTATTATTGCGCGCCCGCAAACTTTTATGCACTCCCGAGCAGCGCGCGCGCGTGTTCCCAGCTTTAGTTGCGGTTCAGTTTTAATTAAATAAAACAAAAACTTTTCGATACAAAAAAATCGTTTTACGCGTTTTCGTCACGTGCACACAGAGGGGAATAGATTTAGCCCGAGGTTATCATAATCGAACAAAAACTTTATTTTCCATTTGTGGGCGACGCAAAACAAAAAAACAAAAACTTTTTCCGCCAGAAAATGGAAAATTATAAAACTCGCAATCGTCGACGACTGCTCTCGGCCCCCTCGCGCGCGCAAACTTTTTGAAAAGTAATTAAAACTCGCAGTTTCGCGCCGAGTTCAAAAGCGAAATCGTCGAATCGCCGCTTGCCGCGGTACAAATTCTTTAATTAAGTAAATCAAGTGAAGATTTAAAACTTTGCCGCTGCCGCCGCCGCTTGTAAGAGGGGAGAAAGAATGACGAAACGAATTATAAAGGAAAACTTTTTCGCGCACCAAACTTTTCGCGAGCGCATCGCATAGATATAAATATGAAATCGTCGAGGCCGCAAAGGACCACACCACCATCAGCCAAACTTCTTCATCTTCCTGGTGATGTGTGCATGTGTTGGTGTTTTAAAAGTCGGCAAACTTTTAACTAGTCTCGCGCCGCGCAGCACGCAAACTTCGGCGCTCTCGCACTGCCGGAGCGAACTAAAGTTGTTACAAAAGTGTAAGTTTATATACTTTATGGCAAAAGTTAGTTTTCGCGCTTGCAGCAGTGTGTGTGCGCGGCGCGCGCTCGCGACGAAGCGAAAACTTTCAATCGATATGGCGAAAAGTTTGCGCGCTTGTTGGGCGAGAAGTTCGCCAAAGTTGTTGCGCGCGCCAACTTGTTCAGGGCCCGTTGTTTCGAGCGTTCGTGCGCTAGCCCTCCCGCACACTTTTCCACGTTTTAACTTTTTAACACACATATTTATAGAATAAAAAGAAAAAGACATACACGTGAACACATAAAAAGTTTAAACTTGTTAGAGGGGTGAGAGAAAAACTTTCAAACACACAAAAAACGCAACAAAATAACATTTTAAAGTTTTAAAAGTGGAAAAAATATCAATTGACAATTAAATTTACGCGTCAAATATCAAAACTATCTGTATCTTAATCATAGACACAATAAACAATAACATTTATTATGTTTTCGTAATTAGATGCGTTGTTTTATCTTCCAGGTCGCACCAGAAACGCCATGATTAAAGACGTTGTGGTTGATTTGGAAGATTCGCGAAACTTTTCCACTCGAAATCGACGCGTAAACCTCAAATGAATCCCAATGGACTTTAATTACTTCACTCTCTAAATCGAAATCCTAAATCCCTTTCAGCTGCCACTTTGATTGCTTTTTTTAAATTTTAATTTCGCAATTTAATTCCAGCGTTAATTAACCTAAGTTATGATAAATATTTGCACAATATATAATCCCTTGTCGACTCGCAAAATAAACCATCAAACATATTATTAACCTGTTAGCCCCCCAACAAAATACTTCACGCCGCCCAGGCCGAAATAGTTCCGGATGGCGTGATGGGTTTCGTGGGACGCGAAGTAACTTTCCGGGCGCAGGATGCGAGCGAGGCCGCCTCTCGATTAGCCATTTCGCGTCCGTCGCCATTAAATGCTTGAGGGAGTTCAGGTATTTATTGATTGTCCGTTATGTCCGAAAGCAGCGCAGACGCCAACATCCCAAACATCAGAAATGTCCCAACATTTATACACTTGTAGATTCAGCCCTTAAATCACTTTTGAATCATTTTCGAAACGTAATATGTAAAACCTATGCAAGATTAATTTTCTATATTCGCAAGCAAGCAGCGAGAGAGCAGGGATGTTGATTGTAAATGTATAATGTTTCCTCTGCACTCCAGCTTTCACAATTACAGTTTAGTTTTGAGTTTACAACTGTTTGACTGCGTTTGCCCGCTCGTTGGCTCACTGAGGGGTGCACAAGCAAGCAAGGCAGGCAGGCAGGCAGGCGGTGGTGGGTAGTGTTCGGAGTGCGAGAGTGTCAAGATGAGCGGACCGGGACTCCCCCGGATCGATGATATTCGACCTCAGACGCCACGCGTGAGTTTCGGCCACCCCTCGAGCCGGCGAGCGCGCCGCCGCTTCCTCCGCCGCCACCCCACCGCCCACGGCTAACTTTAGACGCGGGGGCGAGCGAGCGTCGAGCAGCTCATCCCAAGCGCGTAAAGCATAAACGCCGAGAAGCGCGACAAACCAAACATCAACCAACTCTCACAACTCGCACTCAACTTCAATTCGTAATATCCTCGTCCTCGCTGCTTTATTTCTGTTTCGTATTTATGTGTGCGGTGTGGTGTGCTAACTTGCACTTGTACTACCTGCGTAATTACAGCCCGACGCGCGCGTTTAGCGCGTAATTATTTATTCATAACCTGCGCTTATCTATTGTGTCTTTGCTGGTGAAATTATCAAATACTATTAACGTGTGCAAATAGATTAAACAAATAAAACTAGGAAATTCAATTACAAATAAATAACGGCAAACAGTCAGGGTCGCATTTACGTTATGTTATGAAAATCGTGATTTGTTGAATAGACAAATGTAATTATCGGCGTTTAAGTTTTCTAATAAATAAAACTGCATTAGTCGGTTGTAAATTTCAACGTTTTACTCGTTACTATCGATTAAGTCGTAATTGTTGTCTAAACAAAGGAAATAATGACATGTTTTGAAAATGTAATCGCTTTCAATTTCATAATTTTGCACACAACAAAGCTATTATGTGCAAAATTGAAACTTTGTCAATAACATCACATCACCGGGCGGTACTACCAGATTAACACTTCATGCGTAAACACCCGGCGTTACTATGACAACAAAAGACAAACAACATTATATATTTTACAATCAAGTTAAAATATATGCCAACCCTGTGCTAAGATCAATCATATGTCATAATGAGCAATTTACGAAACGATATAGATGCCGAACGACGATAAAAGTTTACGACTTGTATTAACAACCGAAACAAAAACATTTACGAGCAACAAAGCGAAAAAGCTCAAACACCGCGCGCGCTGTTAACATCAACCGAGCGATTTGCATTTTATCTCAATTCCACCGATTCATGAATTCACCACGCATTCGCGTTCAATTGCCGAAAAATATCCATTTATCAATCCGCAGTTCACTGGCTATTAATCAACAACAAATTGATGCGTTATTATTCAGCACTATATATTAATTTCCGCCGCTGGAATAGTTTGTTGATTGGTTTCGCTTTTAACTCAATTCCACACCACTACACCCACAAAAAGTGTTGTAATTAATTAATTTGCTGAATTATAACTGCGCGCCAAAAGAGTAATCAAATGCATAATTAATATCGCGGCGCGGTACGAATACTAAAAAACAAAATTTAAGTATATTTAGTAATTATTGTCGAGTGTGTACCAATGTGTGTGTGTGATGTTGAAAAGTGTGTGCTTAAAAACACCTCCGCGAGCAATAAAACAAACAATTACACGAATAAATGCAAACACAATGGCCGCGCGGGCCGCCTGTGTACGAGATAATAAAGTTATTAGCTGTCGGTGGCGCGCTGTTGCTGTTATTACCTGTTGAATTCACGCCACGGTTGAATATTAATACAATAATGCTGTATGGCATGAATAATCTAGAGATGGAAAGAATTCCGAATATAATACGAAGAATGAAAATTGCTGCAACGAGGTCATTGTCAGACGTGTAGTGAAGGTTTCCGAAAACTTTCTCGTTGACATTCATTTGTATTCATAACGAATTAACGGCGATAAATTAATCAATCAAATGGAGCAGTTTGACTTGTATGATTAATAAATAATTATGATACGCATTAAAATATTGGTTTATCTGCATTTATCTGCGTTTATATAAACTTCGCATTAAATACATAAATTTCACTTTAACTGTAAATTAATTTTGATTAAAATTATTAGTTTAATACTAATTTTAAGAATTTAGAGTGTAATCTGAAGAATTATAAGAGCAGCCAATAAAATAATTCGATCATAAGCGGCTAATAAACAGGTATTAATGATGAAAACTGATTCCCTTAGGTATTAACGGTGATGGAGCGATACTCTAGCGGTAAAATAAATAACGCCATTTGCAATGAGTAAGCACATAACCTATAATCATAACCTATAAAGCTATACGGTTTATTAACCGTAGGAAAGTCCAGAAACTTACTTTTGCATAAAAAAAGCAAAAAATCGATTAAAATCGCCAGCAAAAAACGCGTTGTCTATAAATCTTGTAACACCTCATAGATAATTCTACAAGTTACGAAAAAAAAATAGAAATTTACATAAATATTCCAACTTAATTAAATATACAACTTCATAAAATCAAAATAAATCAATTACCTGCATAAAAATCAGGTCAAAAATAATTAATATCGTAAATTTCACACGAAAAGTAAACTAAAAATCCATTTCAAGATAGAAATGAGTTCCATCAACGCTTGATTGATACAATAATAAGAAACGTGCACACAACATAATTATTACTATATCACGAATGTGTGCTCGTGCCTTCATACTCAGAGCGTATCTCTAATAATCACGAGTTAACGAAGTCGAGTCTGTTGGTGCACACACACAAACATCAAGCGCAAGAGAAGAAAGAACTACCTGCCATCCACATGAAACAGACACGATGATTATGAGCAGTAAACTAAAAAAGCAGCGCGCAAGCGACGAGCAAAGTGAATGCGAAACAAATGACGAAGAATAAACTTGATGATGATGTAGAAGTCGGCGTCGTGGAGTCACACGAATATACGCATACGAATGCAAACGGAAAGTTTATCGAGGTCACACCACGCTTTTCCACGCGAACGGACGACTCGTCGACAAAAGCACGATGAGGACACATTTATACAGCGCGCGACTACTTTCTTTTATCGCTTTATTTTCATTCCAGGTTTAGTTTTTAAGTTTCGATTAATGTGTCTCGCAAGGTGCTAAAAGAAAGTAGGAAGTTTAATTTTAATTTCATGTGAAGAATAAACTCGCGGAATATTTATATGTCGGAAAGCAGCAGAACTAAACTAGGGAATGAAAATGGAATAAAAAATTCGTAAGCTTTTGTAAAGCAACGGCAACGCCGACGTAGAAAAAAAAAAGTAGAGCTTTGCTCAGCTGATTTTTTTTCCGCGCTGAAACTTGCAGACTATGCTACGGAATAGCTGAAACACTAAAACAGTGCGCGACAAAAGTTTTAAATTATGTATTTGAAATAAAAACAATAATTTCCAGAATAATTCTGCAATAATCATAGATTTTTAAGCTGGGGAAGCAAATAAATTATTTAAAAAAAGTCTAGGGAGATATACGTCACCATCAATCAAACATGCTCGATTGCAGTTTGTATGACACTTCACCACTGCTTTACGCCGAGTGAAAGCGCGAGAATTAAACATACGTACGCACAAAACAGCTGTTTTTATTTCGTTTGCTTGTTTATTTCAACACGTAGTTTTAAATTTGGACGCGACGCGTTTCGCCTGCTTGCTCATATACAATGAATCACCAATAAAAACGATGAAGATAGCCGTAGCCACCTTAAAAGTACTCCCAGTTAAGAAAAAGCAAAACATTTTGAGTGTCACTGGTATAATCTCGGTACAGATTCGTGCGGGGGTTTGAAATCATCGAAATCGTCGTGCTCGCCTGCGACGTGATGTGACCGGTCAGCAGTGCAGACGCACGCGTTTTCCTTTTCAGCTGACGGCGGCCTTTTGTTTATTACTCAATTATTCTCGAACGAAATTCGAAAAATCTCCGCATATCACACATCAGCAATTCGCATTTTATATCAATTATTACGATTAAACGCAACATACACATACGTTTTGCTTTAATTTTTATCTTCTTCTTTTTTTCGATTCGACCAGTGAAAAAGCACGCAAACAAAAAACAATTAAACTTTATGCCGCACGCATCACGATGAGCACGAAAGAAGAACAAAGACGAGTCGTCGTCGTCGTTTTTGCTCTGGGCGCCGCGCAAAACGAAAAAATGAATCAAGTGGAAAAACATCCGAGGGGAAAAAGTTGGGATTATAACTCGCCCCACCGACCAAACAATACCCGAATGAAAAATGGTGGTGAATGCAAAAGAAAAAAACTTTGTAATAAATTTGACTTTAAACACATTGTATGCGTTGTAAACTATATATTGAAGCGCGTATATGTAAATTCAAAATTGTTGGAATGGTCAAGAACGCGCGCGGCGCGGTAATGCGGCTCGCCAGTAAGTGGAAACCGGCCCGAGGAACACCTAGGCGGCTATTTTTATAACCGCCTTTCAATCATCTGGCCGCAGGCCAACTGATAATCGTGCAAATACAAATATGTGAAAAATTCCAAGTCGCATCTTCAAAATATCACAAAACATTTGTTTTAATATGCAAATTTTCTTCTCTTTTTAATAAAAATGCTTAAATTATCAAAATAAGATAACACGAGTGTAATTTTCATAATGTGTGGCATGATGTATGTGTATTTACGGGCGAATTTGTAAATAATTACACAATCCGCGTCGGCATAAAAAGGCGCAAGGTAAACACGGCGAAAACTCCGTTCAACTCTGTTAAATTCCGCTCAAATCCAACAAAACGAATGTAAGTTTAAGTTCAACTTCAACTTCGCGTTGAGCCGCGCGCGCGATGCTTCCAACTTTCGAACGTCGAGCGCGCGCACGAGTTGCAAAAGTTACGCGCCACTAAACTTTCCGATTAGATAATGTCTGCGATTTTTTGACAGGTGCGAAATCGCATAGACTGCAATTTTTTTCCTCCCATCTTCAAATACTTAATAAACTAAATTGCAATATTTTTAAAACTAAATTTAAACACTTACAGCGAAAATTTTCGTACGACCGGAAATTAACACACTGATTCATCGATAATCGCGTCGTTTGCCAAACGAAATCAAACATTGATAAGCTTACAAAGTTGAACACTTAATTTTAATTTGTATGTATTTTTAACTCCAGGGCCGTACACGGCATGAAATAGCGCTCGTCGCGGAGAATATGTGTCGAAAATAAATCAACACACGTGTAACAATGGGTGGCAAACAAGTTTTCGCCCATAAATCACCATCATTAATATGAATACGAATGCACACACACAAGCTCAACGTGTGCACGAATGTAAATCTCTCTCTCAAGTCGGTGTTAACTGCCCCGGAGTGCCCGGTTCGGATGTGTGTTTAGGGGGTAAACCCCCAGCTGGGGCGACAATGCCGTCCATATTGTGTGTAATTTCAAGCCGAGAGAAAAACCCAACGCACATCGGAATATTTATGAAATAAAAACACATACATTTGCAAGTTTAAGAGACGAAATTCACAACGGTTGAGCGTGGTCAGTGATGTGGTCTTTGTTGCCTGGCACACTACACAGCAAATTTTCCACAAACTACTGGCATAGAACAACGCGTAAACAACTTTTATTTTATTTATTTATTTTCGCAGCCTGCTAAAGATGTCGATCGTATCGGTTTCACTTTGTGGCGCTTGGAAGCTTTAAACACTTTAAAGTCGTCCCCGATTTGTTTTTTTCTTACGCGCCTCGGCATTGCGTAGAGCGTGTGCCGCGAAGCTTTGTTGGTCAGAGCGTCGCGTATCTCATTCGCGCGAAATGCCGCGAAACAGGCTCGCGCTGCTCGGGCGTGCGACTACGACGAGCTCTGCTGCTGGCCGAGGCTGAGAGCTTGAGACAACAACGCGCTCGCGGGCATTTCGCGACTCGCTTGAATGCCTCGACGCACCGCGAAGCGGCGACGACGACGGAGACATATAAACACGCGAGCGGGCTAGAACGCGCGCGCGTGTGTGCGGTACCCGCTCGCACACACCGCAGACCGGACGAGAGAAAGTCGTCTTCGGCGCGGCTGGCCGGCCCTCAAGACGACGCCGCTGCGCCGCGACATCATCGCCATGCCGGCGACGCCGACGCGCGCGCGAATTAACGGTACGCGCGGCGCGGCACCCATGCACACACGACGACGCACTACTGCGTGTGCTCGGTGATGGTTTTTATGTAGATGATGATTTTTGCTTTTGCTTACCTTTGGGCGCTCCGCGCGCGCGACAGAAACAAAGACTGGCGCTGGCGGCCACGCTGGTGGAATTCCGTGCGATGTGCTGCGGCGAGCGCCGCGGAGCAGGTCCGTGCGCAAGGCGAGAGCGCTGGGAGAGAAAACGCCGCCGTCCGATGCCGTTGGAGACGCGCCGCCGGCGCGCTCAATCTGCCGCCGAAATTGCGTACAACACTACCGCCACAGGCCCGCTAGTAACGGGCACGCACTTTTCGCGTTGTTCGTGCCGATTTTCCGGACGCTTTTCGTAAAAATCGCCAGACACAGCGTTCGACCGTCACCACAATCCCCACTTTCAGCACAGCAAAATGGCCGGCGCGCCGCTGCACAGCATCAAAACTTTTAGCATCTTGCTGCGTTGCCATTTACCACCCTAGAATTCAAACGGCGGTTACAAAACCACCAAAAAAATCCCAATCAACCGTTGATTCTTAATAAAACTTCAAAATGATTATAAATTTAGTTAAATATATAATATTATCTTAAATACCACATAGTTTTTAACGTTATAAATTATTAATCAACCACTTTCCTATCAATTTTGCACTAATTAAATATGGTGGAGAACATGAAACAAAAGTTGTTTCAAAAATGACTTTGGATTCTCAAAGGTATTAAAACCTATAAAAACACAACAATGCAATTCACAAAGATTGTTTTTAATTATTAAATGCTCTTATGAAATTCTTTAAAGTAACATATTTAGTAAATGAACCACACCTTGTCATAAATTACACGGCAGGCTAAAATTGGCAACAGTGCATAATGCGTGTATGCATTTAGGGACTTTTCCTGCCACTACCAACCAAACAAATGTCCAACTAAAAATTTCCCGCGTTTCTGCCAAAACTCGTCTTTTAAGTTTTTAACCTCAACTGTCCAGCGACTACTTAGAAAAGTTTCAAAGCGCAAAAAATAAATTTATAAGATTGAAAAACTCCTCCAAACAATGGAAATCGATATTCAACCGTTACATTATGGACATTCCAGTGGTCACACCGATATTACCTACTCTACAGACGGAGAGTAAGTTATTTAATTCGATTTAAATAAATATTATGTTTTAAACTACTTTTTTTTACTTTAAACCTACAGACATTTAATTTCTGGTGGAGATGATGGTGATATCCGCATCTGGAATGGGTTTGATGATGCAGATCCGTTTCAAACCGCACTGGGCGAAGTTGTATTATGCACAAAACAAAAGAATGATCACTTGATTGTGGCTACTGACAACAACAAAGTTCAACTTGTTCAATTCCCAAGTGGTGAGAGGGATGGATTCCTCACAAGATTCACAGCACAAGTTAATCATATTGCTGTTAGTCCATCACACAATGTAAGTTAATTATTTTCTCATTAGTTATGCAAGTTTGTAATTAATATTAATATTTTATAGTGGGTTGCAATAGGCTCTGAAGACATGACAACCCAAGTTGTGAATCTTGAATCTAAAGAAGTAAAAAACATGCCAACAATGAAAGGGCCAATTCTAAGCCTTGCAATTGATCCTTCACATTCTTATATTGCCATAGCATGTGGTGATAACTCTCTGAAAATAATAAACATTGAAAATCAAGATGTGGTCAAAGAATGGAATATTGTAGCTAAAGCTAATTCATTTGAAAATGCGGAAAATCTATGTCGAATTGACTTTGACTCTCAAAATAAATACCTTGCTTACCCACATGACACCAGTGTAATTTTAATTACTATTAATGATTGGTCAGAGGCTGCTAAACTAAGTGCAAATGAAAAGTTGATGCAAACTTTTCAATTGTTACTTTTTCGCCTAGTGGAAGTTATATTGCTGCAAGTTCAACCGCCGGAGACATTTGCATATGGAATATTGAAACATTAACTCTCACAGGACGAGTAAAACACCCCAATGATACTATTATCACCGCTTTATGCTGGAACCCAAAAGAAAACGGCGAGTTGGCATTCAGTGATGCAGAGGGATATATTGGCCTAGCCATTAATTGTTGCACCACTTCTACAACTAATAAAAAAGTATCAAAACCATTACCTGATGAAATTGATGAAGATAATGATGTAATGAGTGATGCTGATGGTGATGATCCAATCAACGCTGAAAAAATGATCGATGATGAATTTGCAGCTGCGTTTAATGACGATGATGATGAAGACAATGAAAATGCTGTTTCTTTAGAGAAATTAAAACGCGATGTGATGGGTCCTGTTGATAATGAACAGGAGGATAAAGTTTCAGTGCGTTCTGCTTCACCGCGGCCTAGATCACGCACTCCGGAACCACCTTTACAGGAGAGTTTCATGCCGTCGTCCACACCAGAGCATTTAGATCCGAGATACATGTGCTGGAATGAAATCGGCGTGATTAGATGCTATGGGTCCAATTTGGAAGATGAAGAAGAGGGTTCCAGATCCATTGAGGTGGAGTTTCATGATTCAGCTATGCATAATAGTATGATGATGGCAAATTATAATGGTTACACGATGGGGTCGATTAGTTCGGCGGCACTTGCAGTTGCAAACGCAAGGTATGTAATTAATGATCTACCATTCGTGTAAATACAGTTTTTAATATTAATTTTACTTCTAGTACTATAAATATTGTTCCTCTGGGTTCATCCACCAAACAATGGACCCTCAACGCGCCGGGAGAAGACATTGAGATTGTCTCCCTTGCAGCTTCTCACAATCTCATCTGTTTCGGTACTAACAAATACCAAATCCACGTTTGTACCATTTACGGCGTGCAGAAAGCAGTTTTTTCCGTGCCGGGACCAATAATCTGCACGTCTGCTTGTGGATATGTTCTGATGGTTGCTTATCATGCTGGCAATTGGCGTAAAACTGACCAGAACGTTGAAGTTCTTCTGGTAAACCTCGAAGGAGCTTCTATTGAGTGCCGCCATCTTAAGTCTGCCATTGGTCCAGATGCCACTTTACAGTGGTTGGGATTTACTGATGTGGGCACACCAGCCATGATGGACTCAGCTGGAATCATCAGCTTGCATCCGCTACAGAGTAATATTTGGCTGCCATTTTGTAACACGAAGAAACATATGAAGAGTCCATTGGACGGTTTCTTTGTTACCGCGATTAATGAAAGCTCACAGGCGGTCAGAGGTGTCAAATGCAAAGGTAGTTTGTATCCACATCTGACACCGGTGCCGACTTTGAGTGAATTAACTATGGAGCCGCCATTTTGGAATATGGACACTGAGAAGCATCAGTTGGAGGCGAATTTGTGCACGTGGGGGATGCTACAAGTAGAAAACACCTCCAAAAAGTTGAAGGAGACTGCACTTAAAGCTTTTGCAGTAAGTTTGCTTTATATATTCTTAAATCGACGTTGAGTTTAATTTTAATTTAATTTTTAGCTGTCTGCAAAGAATAATTTCGATCAACGCGCTCTAGAATTGATGGAAACACTACAAAACCCAGCCATATTGAATTTAGCGCTGAAATACGTCAATAAATTAGGCAAAAAAAGACTTTCTGAAAAACTTATCGAGTTAGCTACGAAATTAAACGTTGATGAGGATGATCTAGACCAAACCGAAGTCTCCACACCGTCAAATGTGATCAAACCCAGGCAGAAATTGGTATTAACAAGCACTGGGAAAGTTTTAAACAAAAGTAAATTGCTTTCGACACCTACAAGTTCACCTGCTGTTAATGCCAATACTCCAAACACGCCCACTCAAGTAATTTATAATTTCACAAACATGTTTTACCCAATTATTAATTGTTTTACGTCTAGGAATCACTTGCAACTCCCCTCAGCTTAATATCACAACAAGACATTGCAATTTTGGGCGATGAACCGAAAAATCCGTTTCTCAAAAGTCTTAAAAAGACAAAACCGGAAGCTTACAATCCGTTAAGTCTCACCGATAAATTCGCAGGATATTCCGATGCTAAGGAGAAGGAAAACAAGACTGAAGGATCAACTGAAAAGAGGAAGTTGTCGGATACTTCCCCAGTTGATAAATCAAAGGAAAAACAACGCAAATTGGATAAATTCATGTTCAAACGCACTTAATTGATATTTAAAACTGTCACCGCATTTAAAGCTTTTATGTGTATCACTACTTTTATCTAATTATCTAGTTTTGTTATTTTTACTATTTAATTATTGAGTTATTCTATTATTACTACTACTTGCGCGGATCTGAGTAAATGCCTTTGGCAAACATTGCTTGCCACTCTGTTCCACAAGGATACTCGTACTTGATCAGAGTGTCCTTCGTGAATGTAGTGCCGTAGCCAGGAAACTTTATATTCAAATATATTAATTATTTATGCATAAGAATACTTTTTAAGTGTTGCACTCACCTGTTGCGCTTGATAATGCGCGTTGCGTACATCCAAACGATCCTGGAAGTGTTCGTGTTGTTGATCGACATATTCAATAAAGCGACCTTCCATTGTCCCTGACAAGGATAAATAATCCCACATTTGGAGGTGTTGTACCATTTCGCAGAGGCCTACACCGCCAGCGTGTGGGCAAACTTTTACTGAAAAAAATTTAAAAATATAATGTTGCGGGTGTAAATTATCATTTTATGTGATAACTTACCACCTAATTTATGCGCCATCAAATAAACACTTAAAATTTCATTAATGCCGCCTATTCTGCAGGAATCTATCTGACAGAATTGCATTGCGCCCGCTTGTAAGAACTGCTTAAACATTATGCGATTCGCGCACATTTCACCAGTGGCAACGCCAATATTGAGTGGTTTCAATTCTTTGGCGATTTTTGCATGGCCGAGGATGTCGTCCGGTGAAGTGGGCTCTTCAATCCATAAAATTTGAAACTCTGCGAGTTGTTCCATCCATTTTACGGCTTGATTCACGTCCCATACTTGATTGGCATCAACCATCTATAAAAATAATTTAAAACATGTTTATACTTGAGTTAAGGAAATGAAAAAGATGCTCATACCAATTTGCAATCGTAACCAATCGTGTTGCGCACAATCCGTAAACGTTTCTTATCAACGTTCAAATCACGCCCCACTTTGACTTTGAATGCTGTGAAACCTAATTTCATGTACTTGCGGCATAAGGATTCTAGGTTTTCGTCACTGTAGCCCAACCAACCTGAGAAATTTGTTTTTCCATATTATTATTGTTTTTATTGATAATTTACTCCAACTTACCAACTTGTGTGGTGTAGGCAGGATAACCAGTTGATTTGAGTATTTCCAAACGTTTTTCCTGGCCAGTTTTACCTTTCCTCAACATTTCAATGGCTTCCTCTTTGGTTATTACATCGGTAATGTAACGAAAATCAATTGTGGACACAAGTTGTTCTGGTTCCAACTCTGATAAAAGTTTCCATACCGGTTTATTCAGTAATTTTGCCCATAAATCCCACAAAGCATTAATTATTCCAGCGGTAGCAAGATGGATGACGCCCTTTTCCGGTCCGATCTAATAGATATTATTGTATAGTTTTAATTTTGTTTTGATTGGTGATGAATTGTGTATTACCCATCTTATTTGACTTTCACTAGTCAAACTGCGCCAAAACGATGCGAAATCTTTGTAAATATCAACAACTGTTAAACCAACAACGAGATGTTTTAGAGATTCGACGGCCGCAACGACAATTTCAGTTCCTCGGCCAAGAGTAAAACTCAAACCGTGTCCTTCCAAACCAGTAGAAAGTTTGATTGTTACATATGCGCAGGAATAATCGGGATCAGTGTGCTACACATAAAATACATAAACAAAATACGTAAATAACTGAAAAATTTAAATAAACTTTATCAATTACCATTGCATCTGATCCGTGCTCGCCCAAAGAAGTCGGAAAACGCACATCTTTCACCTCCAGCGATTGAATTTTCAAATTTTCATTTGTTATCGTCGACATTTTAAAATGTTTACTAAGTTGTTATTACGTTGTTTCCGTTTGGTGGTTCATAAACGACTGAATTCTACTTTCACGTGACAAAACGTTATATACCTGCTTGAGTGCACCACAACAAAAACTGCAATGCGCCTTTATTCGCAGGTGTTTTGATGGAAATAAACAATTATCACGGCGTCTCAATGTGCGCGTCGCGTGCCTTACTATTTAATAAATGCGCACGGAAAGTTTGCAAGTACCAAAACAACACTTTTAAACTAAAAAATGTTAAAATACACTTGAAATTCAATCTGACATGAAACAAAATACAAAAAATCTTCGGTGATATAGATATGATCAAAACAAATAACAAAATACGCAGCATTCAACACAAAACAAATAAACGTTAAATTAAAGATGTTAAAAAGATCGTCGAGACTTTTGTTAAGGTTATGACAAAACCGGCTTTAACAGCTGAAAATTAACACAAGTTATTAATAAACACTGCACATATAAAACTTAAGGCGCAACAAATATGTTTATTTAGGTTTGATAAGATACGCCTGCTGCCGAGTTGTGTTTAACTGATCACGTTCGTGACATAACTCAACGCTTAGAGGCAATTACAAAATCGCGTTGTAGTGCTTGGCCCAATTAAATTACAGAAATTGTTATTGTCCTGTAAATTCTTCTGCAGTTTGTGAATCATTATTTCAAGATGCTCCAGTTGCCTGAGCTGCTGGTCCAAGATTTTTTGTGTTAGCGTAGCCTTACAAACAAAGAATATAAGCATGTAAAACTTCCATTTCACCATATTTGATGTTTATGTTTGGTTTTGCTTATCATTTTGTTATAACACAGAGAGTGTTGACTCTTAGGAGCCGAAATTGTATGTAAATGACTTAATTTTACTATTTTTACCTGATCCGGCGTACGATTCTCTTTAGAAACAAATAAAGATGACATTATTTCTTCAAATGCTGTTATAAGTTTAGTCATCGCCTCGTTTACTTTCAAAATGATAGGATAACTACAAGTATTAAGTAAAATTAGGTTGATTTCGATAAAATGCTACAAATAACTCTTACACTACGACTCGAAGCGGATCCAGCATACTCTGTAATCCATTATTTAACCCATCACCCTCGAATTCAATAATATTCGCTTCTAATTCGTACATTAATTTATTCGTTAGCGAAATATTCAGTTCAATTAATTGCTGCCAGTGCCTCAAGTAATTCAGCATCCGATTCATATTTTCACACTGAGGAAATATCATTCATTTACAACTAAAAAGTGTTTTCTTTTCTTTTAATTACCTTGCTGTCATTATTTCCCACATCAGCGAATATTTTATTAATTTCTTGAACTTGATTCATGAACTGCACTTCATAGTCTTTTATCATGACACTTGACATGTTCACAAAATCCTCTAATTCCACAAAACTCAAATTGCGGAATTCTGGTAAGGCTACATCTTTTGGTGACTGCATTTTGTATCAATTACTAAAAATTTTATTGCCTAATCAAGTATGTTTGGTGACATTTGTACAGATTTAACTTCTCACAGCCAACCTTTCCTTTTGCACAAATAAATTAATTAAGAATCTAGTTATATTGGAATTATTTACTTCTACTTCTCATCTGATAAAAGCGTTTGTTTGTTAAGTGTCATTTGTTTAAGTTTAACTTCTTAAAACTAACATTTTCAATTTAAAAACTTTTTTACTTTAACTTTTCATACTGATCTTTAACTGCTATCAGTTTATGGCGGGCTTCAGCCAGGTCACTACTTAATCCCTTGTAACAATCCAGTTGTGTCTTTAATTCCTTGTGTTTCTGCCTGAGATCATCTAATTTATGCACCTCATCCATTATACTGGTTAATTTCAGTTCTGAATTCTTTAACCATGGATATTTCTTCTCCAGCTTTGTAATTTCGCTGTCGTAACGCTTAATTTTTCCTTCTAGTTGATATATTTCTTCATTTGTTACTTTGAATGCTTTGATATCCTCTTGAGCAGATGCATTTAAACTACAAAACATTAATTATTTTTATTTGTTTTATGAATTATGTGTTTTACTTACACTTTTAATGTGTTAATCTGTTCCAGCAACTTTTCATTCAGATTTGAATAAATTCTGTTACAAAATTTTAATTTTGCGGCGTACATTTGATTCTTTCTGTCGCGCCGCATTCCGTCTTCAATCATCTCTTTTTCACTCATTCTTTTAATGTTTGGATTTGCATCTGCCAGTTCTCGAATGGTTTGCATTATTCTTTTTGTGTGCAATGAGACAAACTTTTCCTGAAGATATGGAAGTTTTTCTGTGGCACTATGCAGCTGTATTTCTAAAAATATATCCATTTTTAATGTATATTAAGTTATAATTATAATAATACTCACTTTCTTCTTGTAGTTGCTTTACTTTATGAAGATCTCTGGCTACCCCTTCAAGGTTGATTGCCATGGGCTCTGATGGATTCTCAGTCCTTTGCATATATTCAATTGGGATTATTTGGTTATTCCTGACCTCGTAGATGGCTGGTAGATGATCCATTTTAGTGTAATTATGAAGAAAATTTGGGATCGTATAGAACAAAATATAAATTCGAAATTTAACGGAAAACAAATGACATAACAAGGCCTACTGAATTTATGGTTAGTGCGACCAACGGCGGTGGAATGTGCAAAACCATATTTTGACAGAGGTATAGTTTTAAAACATAAGTAAAACATTACTTATAAAAATAAAGTAATACATTAAATATACAATTATTAATAATATAACATATCAGCTACTGCTTGCTTTGTTATTAATATTTTGGTGATTATTTAACAAATCAAGAAATTCAAAAATGTAACCTTGTCAATGACAGTAAACTAATGCATTTTGTAAGTAGCGCCCTCCTTTTTAGAATTACGTACTAAATTATATTTAACTTTAGAATACATTTTAAAATTAGTAAAGTTAACTAAAAATAATGTTAAACTTGACATAAATTATTACTGAATCTGAGTTTAATCAGTGCAAATATCAACAAAATTAGTTTAATTTGTTAATTTTGCAAATAATTTCAAAAATATTGATTTTTCTGTATCCCTACTGTTTACTCCATCAGGAAAACAAAGTCCAACAAAATAAAATAAGAAACAAGAAGTGTATAATATGCAAACCAGTATAAATATTAAATAAGTGTGCATTTGAAGCAAGTATTATCACATAGATTAATTACATCAGCTGATAAATCATAAAGCATCATTTTCCAAGTTCAAGCAAATTGCATTACTCAAACTAGAGAAATTATTACTAAAATTAGAACTAAATTCAATATTGTATTATTTGCATTATTTTGTAAGAGTGTTTAAGAGGTTTTGCAGATTTTGGAAATCCAACTCCAGATTCACCACTGACGACTTTTGATTATTAGCACAGTACTGTTTGGGAAACTGCACGAAACCAATATTTATCGGCTTACTTTCTTCAAAAGCCTATAGAAATACAAATAAGAAAAATATCAATTAATCAATTTAACTTTCCAACAATAAAACACCTACCTTCTTCATCTCATTGGTAGGGAAGACAGTAAAATCAGACCCGACTTGCGAACCAAACTGTCTCTTCATGCTTTCAATCATTACTTTACGTTGGAATGCTGCCGCTCGTGCTTTGAGTCTTATAAGCTTCGCTTGTTTATCGGCAAAGTGCCTTTGCCATCCGTTCAATCTCAGTTCAGGTTGCAGTTTGTAAATCGATGGGAATTTCGGCATTGCAAGAGACATAAGTATTTCCTAAGCAAAAGTAAAAATAAATTAAGTCAATGAATAAAAATAAAATTTAATTGATTGATTAATAAGTACCTGTTTTAATGCAGTTCCTTCTTTGTAGAGGGCTTCAATAACCGGATCAAACTCCGTCTTAAACTTAGGCAACGGTTTCAGACCATTCAGAATATTCTGAAGTTTAGCACTCTGCAGCTTCATCCTTTCATCCCTCTCTTTAGCAAACAAACTTTGTAAATGATCAATTTCCTGGAGCAACATCGGTGAATCTTTAACAATCTGCGGTAGGGTAGGTTCATCCTTTCTATCTTCCTCCAAAGCTTTAGCACTTTCAATTCCTGGACTCTTACTAATCTGCTGCAATTTTTCCTTCATCTCTTTCTTCTCAACCTCTAAACTATCAATGTCAGCTTGCATGTAATCCATAGTCTTCTCAAATTCCTTCTCCAACCTTTGCACGCTTAATTGCGACTCGTCCAGTTTCCTATTTAATTTCTCAATAGTCAATTCATAATCTTTATTTACATTTCCAAACTTTTTCTCAGCCAATTCCTTCCGAATAGTCATCTCAGAAAGTTGTTCCTGTTTATCTTTCAAAGCTTTCCTCAACTCTTTAATATCAGCATCTTTCGCTTCTAATTTATTCGTGAGTGTTTTAGTTTGCTCCAGTTCTTTCTTAACATGACCAGCGCGAATCATAACAGTCGGAATCTGTTTCTCTTCACTTTTACGACTCGTATTAATCTCATATTCATTATCTTGCAGAAACTGGGCGAGTTGTGCAATTTGTGTCGCAATAAACGAGATGGAATTCTTAATACTTTGCACCGGACCCAAATCATCTTGTTCGTAAATTTTATCGCTTGCATTAATCGCTAAATCTTTCATTTTATCCGAAGACAATCCCTTATCGGAATCACCAGATGTCGCTATTGTTTTCACCGCGTTTTTATTAATATCCTGCAGAGTTTTCAGGATTTTCCCGGAGTGCAAGTAACACTGATATAGATTCTCAAACACTTCTTTGTTCAAACCAACATTCGAGATTGCATTATCCGGTGGGATTCTACGCTTGATCAATTTAATCTGCGCCTGAATTTGCTCTGAAGTTGTAATAATATGCTGAGATAACAAACCAATATCCCCAGCAGTCACTGATTCCAGAATATTACGAATAACCAAAGCGTCAACAGAAATACCGTCCATAGCGGCACCTAATAACTTGACATTATCATTCAACAACTGTGTGTGATTCAGTTTGTTCTCCGCGCTTAGTTGTAATGGATACATTGTATAGAAATAACCAACACATTTTTCAATCAGTTCAGTTGGTACATTTTCATCCAACTGACTGCGTTTAACCAATTCTACAAACCCGTCGATGACTCGCTCTTGTGCTGCCATCTCGCTGTAGTTAGCACCAACGTTAAGTAATGTCTCCGATTTACAAGAAGTCAAACAATAATCATATTGATGAAGAATCGACTGCAGTGCGTAAATATAATAAGACAAGCGGCATCTAAAGCTGTATTGTTCAACCGCATGTCCTTTAATAACTGCATTGCGATCGATTTTCTCAACAGCTGGGAATTTATCTCGTAACTGACCGAGTAACAAGTCAGTTTTGCAAATCATGCGCGGAATGAGTAACAAAACCAGCACGGCATCGTGATCTCCACCACGATTCATGAAATTATCCGGCATAAACGCGGTTAAGTACCGGATGTGTTGTTGAAGTTGTTGGACATCCACCCGACGCAATTCCAAATCAATCGCTTTGGTGTGCGCTTTTGTTTCAGTAAACATTTTTTTGAAGTCCATTATTTCTGGAAGTGCGGAAACTGGTTTAGAAGACTCTGATTCTAAACGGTTTTGTAGATCGAGTGATTGTTCGCGTAGTTTTTGAACCAAATCGCGGAATTTGTTAATGGTGGATTCGCGATCGGCGATTGTTTCAAGCGCGGCTTCCTTCTCACGGAGAGCTTCGCGATGCGCGGAGCACGCCATGTCTAATTCTTCGCGCAGATCACTTTCCATTTCAGCGTTGCTTTCCAAGAGTTGTTCGTTCATTTCTTGCAATGCTTCCAGTTCAGAGACTTCTTCCTGGAGTTGCACTACTTTTTCTTCAAGAGTTAATTTTTGCTCGCCGAGGATAAAAACCATTTCCTCTGCACCCAATGCTGTATCAACCTAAACAGAAATAAAATAATTAATATAACCTGACTTTTAAAATAATGGTTATGTTTTAAACCTGTTCTTGTAAATCGGAGATTTGTTGTTCCATTTGTTCAACCCGAGTGCTTAACTTTTCCTTGGTTCGTCCCAACTCGGCAATTTCCGACTTCTTTTGATCCATGTCTTTCATGAGTTTCTGATATTCATGCTTGTCATGTGCGGACAGGTCACGCATGCGCACTAATGCCTCTCGTAGTCTGGCGTTTTGTTGCTCAAGTTGTTTAATTTCATAACTTGATACCGCAGTACCCTCACCGATATTACCTAATAAAACAAATCAAAAATTAACAATGAAACAAACAATTTATATAATTAATTTACCTCCTTTCTCTTGCATTTCTGTTTTCAGTATCTCTAAATCTAAGGTGACTTCTTCTAATTTTTCTTTGCATGCTTCCAATTCAAGTTGTAAAGCTTCCGCTTTTTCCTCTGCCATTTCTTTATCCAGCGTCGCCATTTCCACAGCGTCTGCTAGGTCACAAACTTCATCAGCATGCGCCTCTCTAGCATCAATTGCTTCCTTCGCCTCTTGTTTCGCGCGTTGCAGATCGCGCTGAAGGCTCTGCTGTGATTCCATAATTTTTTGTTTAAACTCCAACAACTGCTCAAGTTGAATCTTGAGTTTGTCGTAGTCCTTGGTGCGTTCTTTGTCATCATGGCGTTTAATCTTAAGCGTCTCCAACTTTTCACTTAAGTCACGAATCTGTTGCTCACGGTTTTCAATCTCCTGCTGGAACTGTAGAGTGGATAACTTATCTTCCACACTGGTGATGGGAGTTGTAGTAGAAGTAATTGCTTGACCGGGTGTAAATTGTGGTTTTAAAGTTTCCACAAAATTTGTCTACAAAATACATTAATTTAAATTTTCTCTAAAGATAGGTTATGTCTTTAGATTACATTATAACCTTAAATTATTTACCTCAACAAATGATGCACGTTTAGTTGGAATTTGACTGCCTTCCAAACCCTCATGCCGTTCGACATTTGGTGAAGCCAGTTGACTACGACTTCCAGCCAATGACTGACGACTACCAGCGAGTGACTGCCTGCTGCTGGCAAGTGATTGGCGACTGCTGGCCAATGAAATTCTAGAACTACAGACACAGAATATTATATTATTACCTATGAAATTATTCACAGCACAATTACACCCAATGCTTATTTTCAGTAAATAAATATATTGTACAACAGTTATTACTAGGATAAAGTAGTGAAATAACACATCAACTAATCAACGCAACGTGATACCTGGAAGCTGATAAAGTGCCGGGTCTTTTAGTGGGTGAAGTTTTCCTCCTGACACTTTTCCACGCAATTTGTGATAGCATTAATTATAAAGCAATTCAAAGCGTTAGAAAAAGTGCGAGATTCTCTTCGGAGATTTGTGTTACAACAATTATAAAATTAAAACATTTTACGCTAAAAACAACCAACTTATATTAACTTATACTATTTTTTAATCAAAACTTTTCATAGTTTTTAGCGTAAAAATGAATTTAATGACGTGAAAACATTTTAAAATAGACTTACGTTGTCGGTTTTGGTTTCATTCCAACTCTATTAATGTAATGCAAATCAACACACATGAAAAATGAAAATTGATGAAAACATCACTCATATCTATCAATAATTAATTATAGAATAAGATTATATGTTAATTAGTTATTCTTACGTGCTTTGCCGACTGCGCAGCTTCGATAACTCGCTTGGCTCTATAGCATTGCCTTGTCCATCCAGATGATAAACTTGGGAAGCTTTCACAAACATTCCATAGTTTTCTTCACACTGATTGAAACAAAAACAAAATAGTTTTAAATTGGTTTGCAAAGAGTTTTCATACATTTGCATACCTTGAAATACTCTTTTCCTCTGACAGTCCCGTTGTTCTTCCCTTTCGGGACATCCAAAATCAGTCCAATCCATTTGCCGCTAGCGAATTCAGTCACACCGATGTAGGCGATTATTCCTTGGACTTCCTTGCCGACGACTTCCACCTTCTGCCCCAACTTGAAGCTGTCTCCGGCGGACACTGACCACACGAATTAATATAATGCTTTATAAGACCAAAATCTTAATATTTTAACGCACTTACTTGTTGGAAATATATCTCACTGATTAATGCACTTATTATTTAATAACTATTCATCCGAAAAAACTTTACAATAAATAAAAGGAGCATATCATAACCTCCCAATGATGTCATTTGTCAGACTGACAGCAAAACGGGTGTAGATTTAGTTCAGCAGCCACCGTTGAGGGCGCTGAAGTTCATATATTTGTCAGCAATCGCAATCACGTTTCAAAAATAATCCAAGTTATACGCTATCTAAAGGAAATATTAATTAAATAATTAATATTAAGTCATAGGAGCTGTAAGAGGTTCTCCTATAAATCATTTGATTTAAATCTAGGTAACTTTAGAGTGAAAAATTGGTCATGTTTACTCTTTAACAAAAAATAATTCATTCCAAAACTTAAGTTTCACGTTTTTATGATTTTATTATTTAAATTAACATTAGAAGAAGAATCCTAAGATTTTTCCTCCAAGATGTTTCCTCCTAGCTTCTTCATGGTCCATAATACCTCCACTGGTGGTAAGGACAACATATCTATAATAAAAACAGAAATTAATACAAAATAATCACAAATTTTAACAAATATCAAAAGATAGTTTATAACTTACCCAAATTGACGGGACGGTAACAGATTGTTAGTCCACTTTTCAATGTGAGTGATGGGCACATCAAATCGGGGCGAAATGACGCCGCACTTGTTCAGCCTGCCAGTTAGGTTGACGACGATTTTGCCACTTCTGTGATCATCCACAATTTCAAACTCACCAATGTAGCCATGTTTCATCATTACTGTGAGGAATTTGACAATCACCTTTGAGTTGGGGCGGATGAGGACTTGCCTCTTGCCGCGCTTCTCGGCATTGTTAATGGATTTCAGAGCGTCACTCAAAACGTTCATACGCACCATGGCTGCAAAACAAGAATTTATAAATATGAGTTCACCAATATTACTTACATTTTCAATATTTTTGAACATTCCAAAAACCCACTTGTTGAAATAACACAAACAGCACTATATTAAACGTTTTACGTTTGTATGTAAATGTTATAATTGAAAAATTAATAGGAGAAGAGTTGAGCACAGCACTTGTTCGTTCTCGACAACAAATCCAACGAAGAGGTTAGGGCTTTGACGTCGGAGTGTTAACAACTTTTTCGCGATGATTTTCACTAATTCTCAATAAAATACCCGGTGCGATCAGGCGACCATTTAATATAGTTGCTGTTTGTTGCAAATCCGATGGCGGATGGAGTTTATTTTCGTGAATTACCTGCGATTTATTTTGTGTTTATCGTCGAAGCATACACGCTAGCGAAACACGGGAAAAAGGAAGGTCGTTACCGCGATGTCCGCAAGGAGTCGCTGCGAGCGGAATCCCAAACTCCAAAATTATTCAAAACATGGCAAAGCTTGTAATTTCTCCACATTAACAAGGCTTTATCTTTGTATATTTACTATTCATTTGAAAGATTAACTTATATTTAATAATTATTATTTTTGAATTGCGGGTATTAATAAGAAAATTTATTATTTTTGCCTTCAAGTTTAGTGCGCATGACTGTCGCCCTTCTGCTATACAAAAGTTTAACTAAATTGGTCAAAACTGGCTTTAATTAGAAAATAAAACATGATTGAAGCAAGAAACATTAAATGTAATATCATTTGATGTAGCCAAAGTATACTTTAACAAGAAAACAGAAATTATTAGTATGGTTTGTTTTCTTGTTTTGAAAATCTAGACACTGAAATGTCAAAAGTGCCAATTCCATCACCAAAGTTAACCAAGCAAGTTGCGCTATTGTCTGTATTTGTTGTGTTTGTCGTTCAAACTATTAATCAGAACCATTAATATCAATCGGGATTAGTAATAACTGATAACAAGTAAAAGAAAGTATTTGAATTTCAATGGATCAAATGGAATTAACTCAGGAACAAAAAAACCGCATTGAAAAGAATCGACAAAAAGCGCTTCTTCTGAAGAAAAGCAAATTAGTATCTCATCCTTATGCAAAAACGTAATTTTCTATAAGAATTTAATATATTTGTACATTCCTTGTTATATACTTTGCTCTCTTACATTGTGCAGATGTGATGCTGTTTCAATTGATAAAGCAATCATCAAAGTAGGAGCCACAAAATACAAGGACACTGGTGGAGGCTTCCTTCTGGAAGAGGAACCTGATCATATTGAAGAACCAGTAAGTAATTTGTAAAATTACATATTTTAAGACTAATTGTGCTTAATTTGCAAATATAACTATAAATTTTTCTATTTTAAAATGTTGATTCTTTTACAATAGTTATTATTGCACAATTCTTGGCAATATTTTTAAATTTTCCTACAGAAGTTATAATAATTTAAAATTTAATGACATATAATTGATTCCTAGCCGGTTTTCATTGTACAAGAGCCACCATTATTGGAAGAACACCGCCCAACATGCGATCGCTGCGAAAAGAAGTTTGCTACCTCCTGGCTCTTCGAAACATACGACTGCAAAGTGTGCGACGCATGCAAAGATCCTGAAATTCACCGACTCATCACCAAAACCGAAGCAATGAAAGAGTACCTACTGAAAGATTGCGATCTTGATCGCAGAGAACCCCCACTGAAATTCATCACGAAAAAAAACCCGCATCACAATAGTTGGGGAGAAATGAAGCTATATCTACAGATACAAGTTGAAGATAGAGCATTAGAAGTGTGGGGAACTGAAGAGAAGCTTGAAGAAGAAATTAAAAAACGAGAAGAGAAGAAGGTGGCAACTAAAACCAAGAAGTATCATAAGCAGATGAAGGAATTGCGGATGAATATGCGCAGCAGTTTGTATGATAAGACCACAGCTGCGTCACATACGCACGAGTTTGGTCCAGAGAGCTATAATGAAGACGAGGATAATTATACTCACACTTGTATTACTTGTAAATATGTTGAAACATTCGAGAAAATGTAAATCGTCAAATCATCAAATGTAAATGCTCATAACTTGTTTTAAAGATAGTTTTGTTAATGTTTCATCATGTGTGTTTTAAACATTGTGGTTTTTATACAATTTTAGTGTTTAATTATTTGATATTATATTACATATTTAATAATACTGCATGGAGCACACAATTTCATCAAATCTATTAATGTTAAGAAATAAATATTAAAAATGTCACATTACAGCAGTATTAATACTCAGTAATAGTAAATATCACTAATATAACTGGTATATCACTACCATTGTATATAATAACAATGATTACAACTCTAAATCTTTTATTAAAGCAATAAATTTGATTGAATGCTTTCCTCCATTGTTAAATTAAACCTCATAGTTAGGCAACCAACGCCACAAGCGTATCCATATAACATGTTACCGCCAAAAGCAACCTTAAATTCATCAAACCAGAGGTTTCAATTTAACAGTTGTGCAACCTGTAATCTTTGTTCTGCGCTTGCAAGGTCAACATTTTAAGGTATTACGAATAATAATAATAATGATTCATTAATATAAATATCAAATCAATTCTTCTAGTTTAAATCAAAATGGGAAACATACGTGAGATTGTAAACGGCACTCTTCTACAACTTTTCAACGGAAAACCTGTGAGTATAACCGGCGTCGTGGATCATGTTAATGGCAGTGGATTAACGTTTGATATGAGATCAGTGGATGATGTTACTGTGAAAGTCATCATGAAGAAACCGCGCGCTGGCATTAGTGGCTGGGTTGAGGTATGCATCAACACATATTTAAACAAACTCTGTTATTAATCTTATTACTAGTATTCATATGTGTATGATTTACAAATAGGTTCATGGAATAGCAAATGGCAACTCAATCAATTGTGATGAAGTGATTGAATTCTCAGCTGATACTGCACAAGCATTTGATGTAGCCAGCCACAATCAACTCTGTGGCCTTCTCAACACATGCAAATCTCTTTGGGAATTAGGTGAAGAAACAGCAGGAAGTGAAATGGATTAACTATTTTAATGCTTGGAATGTCCCATGATGTCTATTATTACTTAATTATAATTATATTAATAAATTAGCTTAAACATTAGCAATGCCACTCTTTTCAATCTGCTCCAGCAATAATTTCAAGTTGCTGTCAAACAACTCACACCTGATGGGCATTTCAAGTGAATAAAAAGGATTCTTAAGTGCATAATCAGAATACAATTCATAGATTCTCTTGAGTAGGAAATCCATGTGTGCTTGAGTTGGTTCTGCCACTACCATCATTTTTACTCCAGTTATGGTCTGGAAGCAGTGCAGTTTAAATGTGTCAGCTTCCAGAACTTCAATACCTGAACACTTTGGTTCTGGACTCAGCTGACTTGCAATTGCAAACAGTGGATAGAACATGCTGGCAAGGAAGATTTTCTCATTGGTGGTCATCTTGGGCCGGCCGAATTTTAATGAAATCGGGTAGTTTTCTTTGTTTTCTATTACTTCTAGAGCATCTCTGCCATCATCCAACTGCCTGTTTGTTACTGGCATACCATTTATTGCATACAATACATGACCAACTAAAAGTGTGAAAAATAAGTTTTTTTTTGTGGTTAATGTAAAGGGGATAATATAGTACCATGAATTCCATCGCGTTGGCCGAATTCTACAATGATTTTCTTGTTTTCACATTTCAGTTTGATGTCCAAAGGGTAAGAAAATGTTTTTTCTGTTTCTATTTTCGGTGTGTTATGATCATGATTGAATATTAAGCCCCCGGACTTTGATACAATATAAACACCATAAATAACCATGATATCAGGCTTATAATATGTTTAAAACTAATGTTTTAGTTTAGATTAATTTGCTTTTGTAGAAAACAAATGATTGCTGACAGCTTAACCTAACAATTTTAAGTAGGCGCAATAATTTAAGTTTATAAATCCGAACTACTTCATCGGACAACTAGAATTCGATGAAAAATAAATATTATCCCCTTCTAATTGCTTTAGAATTAAAAATATACATAAAGGAATTAATTATGTACTTAGTAGTACATAAAACTAAAGGTGCGCAACCAGTTATACACATAGATTATAACTAATGCAGTGATCTAGCACTGGTGGCGTTATAGTATAATGTTTGACAGGTCCTGTTCAATCATCTGTTTCTCGTCAGTCAGTTGTTTCCCTCTGTTCTGTTCCGTGGCTGTATTCGTTTCGTCGAAGTGTTGCTAAACATTCATAACTAACGCTGCCCTAGCGATGGAAACGTACGAGAGTGTGCTGCTGGTGAAACCGGAAGTTTTTGTGTTCAACATACCGCCCCGATCGACGAATCGAAATTACAGGTGAGCGAAATGAATAAATTCGATTTCGATGGAAATTCCCACTGCATTTCGATTGTTATTCGATTTCTGCTGCGCTTGCGTTATCAGCATTAATAAACCAACATTATCGCTAATGCAGACATTAAAATCCACCCACTAATTGTGTTATCGCGATATCCTCTTCCTTCCTTCACTTGTTTCTGTTTTTGTTTGTAGAGCTGCTGATTGGAATCTCGCCGCTCCATCCTGGACGGGCCGGATGCGTCTGGTCGCCAAGGGTAAAGAGGTCTGCATTAAATTGGAAGATAAAAACTCTGGCGAATTGTTTGCGAAATGTCCCATCGAGACGTATCCGGGCATCGCGCTGGAAACTGTCAGCGACTCGTCGCGATACTTCGTCCTTCGGATACAGGACGACAACGGACGTACAGCATTTATCGGCTTAGGCTTCGGTGATCGGTCGGATTCGTTCGATTTGAATGTCGCGCTGCAGGATCACTTCAAATGGGTGAAGATGGAGCAGCAGATCAGCCAGGAGCCTGCTGGTGGTGGTCCATCCTTAGATTTGGGCTTCAAGGAGGGGGAAACTATTAAAATTGACATGAAAATTACAGTGAGTATTCCTAACCTCAAAAGTAAACTAACCTATATTAATCTAAAAATTATTTTCTAGAAACGTGACGGTGAATCAACGAAAGCAAAGAATCGCCCAACAGGCGGTTTGGGTTTATTACCGCCGCCACCTGGCGGTAGTGGTAGACTACCAGCACCACCGGGTAGTTCTCCAGCAGGTTCACCTGCGCATGCGCCGAAAACAGCCGACAGTGGCGCTGCCGAATCATGGGGTGAATTTACATCAGCGGGCGCAGCCAATGCACCGACGCCGGCGCAACAGCCGTCACCATCTGCGAACGCCAACTGGGTGCAGTTCTAATCCTCCATCGCCAACGGCCCACCTCTAGCAGATGTAAGTAATAAGAATTGCACATGATTTCAACATAAAACAAAAACACAAACAAAGCAATCCCAGTCGTACTAAGAAAACAAAGAAGAAGAAAGCAAAAACAAACGAAAATTAAATTAAGTAGCAGAATATAAAGAAACAAACCAATAACTAATAAGTAACAATGTTAGTGTAGTGGTAGTGTAGACATAGAATTAATAACATTTTACTTGTCGTTGTTGTTTTGTTTTTGACGAAATTGAATGTTCAACGCCAGAATGACGTGTTTCCTGCGTTTTTCTTCAGTCATTGATCGGCTCAGAGTATGCAACACTCCGAACACATCAATATAAATAAAATTGAACATATAACACGCATTCAATAATAATTTCGAATGTTAACGTTAGTTTAGTCTACAAAAAACCAACATTCGATCATATCAATTTAATCGAAATCAATAATTGAACACATTTGACTCTGACTCGAAGTTTGTAAGATGTTGCAAGAATAGTTCTTGTTCAAGATACAAAATATAAAAATTATATGTGCTTGTTAAGATGAATAAGATTCAAGTTTAAAAGAAGTTGTTATAGATTTTGAATATGTGTGTGTGTATGGACAGCACACTCACATGTGTTTTTACTGCGTCTTACGTTTGTCTCTCTTTGTGTCGCGTTTGCATTTGTTTCTGTTCCTTTGTTCAGTTTGTGTAATGTGAATGAGAGTATGGTTTTCAGCGGGCGAATAACACTTGTACGTTATAAGTAAATAGCACATAAGTTACGATTACATTCCAAATATTGTAATGTATAGCGATATATAAATAGTCTGTAAGAATGCGGATATGATACTAATTTGTGAAATTAGTTGACTTTGTTGCAATATTTACAAGTTATATATTATTTCAAGAAAATGCAACAGTTGAAATTATTTATTTATCATCCTAATCATGTTATTGAACTTGTTATTGGTAAATTTGTATTTTTTACAAACCGTAATAGTCGTAGAACAGCCGAGGGTGTTACTCCGGGTATGCGACTTGCCGCTGCAATCTGAAAATATTGTTTTTAATTTTTGTTTCTTGGTTATGTTATAATTTAATACGTACAGTCGCAGGTTGCACTCGTAGAAGTTTCTCTCTGTCCTCGAAACTTAAATTCAACCCTTTTGAGTTGTAATCTAAACTTATTGGAATATGCATTTCTTCGTCGCGTTTCACTTCTTCCACTTCACCTGCTTGGCTTCGAATTGCATACTCATATTGCGCTTCAATTTCTAAGCGTTGAGCAACGCGGCCATCTTGTAACAAGCGCTGCAATGCCGGTTCTATATCACATAACCTCGAAAGTGTGACGTTATCACGGCCAGTTTGCAACATTTCAAATGCGCTGAAATCATTTTTAAATAATTTGTGGATAAAGATAAAATATTTGATTTATTATCAGTATTTTACCTTTTTGTGCTATGATTCTGTGTGCTTGGTGTTTGTAACAGTTCCCACCATTTTGAAGTCGTTTTTGTGCAGTGTTTAAGTATGTCAATGCCTTCTTCTAGCTGAGATTCCACTTCTTTGGTGCGTTTCATGCGCTCTGCTGACACCACACCTAATTTATAACCTTTTTCAGTGAGTCTCAAGTCTGCATTGTCTGGTCGCAGCATTAACCTAAATTCAGCGCGACTCGTGAACATTCGATACGGTTCGTTTGTGCCCAGTGTTGTCAAATCATCGATTAAAACACCGACGTAACCTTCGGTTCGACTCACAATCAATGGATCTTTATCTAAAACCTTATTTAATATTAACTTTAAAAATTATAAGCATTAATTATTTATTACCTTGGCTGCAGCATTAATTCCAGCAATAATACCCTGCGCAGCCGCCTCTTCATAACCAGTGGTGCCATTGATCTGCCCGGCGAAGAACAAATTCGCCACGCGTTTCACTTGTAATGTGGGTTGCAGCTCGCGCGGATCTACAAACTCGTATTCAACGCCATAACCTGGCTTTACTAACTCCGCTTTTCTAAACCAATTATTTTTCTGATTAAGTCAACCTGGAAGTTTTCCGGTAGAGTGCAGGACAATCCGTTTGGATATATAAGATCAGAGTCTAATCCTTCTGGTTCCAGCCAGACATGATGTTGACGCCCTCCGAAACGCAAAACTTTCGATTCGATGCTCGGACAGTAACGTGGTCCGGTGACTTCCTCTTGCACATGGCGGTTGACATGTAAGTTGGCTTTTACAATCTTTTCAATTTCCAAACTGGTTTGTGTTAGAAAACAAGTTAATTGATCTTTTCCCTAGCAAATAATTTAAAATAACAATCATAGTTTTTAGTTTCTTATTCGTAACTTACCTCGATCCAAACTTTTTCGTTCATAAACGAAAATGGCGTCGGCGGATCATCGCCATATTGTTTTTCGCATTTCGAGAAATCAATCGATGATTTTAGTAGTCTAGGTGGTGTACCAGTTTTCATTCTACCGAGTTTCAATCCGATTCTGTCTAGAGTTTGTGCGAGACCGATGGATGTGGTATCTCCCATTCGACCAGCAAGACGTACTTCTAATCCTATGTTGATTTGAGCGTTCAGAAAAGTGCCGGTTGTGATTATCACTGTTTTTGAATTGATTTGTGTGCCGTCCTGCATAATTACGCCTTGACAATCGATGATTTTTTGATTGTTGGAGTTTGTTGACTCGTTTGCGACGATTAGGTCTTCTACTGAGCCTTCATAAACGTCTAAATTCGGTGTTTTGTTGAAAATTTCTTCTTGGATGTGATTTTTATAGAGTTTACGATCTATTTGAGCACGGGGACCCCACACTGCTGGTCCTCTGCGTTTATTTAGTACCTAAATTTTAATTATTAAGAAAAAATATTAAAAATTTAATTAATCCTTTAAAATATGAGGTTTTAATTAAAAAAAAATCGTTAAAATGTAGATTGTTGAATAAAAATTGCTCACTCTGTATTGAATTCCAGATAAGTCACATATCCTTCCACAAATGCCATCAAGTGCATCCACTTCTCTCATTAAATGTCCTTTACCTATGCCACCAAAAGAAGGATTGCAGGACATCTCACCTTTGGCATACAAAAATAAACTCAGTTAAAGTTGGTTTATTATTATTTATTACAAGTCATACCAATGGTGTCCTTCTTGTGGGTCACTAAAAGGGTTTTGGCCCCCATTCTGGCTGCAGCTGCTGATGCCTCAGCACCTGCATGGCCACCACCAACCACAATCACATCATAATGAAGAGTTTTAAGAAAATTATGAGTAGAATTCGCTAATAATCTGATAGGTGGAAAGTGTGTTAATTTCCCATTCAATATTCTACGTAATTTGTACATTTTATAGTTGTTTAAGCAAGTTATGAATCACATAATATTTGTATCTTGAAAATGTGAATATTTTGAGGTTACGATTTTATAACTTGCTACATTTTAACTTTAATTTAATTTTTAAAAACATTAATCGATTAATTGTACAAAAATTAAACACCGGCACAGTAAATATTAAAATATTCTTATGAAATAATAGTATTTGGGGCTGTATAGATTGTATAAATTTAAAGTTGACTGTCCATGTAGTTGCCTATCTATCTCCGCACAACCTGTAATCATCCGAGACGTCAAAACCATCTGACATTCGAAATGTTCATAACATTCAGCAGAGCACTTCCCATGTTGCTAATTTAAGCAAAATAATGTCGAAGTTCAATTAAACCCATCTATACTATATTATACTATACATACTTTACAATAAAATGGATCAATTCCCCACGGAAATCGTCGAGAAAATATTCACCTCTTACGATTTGAGCATCCTGGACGTGGTGAATGCAAGCGCAACATGCAAGCACCTTCGCGATGAACTTTACAACAACGATCGAGTCTGGAAATCGCTGTATTATCATAAGTACGCCATAATTAATTACACATCCACAGTTTATAAACAAAGTACATAATTGTAATATGTAAATTTTAGTTTGCCAGTGACTGTTTCACATTTGCTGAGTGCCAGGACCACAAATACAGTTGATTGGCTAGAAGAGATTAAATATGTGTATGAGGTGAAAAGTAAAGTGCGCCGTATGTTGGAGACAATGCCGGATACTTATTATTCAGTGCCGAATATCGGTCCGTCAGAGTTAACTGGATGGGATGAGTTTATCAAATCCAGTCCAGCAGGAACCTATTACATTGTCATGTGGTATCTTAATTTGCTTATTTGTGATTACAAGCAGATTCATAGCTTCTCAGTTGTCTCATTGTTGTAAGTAAATTTCCAAATCCATTAATTTGCATTTTATTAAGAAAAGTTTCAAAATTTCAGCACGCCCGGTAATAAAACTCTGCGTTACTATTGTTTAAAAGTAATGGAATACTTGCGACATTCCAAACTAACACAGGACTATGAAGGTTTTATGCAACTCGATGAAAAACAGCGCATTCTTGAAAAAGTCGCGACTTTTGTTGCACAATGGTGTCAGCCTACAAAGATCATACGCTACAAAGATATCGAAGAGCAACTAGATCAACTTGCCGCCTCAGCCAGACAAGAATTATTCGCAGTGAATCCAAAACATCCTTTGTTTCAAGTTCCTAAAGAAACTCTATTAGATTGGAAGTCACGGAATTTGGAAAAGCATCAATTCGACGGAAATAGATGTCAGGAAATACTCAACGCGATAAATCACACTTTATATCGTCAACATAGATTCTCCGAGAATCGTATTAACTTCTACGATCCGAAGAATTCGTATATCAATTATGTGTTGCGACGTGAAGTTGGGTTGCCTATCTTGTTATGCATTGTTTATGAGAGCGTCGCGAGGCGAATGGGTGTCAATTGTGAGCCGGTGAATGTGCCATCGCACTTTTTACTGCGATATTTAGGTGAAGGGAATGGTAGGACTAAGGTGCAGTATGTATACGCAGCCAATCAGGGTGCATTGCTTGCCAGTGGCGCGTGTCCCTATTCGGCGCATTACGCGGATTCCACTGCGCCACCTATGATGTCACGAGCTAACGCCGCAGCGGTTAGTATATGTTAAAATGTTTAACTTTCATAGATTTACATTGAGGTTGTGTGTTATAGGTTATGTTACGCATGGCTGCCAATCTAGAAAATGCCCTGCAGGAAACCACAAACTCAACGGGTGATCTAGCACCACTTCGACAGGTTTTAGAACTGAGCGTGCTTGTAGCACCCAGCAGTTTGAACATGGTACTTAATCTGGCGAGGTTGTGCATGTCAGTCAACATGGACGCCCGATACGTCGAACAGATTATCTTACACAATGTAAGTGAACAAAGGTCTACAACATAAACATTAGCATAATTTGAATGTTACTTTTGGTTTTAGAACTATGATGAACAACAGAATGCCGAGAATGTTCTACAAATGTTGCGCGACTATGAAGTGCATCGCGAACACGAGCACATCTACGAGCAGGTGGGACGCATGTTGCAACCGCGCTTGCTCTAAGGTAGTGTATAATTTGTTGTTATGTTTTCGGTTGTTTACAGTCGCGTGTGAAGCGACGTCCACGTGGCTTGAAGTTCGCCGTTGGTCAGGTGATGCGTCACAAGTTGTATAACTACGCCGGTGTTATCACCGCTTGGACGGAGCGCTGCGAGGCATCTGCTGAATGGCAAAAGAACATGAACATCGACCGCCTGCAGCGTCGCAATAAACAACCTTTCTACTACGTTGTTGTCGACGACGGCACGAATAGATACGTTGCTGAAGGTGAGAACTAACCGCCATTTTGTTTTTTTTTTATCTTTGAATGCAAACTAATATTCTCTGTGATTAAATCAAAACAAAACATTTTTATGATATTTCTGTTTGTTTTTAGAAAATATTTGGATAATAAATGAAGTTGACGATACACTGCTTGAAATGGAGGAGTTAGGACGGCATTTCAGCCACTTCCATGGCACTGCCTTCGTACCGAACAGCGCAAAGGAGCGCGAATATCCCGAGGATAAATCAATCCGTGAGAGAACTCGATATAATGAAAATCCGCCAACATGAGCGCGTAATTTTAACTTTATACTCTGTAATTTATACGAATTTCGCTCATTGGATGACGTCTAGTTGTAAATAATTATCAATATTTATCGATAAATACAATTTAGTACAACGTAAATGCTGGTAAGACCAAAAAACATCATATCTCAGCCCAGTCTTTCATATAAATGTTACAAATTATACAAATGCTTAGGATTATGTAGTAACTTACGTTTAAGTTTGACTCAACCTTTGATTACAGCGATGGGACGCAGTTTAATTGCCTTTTTGCTGATACCGGCAGCATGGCACGTATCCACCACGTCAGTGACGTTCTTGTAGGACTCGGGTGCTTCCTCCATGACAAGTTTTGGTGATGCAACACGAATCGAAATACCAGCCTCTTGCAGTTTTGCAAGTACTTCGGTATATTCAATGTTTCGACGTGATTTTGCCCTGGACAACGCACGACCCTAAAAATAATTTTTAAAAAAGTAAAATACAATCGGAAAAGTAAGTAAAATTAAAATTACCGCGCCATGGCATGTGCTGCCAAATGTCTCCGTCATTCCCTTCTCAGTGCCGGTTAATACATAACTGCACGTGCCCATTGTTCCTCCAATCAACACCGGTTGCCCGGTGAGTTGATAATCCACCGGTGTCAGTGGATGATGCGGTGGGAAAGCTCTAGTACTACCTTTTCGATGCACCAATAGTGTCTTAGGTCTCCCATCTACCATATGCTGCTCCACTTTAGCAATATTATGCGATACATCATAAATCACATGCATGTCTAAATCATCCGGTGTGGTTTCGAATTGTTTCGCGAATGCTTGCCGTGTGAGGAATGTCATCGAACTGCGATTCACCCAGGCGAAGTTGGCGGCTGCCGCCATGGCGTTGAGGTAGTCCTGACCTTCCTTCGAGTTTATACGCGCACATGCAAGTTGTCTATCGTTGGTTTCAATGTCGTCACGCTTCATTGCTTTCTCCATTTGCACGAGGGCATCGGTGGCGACTTGATGGCCAAAACCGCGACTCCCCGAGTGGATCATGATGCACACCTGTCCGATCTGCTCGATGCCCATCTTGGATGCGGCGGCTTTGTCAAAGATTTCGTCCACGATTTGAATCTCGGCGTAGTGATTACCTGCACCTAGTGTTCCCAACTGGTGAATAATTATGTTTTAGTTTGTTTTATGTAAGTTTTGTTGATTTACCTGTGGGAGTCCGCGTTTCTTTGCTCTTTGACTGACTATGGATGGATCTGCATTCAACATTCGGCCATACTCCTCGCAGTGTTCTTTATCCTCCGCCCAAATGTACCCCTCGCGTAATGACCAGTCCATACCCATCTCTAGCGCTTCTTCTAAATCCTTTGCATTCATTGGAATTATTCCTTTGGAGCCAACACCAACAGGAATATGATCAAACAAACTCTGGGCTAGTTTTTCTTTCACAGGTTGCACATCTTTTTCTGTTAGGTTGGTTCTTAACAGGCGGACGCCGCAGTTTATATCAAAACCAACACCACCTTAAAATAATCATTAAAGATATCAAACAAGGAATTTTTAGCATTTTAGGCATGTAACATTAATATTTGGTAATATAAATACTAAAATATTCTTGTTTCTTTCACTAACCTGGTGAAACAATTGATTTAGGATCATCCACATCAAATGCTGCCATGTTTCCAATTGCAAAACCATATCCTGAGTGAATATCAGGCAAACCGATTGAATATCCAACTATGCCAGGCAGTGCAGCAACATTTGCAATCTGTTTGACTCCGGGCAGGAATCCACCGACTTGTCCTGGCCGGCAGGAGTTCTTCAACTCGTCCAGCATAAGATCTTCCAGAGGTTTGTTTACATAGAAGCGGCCCTCCACGTTCATGCCGGGTTGGAAGCCTTTCTTGATCCTCCAGCAGTGGTCATTGATTTTCTCGAGATACTCGAGTTCGTCTTCATACTTGCGGACAACCATGATGATTTCAATACAAAAGTATCAGACCACACGACTGAATAGATACAATCTGTAAGTATCTACTTATCTCATCTGAACTTCAAGTTTTAAAATTTCACAATGTTTCACGAGTTTTAGGTTAACAAGTAGAAAACTGATTTGCGTGGTTCGAAACTTTGCTGAGTTTTACTTTTAAACTTACACTTAAGTTTAATACAATATTGCGGAAAAAGAAATTTTATTCAATAATTCTAGTTAGATTTGAATTTATGTTGCATATATTTCAAGTATTTACAATTGTATACATCTATTGTAATCAATTTCCGCTGGCCAGTCCAAATTAATCGAAATCACATCAAGAGCAGCAATATCCACATCGCATCCAATTATTTCATTAATATTCGGCCGTGTACGCCCAAAATCACCATGAACAAATTCTTTAACATAAGTTCCCGCCTGTGTCACGACTTCTAACTCGAAACAATGTTCATTTTCCGTTAAAGTTGCCTTCATTGATAATATCATTCTCGGCCGAACAGCCAACGGTCTCCTGTGCAACACTCTGATTGGCGTTTTTTGTTGAATTTCCACCTCGCCATAATCATTTATTTTATCCAACATTTCTTGTGTTACTTTCTGCTTAGTCACACACAAAGCAACGTAATTTTTCGTCTTTGATTCTTCTCCTTGCTTAATATAATTTGTATCACTTCGTGCAACCATCTGCAAGTCTCGAATTTTAATTAATTCTGATTTGTTTACTTTATTCTCAATGCGTCTAAATTCTTCAAAAGAAAACTGAGTTTTCTTTGGGTCTAATATTTCGATATAAAATGGCCGACCTTTCCCTAAACACCTCACATCACAATCTTCTCTGCCACTTGATGAAAACTTCAAGTTATCAACAGGCGTAGAAAGCATAATCGAAATAACATCAAACATTATTTCTTGTACTGATGTATCCATCAGTTTCACGCCATCTACCACCCAAGGCGATTGACTTAACTCTCGTGAATATTTACAATATCTACCAGCAATAAATATAGAGTTATGTTTACATTCGATTGCTTTACAAGTTAGAAAGTTGTTGGGTATTGTTGGTGGACAAGCAGAGTGCATCCTGAATAATTTTTCTGAAGATTTCGATAGAATTTGAAGCACTCCTTTGCGTGTGAAGAGCTCACCATGGTATTTTCGATGTTGAGTTGTTCGGATTTGAAAGTCTTTGGGTTGCATAACTTGCAGGGCTTTCAATTCTTCAATATCATCGATATAATCGGTGGTGATGTTGATAAAGAAATCACCGATGTCCGAAGACTGAAAGGTTTTGTTCAGGGTTTTTGCCAAGGGATTTTTGACAAACATTTTCCACACGCGATTTATTGGAATTTCAAGTTTATCTGCAAATATTACAATGATGTTTTTGCATAAAATTAAAAATTAAATATTTACCATCAGTAAAAAATGCTGGAAACTTTTCCACCACATGCAGTCTCATACTATGCTCCCTAAGTAAAATACTTGCTGGCATACTGATTGAAACTGAGAACATTGGATTGTCATAGTTTTGTGTCTTTTGCAGATCTGGACAATTTAGAATCTCTTGTAGCATGTGATCTTGTAGTAAACCCAAACAAACGATGCAAGCATTATTTTTAACACGTTTTATCTGATCTTCTTCCTTAATTTCCACCTCATTAATAATTAGTTTCTAAAATAAACATAGTGTAGAATCAAATTAATTGCTGCAAAAGTTATTTTAGCATTACTTGTGATAAAAAATCGTCTAATTCAGAAAACTCCAGTTGTTTGTCACATAAATATCGAATTGAACAATTGAGGCAACAACCCAAGTCTAATAGATAAGAAACAATTTGTTTTTCTTCGGCGGTAGTCATCTTCACTAAGTTAACACGAGTTTTTCACGTTGTTTACTAACTTGTGGGGTTAAGGTTAAATGAATGTTTAACATAGGCAACTTAAAGTACAGAATGTGTTTGCTGGGGCTGAATAAATGTGTTAATTCAGTTTTCGACAGCACAAACTCCAAAACAACGCATAAATATACTTGAAATTTATGTGAACGATGTATCTAAATATAATCTAGTGCAATATCTATTTTTGGTCAGGTTTTGTGTGATATTTTTTATATAAAATACAAAAGTTGTTTGTGAGTGGTGCTGATGTGCATTGAAACCAACTTTTAACTTAAAATAATATTTAATTGTTATAAATAATTACATTTGCCCACATTGAATGATTGTTACAGGTATTTTGGGTTTGTTGTTTGGTCCTGTGGGAACATTTTCAACTTTCCTCATCACTAAAAGTCCATCAATAACTCTCCCAAAAACAACATGCTTTCCATCCAGAAAGTTACACTTAGCACATGTAACAAAGAACTGGCAGCCATTAGTATCTTTACCACTGTTTGCCATTGAGAGTAGACCTGGTGTATCATGTTTCAATGCAAAGTTCTCATCTGCAAATGTGCTTCCTCCATAAATACTCATTACACCAGTTCCATCACCCTAAAATATTAAGCAAATTAGATTTTACAGAACTGTAAGCATGTTATTAGTTATAATACATTCACAAAATCACCAGCTTGAATCATAAAATCTTTGATAACTCGATGAAAACTTGCTCCTTTATAACCCAAAGGAACGCCGTCTTTTCGGAATTCTCCGGTGCAAAACTGACGAAAGTTTTCACTTGTTTTAGGCACAACGTCAGCAAATAATTCAAATATCATTCTACCAATTTCCTGATAAAAAATATATAAATTAATTTATTATTTCTTGTAATAATGCTATAAAAGCGGTTTTTTAAACTTAACCTACCGTCGTTCCAACAGAAACATCAAAGAAAACAACAGGATTGGCGGGGTGTCGCAATTGCGATTGAATTTGATTCCAATTCGGCATTTTTAGTTAAAGTTTAAACAATTTACAAACTATTTATCTAAGCACAATAAATAATTCGTAGCAAAACGAACAGAGTTGTTTATTTCCAAACTACAGGTTATAAGTGTATAAAAAGTAGTCTATATTAAATTTATATGTAGGTACAATATATTGCACAATCAAACATTTTAATTCTCTTTTTTATGGAACTTTAGCGAAATTTTTCCACTTTTGTATCTCTTGGTACAATTTTAAGCCTGGACTCTGTGTACTGCTAACCTGGCGAGCTCCAATTAACTTGTAACGATCACTCAGTTCACCTAAATCCACACCGCATTGTAGCAATCGTTTTGCGGCGTCAAGCTGCTTGCGATTTGGCAAACTTTCTATAAAATTTCCAATAAATGCAATACCAATTGATCGCGAGTTGTAGCCTCTTGTGTGTGCACCCACTTTGTGCCATCCTGCGCCTTCATAAACATATCCATCACCACCAATCATAAAACTAAACATAAAAACGTCGGTTTTAAAAGAAAAACAAACTTTGCTTGCATCAACACTTACTTATATCCGATATCATGAAAATCCAAATCATTCATATGAAAATTCTGAATATTCGATAACAAATCAGAGCATTCTACTTCCGTTTCGCATTTGGGTGTAACCGTATGATGGATAACGACGTATTGGACAGGAATCAAAGAATATTCGACTTGTTTCGCAACTTTAGCGCCCCATTCTGTGCGAGAAATGATCACCGGGCATGATCCTGGTAGGCTTCCATTTGCAAATACAACTTGAATTAAACAAATAAACAAAGGAAACCACTTCAATTTGAATATAATAATCATTGTATGTTTGGATAACAACTTCACACGCGACTAACAAGCAATGATTACAGCTTATGCATGCAAACTGTTTATATATAGGAATTATCGCGTATAAAAAAAGCTGATCCTGATTTAAGTTGACCTCATATTAATCATAAGCAAAAAAATAAATGGGGAAGTACAGTTTATTGCCCATTAACACAAATTCTGCAAAATATAGAACCAAAACTGGGAATCACATTAAATTTTATGCTAGTATTTCCTGTTTAATAATAAATACTATAATAAAAGTTGATGGAATAAAACAACATATTTATTTCAGGTTTGCTGTATATTGGGTTGCATACACAAGTTATTTGAACATGTTGGTTGCCGCTGCTTGATAATCTGTCAAATGATGTTCGCCGAAGAGTACAACACGAAGCGCGCTCGGGTGTTATGTTTATCTCTGCTCGTTTCCAAATATGGTAGATCGGTGAGAGTTCCTCGTCCGATTCTCGAATGTTGGCTGTAATCGACTATCGTGATAAGTTATCGATGTGCTACATATTCGTGCATTCTTGAGACAACGAAGGGTTGATTGCGGGCGTCTTGCAACAGTGTGCAGGCGCTAATAACAGACGAAAACATGGATGATCTAGGTGAGTTTTTCTTAGAATTATCTACATTAGAGATGAGCAATGTGAACCTAACCTCTAAAAATAACATAACAAATGAATACTGTTCTATTGTTATTGCTCAGTCACTGGGGAATTATATCAATTGTTAATATTGTTTAAAGAATTATTTGTAGAGAGAATTAGAGGTTAGAAATGAGTGAAAGAACGCTTTTGTTTTTACTCGATTGTTTTCATGTTATCTAAAGCCACGCCCACTGGCCGTGTTGCGCGCGGATTGAAAATTCAAATTGGCGCATGCGCAGTAGCGTATTTCGTACATCGGCATTTTTCCGATTTATCAGAGGCGTTAAGTTAAAAATAAACGCGTTTTCGAGTGCTCCACTGAAATCACAAACGGCGCCGTCGTTTTATGAGCTATAAATATGATTTTTAATCTTTTAAAAAACAAAAATATTAATGTAAATCAATTTTAGTCAATTGACGCTTTTAACAAAATTTTGATATTAATTTGTCCTTAACATAGATTGATTTGATTAAACCAAATTTAATTTATTGACTTGTCAGTACAATTGCACAACTTTCGCTAGTTTAGGAGTGAATTGAGCGTGCGAACGGTGTCTTAGCATAACAATATGCCAACACCACTTTTTACGACGACTGCCACAAAAGGCAATCTTTTTTTAACGAATTTCAACGCCAATCCAGATTAGGAATACATATATTTTATAGTTTAGTATACTCAGAATCGTCGATCAAATAACACATTCATTATTGGTAGTATTTATTGTTCGTGTTCAACTTGTCGCGACTGAAATTCTAAATAAAGTGCCATGACTCCCGTTTTCCACTGAGTTTCCGCTGCGCTGCTGCTGCGTGTGTCTGTATTTCGAGTGCTGCGTTTGCCGTTAGCACACACAGACAACAGTGAGCAGTGAATTGTGCAGCGCGGAAAACAAATGAAGAAAACAAGCGATGGTCGCAACTCAAGTTTAAAAGAGGATTGCCACTCGGAGTGTAATTACTCGTTTGAGATTGTTTGAGACTGAGACTGCGTGACATTCTCAAAGTGATTTGTTCCCTGACAACATAATACAAAGACAAATATTTAGCACACAAATAAATTTTTGTTGTTTATTTGCTTTATGTGAGTAAATACTAAACATTTTTATCGAAGATAAAAATAAAATTTGGAAGTGACACTTTCGACAAGGGTGATTACGTGGTGTTTAAAATGTGCTGGGTTTGAAAAGAGTGTGGATTGCGCGGGAGTGATCTGTTTTTTTTATGTGCGTGCCAATAAACTCTAAGCGGCGACACTAAAAATACGGAATCGTCGAATCGATGAATGAAAAGACTCGTTTCAGTTGAAGTCGGCGTATTTGTCAGTAGTCGTGTTTACATAATATTTAATATTTGCTGTAATTTGGACGCAGAGTGTCAAATTAAGCGTTAGTAGAGTTAAGTTAAAAATTATACAAAGTATTTGTGTGTTAAAATATTTTGTTTGAAATGGATCGTACAATGTATGGGAAGTTTTCACCGACGATGCTGCATAGGCCTTATCAGTGTACGTTGAAAAACGGAACTAAACCAGGATGTAAGTGAATTATTTCTTTTGAAAATTTTGTAAATTCTTTAAAAGTTTCGTGCATAACTTCAGAATAAATCATTTTTTTCTACTTTTATCTTTAAAGCGCCTTTTTTACACGGTTTTTTGACCTTTTTGAGACTTTTGGTACTTTAAACACGGCCGTGACTAAAGTACTTTAACCGTTTTATTTATTAAGAGTTTTGTGAACAGTATTCTAATAAATCAAAACTAAATATTTATGAAACTGGACATAAAATTAGATATCGAATACAATTTTATCATTAATTGATTAATTATTATGGTAATATTAGTAATTAATTGCTTACTATATCATTTATTTATTATTCAATCTCATTTTTGTTAAAAATAAAATAAAAACTTACTAGCAAATCAATTAAAATTGCCTTAAACTTGAATTCTTCTTCTCCGTTTGCTTGTTTGCACATCGCATCAAACAACTAATCAAACATTAACACTGATGACGTAATGCAAATCAATTTGTGATTTCACTTGATGCTTGCCTTGATGCCACATGTTTCAAACGCGCGCAAACTGAGAAAAATATTACTAACGAAACGAATCGCTTTTAAAACTTTTAAAATTAAAACTTTAATTGAACTGAATTGGACCATCTACGAGTATATTTGTTAAACTTACAAAGTATTTTAGTCGATTACTTCATCTTTAATGCATTTTAATTAGTCCCATTTCGCAAACGCATTTATTACTCGCTATTTACAACAATTCATAACACAAATGTTGTTATTAGCATCACAGGACATAAATAACACTCGTTTTAATTAGAGTTTAGTTTCTGTTTGAGTGTGCAATGCGTACATTGGCAGTAATTAACTAGGTGGAATTTTAATGAGAGAATATGAAAGATTTTCGCGACGCGGAAGTGCGAATCGATCCTGAAATAAATCTAAACGTGTGCACCGTGACAAATTATACTCCCATAATTATACGCAATTGTATGTACCTACTTAAAATAAGTATAATTCTTGTTTGTCCGAGTTTGCATAATGTTGTAACGCATGTTATTATGCACGTATGTTTTTATTTCGATGCAAGGCAGGTTGCTCGGCGCAATTTCCTTGATTTATTGTTTTCTATCTTTAGCCACTGGGTTTATCGTATTAGTATGTTGTGTATGCGTATACAATGTGTCGCTTCATGTCCAATAAGACATTTAATTTTAATGGCCCGAAATGAGTTATTGAAACCGAAACAGAGTGTAGGTAATTGTTGCTTTGCGAGTTGTTATGTTGTGTAAGTGTGTGGTGTGTAGGTGCCTTGTGCTATTGCAGTTGTTGGCAGCCCGACGTGATTTTTTCTTGTCGGTCTTCCTCCTTCGGGCTGCGCGGCGTCTCTTGAGCGTTGTCCGTTTATAATTAATTTAATGCGCCAGCGCGAGCGCTTTATTATTTCTGCCGCCGTCGCCGCTCCAGAAATAAACGGTTAATAATGGGTGCCGACGCCGCTTCAAACATTCTAAAGCTACATTCACACTTAAGTCTTCTTAATAGTCTTCTTAATTGTCATAAATGTATTAATAACTTCTAACGATCAGTTAAAACTTAGACTAAACTTAATTCCCAATTAAAACAATGCATGCTTTAGTTGTATAACTTGTTTACTTACTTACGTGACAATTAATTGATTAGATTATGCATTGTTAGATAACATCCTAAGATATAGATTAATTCCAACTCACGCACTTTTTAATTTCCTATTTTTCGCACCTACGCAAAACGATTTATTACACCACGATACAAAATATTGCATTACGAGTAAACTACATTTTGTTATCTGTTACTGAGAACTATCATAATCGTAATCTGACGTTATGTTTTCACTCCGTCTCGCCGAGTTATGAATGAACTTCAACCACGCGCAAGAATTCCCCTTCTTTTCGCGCCGACCATGGTCGCCAGCTGGACTTGCATTCGTTTTCGATTTCTTTTCCTTATTAGGTAATCCCGTGCAAGTCGTCGCATTTTCCGCGCGTTTGCACCCACCTTGACTCACTTTCGCCATCAGCAAACACATGCGAATTCCCGTTGCGCCATTATCGCGCCGGGACGGAAGTTAAGCGCTATCGGAAAACCACATGCGCCATACTCGAAATTGTTTCGTTTTGGCTTGCACGGCGCGAACGTGATCATATTGGTCATCACAATATCGAAGTGTCACATTCTGCGCGCGTGGTGAAAAAGGAGCGGTGCGGATTGTCGGCGATTCAATGCCGGGAATGTTGAATCAGGTGTTTTGCGTTTAGTACCGTTCAGTGTGCAGTGATTATTACACGCGGTGACGGTTAATCAAGTGATTAAAACGTGTTCCAATTAGAACTTATTAATTTAGACGTTGGTTTGTGTATTGTGTAGTTAAAAGGATGTACGATTACGAATATAAGAATGGACATCATGGTAAGTCCTCAAAACATAGATTTTAATTAGAAAACAAACAAAATTCTTCAGTTTTGCGCCATCTGTTAGTGAAAGTTACAAAGTTTTGTCGCGTCCCACATGAAGAAAACAAAAGAAAGCAAACAAAAGTGTTTTTTTTTTCATTTTTAGATTTATTATGTGATATTTATTAATTGTTGGATATACAAACGCTTGTTTGACTTTCTGTTGTTTTCTTGTGTTTATTCAGAACCGATACCAACGCCATCTGCAAGTTGCACGCGGAATAAACTGCGTCAACATAACCAAATTCCTATCTACATTGTGGAGTATCATAACGAAGTGTTGCCTTATATTTATCGTAATATTGCCTCGAAACATCTGCCACTTGAGGATATTACATTTGTACATTTCGATTCGCATCCTGATATGCTTCTCTCAAAGGATATGCCTCCTTCGTATGTATACGACAAAGAAAAACTATTTGATGCGATCAGTATAGAGAATTGGCTTCTTCCGGGAGCATATGCCGGACATTTTTCGTCTTTATATTGGGTTAAACCGCCATGGGCCGAACAAATTGCGAATGGATGGAAAAACTTTAAAATTGGTGATGTTGATGATAGGATTAGAGTGACATCTATGGAGAATTATTTTGTTACTGAAGGATTATACGCTGCAGAGAATAAAATGATGAATGTAAAGGAAGTAGAGCTTCAAGTGGTTACGCTTGGTAAAGGTGTGATTAATCAGGAAGATGATTGGAGTTTTATTGGGGATTTGGTGAAAGAAATAGAAAAGAAAAAAAGTTGGGTTTTGGATGTGGATTTAGATTTTTTCAGTACAAGTAATCCATTTTTAGGCATGTATGCAAAGGCAAACATGTATAAACTCCTTGAAGATATTTACAATCCAAAAGTTGATAAACCTAAAATTATGGATGAATTTATTATCACAGAAATAACTGCTCTAAGGACCAAACAATTATCCTTCTTGGAAAATATTTTTAAATATTTTCAACAACACAGTAAAGATATTTCAGAAAATCCTTCACAACATGAAGAAACATTGAAAAGTTTTGAAACTAAAGATATTACATTATACAAAAAAGTAATGTCATTTAGAGATGTCATGTTAGAACACTATGAAGAAAAAGATATTGATTGGGAGATAATTCACGATGCAGGATGCACAAAGGACGATACAGAATTGCCTCATCATGTGTCCACAACCGAAGAATTAGAAATTATGTTCACTGCTTTTGATTCTTTTCTTAAGAAGTTAGTTTTACATCACGGGGATAATTTAAAAATAGCACCTACTATTATAACTATTTCGAGATCTACTGTAGATGATTACACGCCAGGGGAAGATGTGGAGAGTATTCAACAGAGAATTTTGGAGATCTTAAAAAATAATTTTGGGAATTGCGCTGAGCCGACGCTGGATTATGAGCAAGAAACAAGCGAATAGTGTCAATTGAAAATGTCAATAAACAAGTAATGGGAGTAATTGATGAAGTGCGATTGAGCGAGAATAATTAAGTGCGAATAATTGCGCGTAACTCGAGGCTAACCTTGAGTTGAATTTAGTTAACTATGTTTAATATTTATGTTTACTAAGCACATATTATGATCAATGTTTTGTATGTGCTTTGAATTTAATATAAGTGGAAATAATTAAGGAGTTAGAAAATAGATGGCGGTAGCGGAGATTTTTGAACACAAATTGGTAATTTATTAATAAAATTCGTCTTAAATCTTCGATTTTTTTTTCATTTTAAAGTAAAAGTTTGAGTTTTTCGATAAAAATACATTATCAACTAAAACTATTTCGCGAAACACGCAGAGATACAGATAACAGTATATTATGTATCAACTGGCTCCTTCCCGTGACTAAAGTCGTGACTAAAGTACTTTAAATTTAAATTACACTTTTTGTATCTCAAAACCGTGATAAAATTGGCGTTTTAAATAAAACAGCAACTTCTGAAACATATTTTTAAATATTTCCCGCATTTTACCGTAAAACAATGATATACCTATTTATTAATATAACTAAATATTATAAAACTAGTTTATAGTTTATATTTAACTACTTCAAATAATGTTCTTATTATTACCGTCTTAATCATCTTGAACTTCGCCTATGATCCCTCGATGATCTATGACTCTATCATACCGCGCAGCCGGACAATTTGTTAACATTGCCGCAACATTAATAACAACGAGAGTAATTGTTCGCCCGCCGTGCTTCGTTTGTTTTGCGCCGCGTAACGCGTGTAATGATGCGAGCCGCGAGCAATTATTAAGAGGCGCAATGGGCAGTCTAACAAACGAGAAGGCGAGCAGTTTTCCTCGCACAGAGGCCGCATATGCTCTTGCCTTTCGCATGGATGCGATTATTTGTTGCTAGCGTTTCGTGGGAGACGCGCGACCTTCACCGGCACGTAAACTCGGAACAACAAATTGTCATAAAAACTCGGCGGACTGGTCGCCTGGGACAATCTACGAGTATACAAAAGTGCGTAGTAGTGATACAAACATTGACTTAATAATTTGCATACCTATGGTTTATAAATATTGGTGGAATTGGTTATAAAACTTGATTGTTAAGATTTCACTTCTTTTTTTTTGTTAAAGTGAGAGTGACTGGCGTCGAGTTTGTTCTAAAAATCAATTTTAAGCCTCTCTAAAATATTGTGCACGAAATATTCCGTAAGAAAATTCGGTGACTAATAATATTTTGGCGTTTGTGTAGTCGTGGCGCGCTGTATTTTCAAGTTTTTCACGTTGGTGTATTAGTGGCGTAATTACAACACTTACCTTGAAGCACACAAAACACAAGGTGTTTCAAGGTGTGTCGTTCTAGTTTAAATCGGGATATCCTGCGGAAAACGCGCGCGCGCCTGCGAATTTTCAACTCTCGCGTGTTAGAAGAGCGTGTGTGTGTAGGCTTTCCACAACACCCGCCGGTTTTCCACGCTGCGCTGTGGCGCATTTATTATTAGACGTTTTCGCCGCTTGGCGGTTGCCAAAAAAATAAACGAACGCGTTCGCCGTTGGAAAACCTGTGGAAAGTTGCGCATTCGTCATAATTCTGTCGGCTTGTGCAAAGTGCATCCAAGTTGATAAACAACATAATATATAATAAATATTTTGTGAGGTCGCGGTGATTTGACGAAGTTGCAAGTGCAGAATGAGTTTGAAAATGCGCTCGCGTACACGCACCCCCAGTCCGAAGACGGTCACCTTTGATCTGTCACCACCTGCTACTCTGGATGAGAAATTCAGGAAGAAACAGGAGTGGGATCGTTATTTTAGTAAGTTTTGTTTAAATTATGCAGAAAAATGACATTTTAATGTCTTTTGACAATGAATTTTCTTTCATTGTATTTAAAAACACGTATAATTTTTGCTGCGCATGCGCAGTACGATAGAAATCTCAATTATTTAATAAAACATTATTTTAAACACACAGCATTGAATTTTTCTATTTTTATGATACAAAATACAATTTCAATGCCTTCTAATAATTCTGTTCTACTTACAATCGATCTACTATGTATGTGTGTATAACGAAAAAACAAACTCCTTGAATCGCTTGAAACACAGCGATATTTATAGCTGCGATCCACACAAAACACAAGTTATGTTTATTATCCCATCGCCCATAGCTACCACACCACGCGGCCATTTTGTTTTCGTTTGTTTTCAAAACAAAACACTCATTGGTATTGAGAAATTTCATAACCTCACAATTAAAATTCCGCACGTTTTGTTTTCAAACACAATCAATGCGTATTGTAGATTAATTACTGCGATGATATGCTGAGTAATGCAATGCATATAATAAACAATGCGATGATTATTTAATTACGATTATGAATATGAATAATATTTAAGCATTGGTTTTTTATTGTTTATTATTTCGCGTCATTATTATTTTATAGTTGCGATTATTTCTGGTTGATACGTGAGAATTTTGCGATGTATATTTGCGCAGTGAATCGCGCTGAAAATTAAACAGAGGCATTCAGATGCGACTGATAAGATTGTATGAGTCATTTCACAGTGTGTGGTGAGACGTTTGAGTGCGCGTGGGGCATCAGTTTTCGAGAAATTGTCGCGCGGTAATTACACACATTCATTTCCTGTGTTTGATTGCCGAAAAGTGTGAAAACCGCTTGTGCGAATTTTTGTGTGAATAATAATTTAGTTGTCATGGAACAGTCGAACAGGGCTCACGCCCGCACCGCCCTTGAATCTTTCGTGGAGAGTGATGAAGTGGCGAAATTAAGTGAATAAGATGTGTTTTTTGTTGGTGAATAGTTAATTTAAACAATTGTGTATGTTTGGTTGCAGATGCACTGCTTGCCGATCTGCAGAACACTGTGCAACCCGCTGGAAGTGGTCACGCCCATACGGGTAGCTCTCCGGGGTATGGATCGGTGAAAGCGAAGCATTCGCCTGTCACCACGGAAATTCCCATGACGCGATCGGATTCGTATTCATCACGATCTGTAAGTGATTTTTTTATAGATATTATTGTTTGCATTATCGTAGTTTAATACACTTGGTTGCATATTATAAGAAATTTTGCATGCAATGTTGGTTGCCTATGTTAAACGTGGTAACAGAATGTTTCTTCTAAATTTCCTGGCAAAACATCAATTTTTTTGCTCTGTAGGTGGCGTTCACTGTTCAAAAATCTTTAAATATTTGTTCGCCTGAATCTTGAATCCGTGAATGCGTTGCCTAATTATAAAACTATTTCGTAAATATGTAAATCGAGGCGTTCGCCTCGCCTCGCGTCGACATTATAATTTTATATTTATCATGCATTATAAATAAATTTTTCATAATCCTGCAATAGATTCGCATCATGGACACGAGATTGAAAAATAAGAAAATAAATAAACGCTCATCACGCGAATAAAACATTTTCGTGGACATATAAAAAAATTTCCACAATAAAAAAATCGCAAAGCAAAGAAACGTCGAGAATACGCGTATGTCATAGAAGTGTTGAAAACGAGAATGAAACTTTTTTCTGATTATTTCTAGTTCTAGTTCTAGTGGGTATATGTTGTTTACATTCCCGCTTGGCATTTGTGAGACAATCGGCAATTTAGCATGGAAATTGAGCGCACACAGTTTAGTTCATTTCACGCTGGTTTGGATGTAATTTATTTTAATTTCGTGCAAAGAATTCATTCACAAGATTCTTTCTCCGCGTGTAGATTGTTGAACTTTGTAAACTAGGAAGTTGTTACAATTTGGGGTATATTTGTAATTTTGGCAAAGTTAAACGTAATTTTTGTGGCAGTTTTCAGCGTTTGCTTTGATCATCTTCGGCAGATTGCGTTTTGCCACCTGCCAAATCCATCAATTTGTTAAATTAACGAAACGCCGACGTTTTGAGTGACTTGAGTCAAAATTAAGTTAAAAATTTGGGTTAAACTTAAAAAAAATCATCATATATGTTATTTTACTTAATTTTTTTTTTATTAACGCGGTTTTTAATCAATTTTTATTTAAATTTATTTATAAAATCGTTAAATTTGTAGAAAATTGTATACTGAATAGATTTATAAAGAAAACATTGCAATAATTTCGTTACTTTTATTGCAATTTAGTAAATATAATTAATTTAATTAAATTTTTTTGTTACAATATGGAAAACAGCGACATCTGTTAAAATTACTTATTTATTTCCATTTTATAACGTTGTGAACGTAAAATAACAATAAAAAATGCAAAATAAAACGAAATTATCGTGTTTAACGTAGTATTCAAGATGTAAATGTATGTATGATGTAGTCAAGTAGGAAAACCACTTGTTGAATGATTCCTGCAGGTGGTCGACTTGGTCGACTTGCTGCCACTGTCAATCAAAGAGCTACTTAGCCCAGTCTAGAGTAGCGACTTGTGAATTAACTCAACCATTTTGTAAATGTTGCGACTCTGCGAGTGCATATTTATAGTAATTTGTGAAATTTCGCACTGAACGCCATGTAATATTTATTTTGGACAAAAGTCGCGGCGTGTTGCGGCGGTTGCGCGTGACGAGTTACCCTTTATGGAGCGATTCGGGACTCGGCAACGCAAAATGTGCGCGCACGCGGTGCGAGTGAGTGAGAGAAGTCCTGCGGGAGGCCGTACGGTGTCGAATCTTTTTTTTTTTGCACACGGCACCAACCACAAACAAAATCTGTAAATGTAGAAAAATTTATATTTAAAAAAGTAATATTTTCTCTTTTTTTGTGTTTTCTAGGGTAATTATGGACGTACGCAACCACCTACTTCAGGTGGGCGTAGTCCGGTGGTGCCAGCGAAGCCGAAACAGTTCAACAACAATCTCTCCGAGCTGGAGAACCTCCTGCAGGACCTCAGCACGACCAACGAACTTAATGGCTCGACGACGACGAGCATGTATGGGAATACGTCTGGCGGTGAGTGCAATATTTCCAAGGACGCGCGCATGTCAAGGTTAACACCAACGCAGCAATGTTATGCATTTGTTTACAGTTTATATAATCCGTTACGTTTACTTTGTTGAAACTGGCTTGAAAGATGACAAAACAACTATTAATTTATCAGTAAACGCGTTTATTTTGCGCATGCGCTTATTTGAAACGCTACGATTGACAAGCTATTCATTGCTGTCATATAAGTAGGCAACACACAATACGCATTTGAATTTTAACTTAGTTTTATTTCAATTTTGTTTGTAAACCAGTCAAAAATAATTTAAATGTGTGTATTTGTTCAAATTGAGTGTAAATAACCGAAAATGATTGTTTATTAAGTTGAATGTTTTACATACTCGTCTAAAGTTTATTGTTTTAATGTAATGTATTATGTTTTTACAGGAAGCAATGGTGCTAACGGAAGTACTTATTACAACTCCGGGGCGAATTCGCCGGCGGCGTATTATGGCAGCAGACCAGGCTCTCAGGCGACTAACCGCCCCACGGTTGATAGCCTCCTGGAGGAACTTAATGGAGGGTAAGTTTTTCTTTTAAAATGCTTCTTTAAACTTCTCTTTCCGCGTGTTTTTGGCAAATATTTACGTATATTTTATTTTTCCTGATTGTTTTATTAGTTTTATTGCCGTTTCATAACTCTTGACTAACTTCTAGTGTTTGGTCTAAGGTGTTCGGAATCAGATCGTAAATGCTCATAAAGAAGGATTTGCATAATCTGGCCGCGTGCGATTTTCGTGTTTTATTTCTATTTTAACTCGCACTGCGTATTCGCGCGCGCGGAAAATGCGGCCAAAACTTCCGAAATTGATTCGTAACAGGTTCGCGAGTGCGGCGCTAATTAAAAGTGCAGTTTTAGTTCCGAAAGTTATGATCTCCTCTCGCCTGCAGCGGGATTGCTGCTGCGTGCCGAGCGAAACTCGAGAGACAATAACATCATGAATATTTTTAAACGCGATGCGTCTATTAATAATTTTAATCTATTTCTGATGTTTTCGTGGAACATTACCAGACCAGAATAAAAAAAAAATGTCGGTCGCATTAAATTCTCCGCAGTATTCAATTTTTTCTAAATTATATTATTATACAGGGTGTTTTTGTTCGCAGGGAAGTCATCTACAGTGGTCCGAAACGTGTGACCATCACGGTGAAGGAGACAAAGACCGAAACGGATTTCCCAAGCGAATCGGAGCTGATTCAGCAGACTTACACGCAATCGAAGGCGCCGGCCGCCTCCACCGCCACCAAGGAGCTGGATGACTTGATGGACTCGCTCTCTGAGATTAAAGTGAGTATATTTTACCAATCTTATTATTTAACAATTGATTACATTGGTAATGTTATTGCCAAAAATCGGCATCTGGAAAACTTTGCGCGCGATTTGTTATTACTCGGTTTCGCATGACCTACTAAACCAATTTGCAGCAGCACTACGGTCGTAAACATTGATCAAACGCGCGCAAACATTGACATTGCCATCGGCTAGGTTATATATTGGGTTATGTTAACGTTCAGCAACCAGGCGCACGCAAAAATCGTGTAAACCGCGCCAATTGAATTCGCTTTGATTCATTCATTGCATTTTGCATGTGACGAAATTAATTCACACCTCGCAGTTGTATTTTGTCTGGCTGCAAGCGTTAATTGCTTTATGTGTTTTACGTTGACGTCACACGAGAAGAAGATGGTGTACAATATTCGCTTAAATTCAACACGCACAGCGCCGAACAGAATATGTTACGTTGCGTTTAAACGCGTCTAATGTTCGCGTACGGCCGAAAATAGTTTACGATAATTCGAATCTCTCGACGGGGTGGGGCGTGCGGCTGCGAGCGTTATTTCCGTAGGAAAAACGTATCTCGGCACGGAAAATGGCCTACGAGAGGGGAGGCGGCGCGGAGAGGAGGTAATTTTCTGGCCGCTGCTTTCGATTCGGGAATTAGGTTAAGCCCTGCTCAGTTTCCAGCCGGTCGTCGCATACTTAACAACTCCTTTCGGTATCTGTAGCAATTTAAAAAACTTAAAAAAAAAGTAATTTTAATTTATTTTGATTTACTTGCAGGTGAGCAAGCAAACCGTCAGCGAGTCAGCATACGCACGTCCTGAGAAGGCGGCCAACAAGCAGAATTTGGATCATATGCTAGGAAACCTACAGGCAGACATGTCACGCCAGGGAGTTAACACAAGCCAGAAGGGATGCTGCAACGCGTGCGAGAAGCCGATCGTCGGACAGGTTATTACCGCATTGGGCAAGACCTGGCATCCGGAGCATTTCACGTGTGCGCACTGCACACAGGAGTTGGGCACGCGTAACTTCTTCGAACGCGATGGAAAGCCTTACTGCGAGACGGACTACCACAATCTCTTTTCGCCACGCTGTGCCTACTGCAATGGGCCTATCTTGGATGTAATATTTTTTTCCAAAATGGCTTCTACTATTCCAACCGAAAGTGGTGTTGATAATTGTACGATGGGTTGTCTATGTTTCAGAAATGTGTAACTGCACTTGAGAAGACCTGGCACATGGAGCACTTCTTCTGCGCGCAATGCGGCAAGCAGTTTGGCGATGAGGGTTTCCACGAGCGCGAAGGAAAGCCGTACTGTCGCGATGACTACTTCGACATGTTCGCACCAAAGTGCGGCGCTTGCAATGGCGCCATCATGGAGAACTACATCTCAGCGTTGAATGCGCAATGGCATCCCGATTGCTTCGTCTGCAGGGTAAGCAATCAATTACCTATAACTACTCTTGTATTTGTACCAACAGCAAATCCTATCCGTCTCCTAAATGTTTGACCTTTAAAAGGTCAAAGTCCACTTTTCAGATTATGTCAGGTGATGGGATGATTAAATGTTTGTTGGTATTAGGATTGTAAGATGGCGGTGCAGGGCAAGTCGTTTTACGCCATGGAGGGCAAGCCGGTGTGTCCGAAATGCATTGGCGCTGACGACGAGGAAGAGGAGGACGAATAGACGGAGATATTAATGCGACACGCCATTTTCTGCTCTTGTTCGTTCGTTATAGGCTTCATTTCGTTCTGTTCTTTCTGCGCATTTTTCGTTTTCGATCTGATTTCTCGCTCGAACAACTTGCGAAATTCTGAGGCAATCAAAACTCGTTAGGGGATGATAATTAAGTGTAACTATTTATTTAACTCTCTTAAAATATGATATATATTCTATTTGTATAATAAAAACAAAAACAAAAAACAAACAAATAAAAAAAGAATAGAAAAAACAAAAACAATAATAAAAAACACAAAAATCAAACGCATGTTACCAAAACACTTGGTATATGTGTGTGCGGGGACGCATTCTATTGCATCAAGTGCATAAAATGCAGTGAAAATGCACCGTAAATGCATTTTTCGTGTAATCGCAATGCATTTGTTTGTTTTTGTTTGGTGTCAAGTGTCTGAATGCATTTTTGTCACAACTGACATGGCGTCGTAAATAATGCGAGACAATCACTTCTTTTTAGAAAAATAAAAATAAAATGAGAGTTAAATACATGGCGACACTTTTTGACGTTTTTCGACACCGCAACATCGAGTGCGATTTATCATTCTCCACTTTGTTGTCGCCTGCACTTTACGTCGCGCACCGCCTTCATCTTGTCTCGGTTTTACCGCGATTCGTTTGTGTTTCGAATGTGTTTTTAAACTTGGCACACATTCAGCCCCGCGACTTTGCGAAAAGATAAATGCCTCTCGATTTTCGGTGAGCACCACGTTGTGCAAAATGATGCAAGAAGCGAATCCGCGCATCTTCACGTGTCTATATCGTTTCGCAAGATTTTTTCTTTCTTTCTCGGCTGTCATTATGACATATTTATCTCTTGCCTTCGATGCTCGCGACTATAAAAAGCGAAACGTGGACATCATAGAAATAATAATACGCGCGCGCGATATGTATTTTTATAATATTTAAAATGTATTAGAATGTTTGAAAGTCGCGTCCGATCTGATAGCGCACCTAGCCGGTTGCGTTTTAATGCCAGGTATAATGCGAAATTATTTACGCGAATTATTTTTAGGTGGCGGTCGCGTAATGCGAGAGTTGGTTTTAATGTTTTTTCGGTGTTTTATGATGTTAGCTCTGGCGTAATGCGTGGCCAGATGGGATTTCGGATGTTTCTAGCGCGTAATTAAGCAATTTTTGATGGTTTAACTGCTGGGAAGTTCAAAAAGTCAAAGTTATCTTGATGTTTTGTCGAATTTTGTTTGGCAGTAGGTTTTATTGTATTTATGCGTTGTTTTAAGTTTGTTCAACTTGACGCAAAAATGTCTATAGATTGATTTTAACCAAATTTGTTTTTCTTTGTTTTAGGATTGTAGGCAGCCATTTGTAGGTGGCTCATTCTTTGATCATGAAGGTCAGCCATATTGCGAGACTCACTACCATCAAAAACGAGGTTCCCTTTGTGCTGGTTGTCATAAACCGATCGGCGGACGATGCATCACGGCCATGTTCCGCAAATTCCATCCGGAGCACTTTGTCTGCGCCTTCTGTCTCAAGCAGCTCAACAAGGGCACCTTTAAGGAGCAGACGGACAAGCCATACTGTCACAACTGCTTCGACAAGCTTTTTGGTTAAAAATCAAATCATACGGACGGCAGAGAAATGCAACGCACTTTTGACTTATTAATTACTACCAACCTACTACCCCCCAAAACAAATTAATCTATTATTATCAAAATGGCAAACGGTGGCCATTTTGAAATCATATGTGGGAACATATACGACAAATATTGAATAACTCGTAGAAGTATTTTAAACTCGTTGATTTCAAACAGTTGCAAGTTTTGTTGATGCGCAAACAAATGAATTGCTCGTTTGGAATCAGCGTTTTGTAACGTTGTGCTTAATTTTTGAGTTGTAGTTCGACACTATCATAGATATGTAGTGTCGGAACTTTTGCACAAGTATCTGAAGAGTAACCCCTGAGCAGAGACATACGACTTAACGAGTATATTTAAGCCAAACTACTAACATTCGTACATGTATTAGATATGTGAGAACAATATTTACGTTTATATTAGGTGGTGATATAACTGCGTGTCATTGTTGTAAAAAAATATATGTAATTCGTTTTAACAAAAGAAGTAAGTTTTATTTATACACGATGCAATGCAAAAATATTTTGTATGTATTGAAATGTTGTAATTGAATGAAGTAATTCATTTTTGTTGATTATTGCTTCTTTGTGGAAGCTTTGGAAAACGTATTTCTAACACACATTTTACGATTAATTCATTTTGCAAAACATCACTTTAATAGTTAATGTAAAATCGCGCAAATTTTCATTAATTTTAAAAATCTAACTTTTGGGACTTCTACCTGAATCGTTCAGAGATGGCACCAGCATGAGCTAAAAATCATAAAATAGAATTGTATTGTTTATTTCTATATTTATCGGCAAACGTGGGCATTCGGAACGAGAATTGTGTTTGTTTTCAACACGATTTACTTTCTTATCGCTTCCGCCGCGTGGAATGCAACACCTGAGATTTCCGAGTGTCGTCGTTGCAATCCTCGCACGCCGCACGCAACATATTCTAGTTTAGTTTAGATTACAGGTCTCGTGCCTATTGCAATTCGCGCACAAGGTCGAGTGCGATCGACGCGCTGCCGGCTTTGCGCATCTCTTGCTTTCTTATCATAAACTGTAGCGTCGTTGCTGGCGCGCCTGCGGCATACGCTATCGATGGTTTGCAGCCAGTTTCGTTTCCGGCGCTGGCGTGCCCAGATGTATTTCGCGCGACGCAAATTCGGTCATCAATCGACATGTACTCGTAACATGCATATGCTGTGTTTTGTGAACGCTTTTGATGTTTATATTTTAAGTTACAAGAATGCTGCGTTTTATTGTCGGTTATTGTGTGACGTTGTCGGTCGATAGTCAGTTGGATACATATTGCTGCCATGTTGTTCCCCGTCCTTAGAAGGTCCCTTCGTGCGTAAGTAATTTTTATCTCACCATTTCGATACTGCGCACATAATGTTTGTTTTTCTCCGATGTGTGAATATAATATTATATTGTAGCATATGATAAAAATTAAAGAAATATTGCAATTTGATAGACATTATTAAATTGCTTATGACTGGTATTTTCATGTAATATCAACTTTGTTATATATTTGATAAAATGTGTTTTAAATTTAAACCTGCCACTACTAGATAGTCGGTTAGATGGCAGTACGATGCACGTTTTCGCGTTAAATATTGCTTGTCGGTGGTAGTGAGTGCACACCGCGTCCGTGTGCGATCACGCGATTTCGTACAAGAGATTGTGGTTTGTTTACCTGCAGATATCGATTCTTTATTTCTGGGAATAAAATCACATCATGCAGTTTATATTGGCATCGTAAATTTAAGCAAGTATTCTTCATTTCTTAAATTATGAATATAAATAACAATTTTAGATTATGTGTAATAGTTAATTATAAAAATTATCATCAACAAAACATTTTTATCATCAGCAGATCACTTAAGCAGATATCACTTAAATATTTGATGTAAAATCTGGTACTCTGTCAGCATAAGAAATCAGAATTACGCAAATCGAATTTTAATTTTTCATTATTTTTAATAATCTCAATTTCGAAACTACAGTATGATTCATAGATGGCCCTAGCAGGACCCAAAAATTGTAAAATAGATTTGTATTGTTTATTTCCATATTTATCGGCAAGCGTGAGCATTCGTGTTTGTTTTGAATACAATTTACACTTTCGTTCTTATCATAAACTATCGCGTCGTTGCTTGCGCAGTTGGCGGCCAGTTTCGTGCTTCAGATTGATCGAGACGTATTCTACGCGAATTGTATTGTTTGTATTATATTTAATCATCACTCGACTATTTAATTGTAATCACTATTGCAAAGTGTTTTTTTCACGTTCCACCGCGTGTTGCAAAGAATTTTCCAATCTTTCATAATCAGCAATTCGTTGGTAGCTGTCTCGTTTAGTTTAAGAGATATTAATTATCGAAAATCGTCGATAAAAATTATCAAGCACCCCCCCCTTGGCAATTTTTTCTTAAGAATTAAAATTTCATCACTCAGATTTCCGCTTTAACTAGCCCATCTTATAGAGAATAGTCCGTTACGAGATATTCGCGATTGAATAAAATGGGCAAAAATTGATAAATGTCACTTTTTAGCACTTTAGTCGCGTTTTTCGACCTTTTACTGTAGGAAATATATTTATTTTATATTTTTATCTGATAGAGAATTTTCCAATCTTTCATAATCAACAATTCGTTGGTAGCCATCTCTTTTAGTTTAAGAGATATGAATTTTTGAAAATCGTCGAAAAAAAGTATCAAGCACCCCCCTTGGCAATTTTTTCTTAAGACTTAAAATTTCATCTATCAAATTTCCCTTTTAACTATCCTATCTGATAGAGATTGGTCCGTAGATTAAGACGCTGCGATCAGATCTTATTTATCTCTTTTAGTTTACGAGATATTCGCGATTGAATATAATGGGCAAAAATTGATAAATGTCACTTTTTAGCACTTTTAGTCGCGTTTTTCGACCTTTTACTGTAGGAAATATAATTATTTGATATTTTTATCTGATAGAGAATTTTCCAGTCTTTCATAATCAACAATTCGTTGGTAGCCATCTCTTTTAGTTTAAGAGATATGAATTTTTGAAAATCGTCGAAAAAAAGTATCAAGCACCCCCCCTTGGCAATTTTTTCTTAAGACTTAAAATTTCATCTCTCCGATTTCCCTTTTAACTATCGTATCTGATAGAGATTGGTCCGTAGATTAAGACGCTGCGATCAGATCTTATTTATCTCTTTTAGTTTACGAGATATTCGCGATTGAATAAAATGGGCAAAATTGATAAATGTCACTTTTAGCACTTTTAGTCGCGTTTTTCGACCTTTTACTGTAGGAAATATAATTATTTTATATTTTTATCTGATAGAGAATTTTTCAATATTTCATAATCAACAATTCGTTGGTAGCTATCTCTTTTAGTTTAAGAGATATGAATTTTGAAAATCGTCGAAAAAAGTATCAAGCACCCCTTGGCAATTTTTCTTAAGACTTAAAATTTCATCTCTCCGATTTCCTTTTAACTATCCTATCTGATAGAGATTGGTCCGTAGATTAAGACGCTGCGATCAGATCTTATTTATCTCTTTTAGTTTACGAGATATTCGCGATTGAATAAAATGGGCAAAAATTGATAAATGTCACTTTTTTGCACTTTTAGTCGCGTTTTTCGACCTTTTACTGTAGGAAATATAATTATTTTATATTTTTGTCTGATAGACAATTTTCCAATCTTTCATAATCAACAATTCGTTGGTAGCTATCTCTTTTAGTTTAAGAGATATGAATTTTTGAAAATCGTCGAAAAAAAGTATCAAGCACCCCCATTGGCTATTTTTTCTTAACACTTAAAATTTCATCTCTTCGATTTCCCTTTTAACTATCCTATCTGATAGAGATTGGTCCGTAGATTAAGACGCTGCGATCAGATCTTATTTATCTCTTTTAGTTTACGAGATATTCGCGATTGAATAAAATGGGCAAAAATTGATAAATGTCACTTTTTAGCACTTTTAGTCGCGTTTTTCGACCTTTTACTGTAGGAAATATAATTATTTTATATTTTTATCTGATAGAGAATTTTCCAATCTTTCATAATCAACAATTCGTTGGTAGCTATCTCTTTTAGTTTAAGGGATATGAATTTTTGAAAATCGTCGAAAAAAAGTATCAAGCAAGGCAAGGCAATTTTTTCTTAAGACTTAAAATTTCATCTCTCAGATTTCCGTTTTAACTAGCTTATCTTATAGAAAATAGTCCGTAGATTAAAACCCCGCGATCCGATCTTAATTATCTCTTTTAGTTTACGAGATATTCGCAATTGAATAAAATGGGTAAAAATTGAAGAATGTCACTTTTTAGCACATATAACCACGTTTCTATTTTCCGTAGTTTGAAAATTTTCAATCTGTTCCTTTTACCGCGTTTAGTTTTTGAGCAAATCGTTAAAAATTAGAATTCTCTCTCGCCGTTGTCACTTGCCGCATGCAGCACATTCTAGTATTGTTTAGATCGCATATATCATGGCCGGCCAATCCCAGGCCCGCGGGCCACAAAGTGGCCCGCCAGGACATTTGTATTTGCCCGCCGCAAAAAACCAAAGTTGGAACTTTTGTATGTGTATAATATTTTATGTATGAATGGCCATAGTATGTGGCCCGGTGCCGCCGCAATCTAAAAGATTTGGCCCTCCAGGAAAATCCATTGGCCAGCCTTGGCATATATGAACCGTGCCAAATGTAATTCGCGCACAAGATCGCGGGCCGACGACGCGCCGGCTTTGCGCGTTTCTTGCTTTCTTATCATAATCTCTCGCGGCGTTACTGGCACGGCTGCGGCATACGCTATCGATGCTTTGCAGCCAGTTTTGCAGTTTTTTTTGTCGGACTTCTATTTTCTACATCTGCATTATATTCGGTCATCAATCGACATGTACTCCTAACATGCATCTGCTGTGTTTTGTGAATGATTAATAGTGCGTTTACGTATATGATTTTTTGCTCGCTTTTGATGTTTATATTTCAAGTTACAAGAATGCTGCGGTTTTATTGCCGGTTATTGTGTGACGTTGTCGGTCGCTAGATCAATTTGATTGATTGCCATGTTGTTCCCCGTTTTTAGGAGGTCCCTTCGTGCTTGAGTAAGTAATTTTTATCTCACCATTTCGATACTCCGCACAGAATGTTTGTTTTTCTCCGATGTGTGAATATAATATTATTATGTTGTGGCATAGAATATATATTAAAGAAATTTTGCAATCTGATAGGCATTATTAAATTGCTTATGACTGGCATTTTCATGCAATATCAACTTTGTTGCATATTTGATAAAATGTGTTTTAAATTTAAACCTGCCATTACTAGATAGTCGGTTAGATGGCACTACGATGCACGTTTTCGCGTTAAATATTGTTTGTCGGGGGTAGTGAGAGCACATCGTATCCTTGTGCGACCACGCGATTTCGCGCAAGAGATAAGTTTGTTTACCTGCAGGTATCGAATCTTTATTTCGTGGAATCAAAACACCCCGTTGCTGTTTGTTATTTTAGCATCGTAAATTTAAGCAAATATTCTTCAATTCCTTCATGAATATAACTAACAGTTTTATAATAATTTTTATAGTTTATTATCAAAATCATCAAGAATGCAAAACATTTTTATTATCAACAGATCACTTAAGCAGATATTTATGGATATTTATGGCGATAAAATTCCGTAACGCGAGTTATAATGATAGTTGTGTGAATACGCATATACGCAATAGTACTCGTTGCGCTAGGAATTGTATTTTGGTAATATTATAACACGCGAACGCGGTCTTAAACTAAGTTCGGAATAATTTTCCCAGATGCGGAATTTAATTCTTTATTTCCCTGTATCGAAATTTATTGCGAGAAAATTCCGTAACGCGAGTTATAATGATAGTTGTGTGTACACGCATATACGCAATAGTTTCGTTAGTATAACGCGCGAACCGAATGCGCTGAAATTAACAACTGATTATATTTTTTGAATTATTATGTTTTATTTTATTTTAGTGCACTTCAAAAATGTGCTATTTCAATTCTACACGCATATCGGGGTTTGTGTATAAACAAGTTTTTATATCGCTATAAACGTGCGCAATGCTGCCTCTCATGCTACGAACGTTCGACCGCTTCAGTCTGTTCTTACCTGCACGCGGCTCGGCATCATTATTTTATTCATTACGATTACATTACATTTTATTATTGATTAAAAATGAGCTTTTCAAACGGCACCTAATGACAACAGACATGTAGATTGTTTTGCTAAGTATGAATTACGCGTAAAATGATTATAAAACTGGTGTTTCCATGTGCGTGTCGGCTATTGGATTATTTCGATGTTGAGAATTGGAATTAGAAATATGTATCCTATTCGTAATTTTAAGTTAGTGTAATTAACGACTGTCCTTGGCAGGATATTCCGGGAAAATTGTGTGTTAAAATAGTACAGGTTCATTATTCCTCAAAACGAATATAAATAAGTGTGCATCATAGTGCGAGTTCTCACACACGTGTTGTTTTTTTTGTTTCAGTACTTCCTATGATTACCTGATGCACCGGTAAATTTGTAAACGTTATTAGTTATTACATTATACTTTCATATTTATCTAAAATTGCATGTAACGTGAATACCGTAACAACACAAAATTGATGCGTGCCGTCAGATGCGACTTGGATCTACCCGCAGAGTATGGTCATGCCAATCATCGGTTTAATAACGTGAAATTTTCCTTGCTCGCATTTTTATTTCATAAATCTGCAGGCTGTTTAACGTATTTTCGTAGTTTGGCAATTAATTATTGGGAGTAATATATTTGTAAAAGACGATTTAATTTTCTTCCGCGTGTGTGCTTGAGTTGCCGTCGGCGGACACATTTTGCCTTGCTTGTGGCGTATCTAGAGAAGCGTCGCAAGGCAAATTTCAAGATCGCAATAAAATTCATATTGATGTTTTATTTATTCACAACTCTAGCTTCTCTACCTTTCCATTTCTTGATATTCTGAGAGAAACAGGTATTAGTTTAAATTTTCTTGTTGTGTCACCTTCTAATTATGAATGAAATTCTCTGCATCGAAAATTTCGAAATTTCTAATAAAATGTAGCGACTGACTAAACTGACTAAATTGGTCGTTTCTGGGTCGTTTTCTACCTAAACTTTGTATCTTATTTTTAATTTTAGGAATTTCCTGTTTGTATCACCCTGTATGTTTGTTTTCTTGACTTCCTATTATAAGTTTTCTAAATTTGGTATTCCCGACTGTTTCCTTCTTTGTACTATTGATTTTCTTTTTGTAACACCCTGTATATTTGTTTTCCTTAATTTCCTATGAAAAACTGTCGACATTTAGTGTTTCCTAATATTTTCCATCTTGAACTTGGCATTTTATTTTGTGATGTAGTAAATTCCTGTTTGCAGCACCCTGTATATTTGTTTTCCTTGTTGTCCGTGAAAATTTAGCTTTAGTTGTTGTTTTAGGTTTTTCTTCTTTGCATTTTGAATTTTCTATATGTAACACCCTGTATATTTGTTTTCCTGATTGTCGGTGAAAACGAGCGTTTGTAATGTTTAGAGGTTTTCGTTTGCACTTATAATTTTCTTTTGTAACTCCTGTATATTTGTTCCCATTTTCACTCATGTAGAAAATGGTCTATTTTCTAATTTCTTTATCCCGGTAGTACTTTGCGAAGTGCAACTTGCTTGCATGTGCGCGGCTATGCAGGTCGTAAGTCTTGTTTCAATATGGCGACATGTATTCTGTTGACTTGTAAAATATATACATACTTGTATTCTATTGTTAATAAATGAATAGTAAGATATATTGACTTCTTTGATTTGTGAACCTCTTCTATCATTTCAGTAACAGGTCTCTAAGAGAATTCCCTCTCTCAGGGGATGATCCCCACTATAAAAATTGTTAAGGTATCCTGTGTGATTTGTGTGCTCCTTCTTTCATTTCAGCTACAGGTCAGAACTTGTAAGAATATTTTTAAGTGTCACCTCTCTTGAGGCGACTTAAAACTTAGAAATATTTTTACAAGACTTTATAAGGATTGTCCTTATAAGGAGTTCCCTCTCTCTGGGGGTGATCCCCCACCATAAAAATTGTTAATATGCCTGATAATTCCGGGGATGAAGCGCAGAGACATCGTAGCTGTAGGATGGGCCGGGAGCAATGGACGGATTGAAGCAGTGGGCGATCGACCAGAGCGCCGGAGGCGCTCTGGGAGATCGACCGTAGACTGTCTTATAACGACACGTGCCAAAAAATTTAAAAATCTCATCCTCTCCTGTTTTCTTTCTTCTATCTCCTCCTCTTCTCTACTCTACTCTCTGTTCTCTTCCTTCTATCTTCTCCTATTCTTATTCTCTACTACTCATTCTTCTATTTCCCTGATCTCCCGTTCTCCTTTGACTTTCTTACTTCTCTTATTGCCTTCACTTGTATTTCAATTTCTCATATATTTCGTTGCAATTCATATATGCAACCCAAATTACACCTGATATTTTTATATTTGAGAAAAATGCCTTCTATACCTGAGATTCGATCCGTGTCTGCTAGCATGCCAGCAGGTGCACGTCTCCACTCGACCTCCGAGTGTTTTTATAATTGCTATTTGATTCTTCTATATATGTTTCTGTTTTTATCATGTTTTTAAAAACAACAACACAATTCAAGCAACAGCAATGCATTGTACACGCTTCACGCACATAAGATTAAGACACCGATACTGAAAACAACAAAGGGGATGCCACAAAGAACTAAGAATTAGTTTATAACATTACAATGTGTTTTATTGACAACATTTAAAATACATTTTCCATTCAAATAAAAAAAAAACATTGAAGAATTTCAAATCACGTAGCAATAAAGACTTACCTTAAAATGTGCGCATCTCCAATACTTCTTTTATGGATATCGCTGATTCCATGGCTCCCATACTCAAGAACTGGGCACCAACGTTGTCTATCAGCGGGAATTAATAATAAATCCTAGTTTTGCCAATATGCGAGAAGATAAACGACTGCCGATAAACACGCACGCGGCGCACACAAAGCCCAACTCGGTTGTAGATAATGCCACAACCGAATAATACTTAGCGACGCCCGACGAAACATCCCAAGCGCACAAGCGAACCGATGATTAATTGGGGTTGTGCCACATTAGCCTGTTACGAAAGGCCGATTAATTAAAATAAATTATAAATAAATAATTAAAGCAGTAATTAGACCCATTTTAACGTATTCAGCGGAAACAAGACCGGAAACAACAATAACTGCCAGACTTCTTACAACAGCAGAAATGAGAACACTACGGTGTGTGGAAGGCAAAACGATCAGAGACAGAATCAAGAATGAGGACATCAGAAGAACGTGCAAAATAGAAAACATTACTGAATGGAGCGAAATGAGAAGGAACGAATGGAATGAACACATAGAAAGAATGGAAGGATCGAGAATAGTTAGGGTTGCTAGAGACAACTCCCCAAGAGGAAGAAGATCACTCGGTAGACCAAGAAAAAGGTGGAGTGATCACTTCGGCCAAGCCCACTGAAGAAGAACAGGCAACAGTGCCTATTTTGGAAGAATAAGAAGAAGAAGAAGAAGACGAAAGGCCGATGAAGGCAATTACAGAATTAAAGTAAGACACGCGAAAAGTCGCTACGCAGATCGACTGACGAACAAAGCACGTGTTAACCGTAGCACAGCGCACGATCGACTAAACTGCAAAGAGAATTGATATCAGGCGTAAACAAAGAAGATAGCCCCTACCAGTACTATCTAAATAAGCAAGAAAACTGACGCGCTGCGCCGACACAAGCAGCATAGCAGACACAAAACAAAATTAAAAGCATCAGGGTAGTATTTATTACTTTTGATTCATTCAATTTGATATGAGTAACGCTCTGCTTGTGTTCCAATAATCCTAAATAATTAAGTATATCATTTCAACTTGCTTGTTTGTCATACATTTTAAAAATAAATTAAAAATTCTATCCTACCAGTAGTAGTTTCGCAAAGTTGTTTAAAATTGGTAATCAAAACCAGCGGCGTAGGTTCGCCACATTTGCATCATCACGATGACGTTATGTATTACCTCCAGCATCGGAGTCGTCCTTGTCAATGATCTCAAAATCACTGTTATCGCTGCTGTCGCGGCGCGAAATAGCCGTGTGTTCTTTAGTTGTGTGCTGACTAGCAAAATTCGAGTGCAGATTGCTCAGAAGGTTGCTGCCGACAACGGCGAGACTGCACACCATGCCGCCAGCAAACGATTGAGAAGATTGAGCGCCTAACACCGATGCGTCCCGCACGTCGGAGAAGCGCAAGCCTTTCTCGTAACGGTGCTCATCCTCACTGCCGGAGGACCAGTTGCCAGTGAAGTGCTTGCTCTCAAAGTGCATTCCCTTCAAACAAACTCTTCACGAAAAAGGGTAAACAAATTACCCTTTTATGCAAATTTTCGCGGATTGCAGGTCAAATTCATGCAACAAACAAATACCACCCGACGTAGAATTTAATTCCGCATCTCTAGACGCCACGCCAAAATTACTAGGGCGCCTAGATTGCATAGAAACCCGAAAAAATACAAATATTCCACAAAAACAGTGAAAAATCCCACTCTAAAGCAAATTTGCGCGGGTTGCAGGCCGAATTCATGCAACAAACAAATACCACTCGACGGAGAATTTAATTCTGCATCTCTAGACGCCACGCCGAAATTACTAAGGCGCCTAGATTGCATAGAAACCCGAAAAAAATACAAATATTCCACGAAAAACAGTGAAAAATCCCACTATAGAGCAAATTTTCGCGGGTTGCAGGGCGAATTCCTGCAACAAACAAATACCACCCGACGAAGAATTTAATTCCGCATCTCAAGACGCCACGCCGAAATTACTAAGGCGCCTAGATTGCATAGAAACCCGAAGAAATTCAAAATTTCCACGAAAAACAGTGAAAAATCCCATTATAAAGCTAATTTGCGCGAGTTGCAGGCCGAATTCTTGCAACAAACAAATACCACTCGACGGAGAATTTAATTCCGCATCTCTAGACGCCACGCCAAAATTACGAAGGCGCATAGATTTCATAGAAACCCGAAAAAATACAAATATTCCACGAAAAACAGTGGAAAATCCCACTCTAATGCAAATTTTCGCGGGTTGCAGGGCGAATTCCTGTAACAAACAAATACCACTAGACGGAGAATTTAATTCCGCATCTCTAGACGCCACGCCAAAATTACTAAGGCGCCTAAATTTCATAGAAACCGGAAAAAAATCAAATATTCCACGAAAAACAGTAAAAAATCCCACTAAAAAGCAAATTTTTGCGGGTTGCACGGCGAATTCCTGTATCAAACAAATACCACTAGACGGAGAATTTAAGTCCGCATCTCTAGACGCCACGCCGAAATTACTAAGGCGCCTAAATTTCATAGAAACCCGAAAAAATTCAAATATTCCACAAAAAACAGTAAAAAATCCCACTATAATGCAAATTTTTGCGGGTTGCAGGGCGAATTCCTGCAACAAGCAAATACAACCCGACGGAGAATTTAATTCCGCATCTCTGGACGCTACGCCGAAATTACTACGGCGCCTAGATTGCATAGAAACCCGAAAAAATACAAATATTCCACGAAAAACTGTGAAAAATCCCACTATAGAGCAAATTTTCGCGGGTTGCAGGGCGAATTCCTGCAACAAACAAATACCACCCGACCTAGAATTTAATTCCGCATCTCTAGACGCCATGCCGAAATTACTAAAGCGCCTAGATTGCATAGAAACCCGAAAAAATACAAATATTCCACGAAAAACAGTGAAAAATCCCACCATAAAGCAAATTTGCGCGGGTTGCAGGCCGAATTCTTACAACAAACAAATACCACTCGACGGAGAATTTAATTCCGCATCTCTAGCCGCCACGCCGGAATTACTAAGGCGCCTAGATTTCATAGAAACCCGAAAAATACAAATATTCCACGAAAACAGTGAAAAATCCCACCATAAAGCAAATTTGCGCGGGTTGCAGGCCGAATTCTTACAACAAACAAATACCACTCGACGGAGAATTTAATTCCGCATCTCTAGCCGCCACGCCGGAATTACTAAGGCGCCTAGATTTCATAGAAACCCGAAAAAATACAAATATTCCACGAAAAACAGTGAAAAATCCCACCATAAAGCAAATTTGCGCGGGTTGCAGGCCGAATTCTTACAACAAACAAATACCACTCGACGGAGAATTTAATTCCGCATCTCTAGCCGCCACGCCGGAATTACTAAGGCGCCTAGATTTCATAGAAACCCGAAAAAATACAAATATTCAACGAAAAACAGTGATAAATCCCACTATAAAGCAAATTTGCGCGGGTTGCAGGCCGAATTCTTGACACAAACAAATACCACTCGACGGAGAATTTAATTCCGCATCTCTAGCCGCCACGCCGGAATTACTAAGGCGCCTAGATTTCATAGAAACCCGAAAAAATACAAATATTCAACGAAAAACAGTGATAAATCCCACTATAAAGCAAATTTGCGCGGGTTGCAGGCCGAATTCTTGACACAAACAAATACCACTCGACGGAGAATTTAATTCCGCATATCTAGCCGCCACGCCGGAATTACTACGGCGCCTAGATTTCATAGAAACCCGAAAAAATTCAAATATTCCACGAAAAACAGTAAAAAATCCCACTATAATGCAAATTTTCGCGGGTTGTAGGGCGAATTTCTGCAACAAACAAATACCACCCGACGGAGAATTTAATTCCGCATCTCTAGACGCCACGCCGAAATTACTAAGGCACCTAGATTGCATAGAAACCCGAAAAATACAAATATTCCACGAAAAACAGTGAAAAATCCCACTATGAAGCCAATTTGCGCGGGTTGCAGGGCGAATTCCAGCAACAAACAAATACCACCCGACGTAGAATTTAATTCCGCATCTCTAGACGCCACGCCGAAATTACTAAGGCGCCTAGATTGCATAGAAACCCGAAAAATACAAATATTCCACGAAAAACAGTGAAAAATCCCACTATAAAGCCAATTTTCGTGGGTTGCAGGGCAAATTCCAGCAACAAACAAATACCACCCGACGTAGAATTTAATTCCGCATCTCTAGACGCCACGCCGAAATTACTAAGGCGCCTAGATTTCATAGAAACCCGAAAAAATACAAATATTCCACGAAAACAGTGATAAATCCCACTATAAAGCAAACTTGCGCGGGTTGCAGGCCGAATTCCTGCAACAAACAAATACAACCCGACGGAGAATTTAATTCCATATCTCTATACGCCACGCCGAAATTACTAAACCGCCAAGATCGTATACAAACCCAAAAAATACAAATATTCCACGAAAAACAGTAAAAAATCACACTATAAAGCAAATATTCGCGGGTTGCAGGTCGAATTTCGGCAACAGACAAATACCCGATATGCGCTCGAAATAATTAAAAAGACGTACGTGGTACGAGCACGAATGTATAAAACAAGCAAGTAATGATAACATACCAGTATTGTATACGTTGCAACACTCCAACAAAAGCTGACAATGAGTAAAATCTGCGAAACAAATTATATTGTTAAGGGAAAGGATGGCAAAATGTGTTGTTGTTTATTTTATTTTAAATTTGCGTTCCAATGTTGTGCGAGGATCGTCCATCGTGACTCCGCAAGCACTGAAACAGTAAAGTAAAAATAAAAAAGGGCTATCTTTGGTGGCTATTTTGAGGTAGTTATGGCGAATTTTCGCGATAGGGCAAAACTGCATCTTCAAGATAAAAGCTAACAGGATCCGAAAAAAAATTAAAATATCACAAAGGGTTCCCGAAATATGGCCTGTTTCCCTGTTTGCCACCGCAACTTTTGGAAAATTCAAAAAGAAGCAAACTTTAGCGGCTATTTTGACGCAACCGACACGAAATTAGCCGCAATCGGTAGATAAACCATAGTCGAGCAAGCTCGAGCCCCGTAGGGAAGGCAAGAGATGAGCAAAGTCGACGCATCGATGGCACGCGACGACGGCCCACGACCTTGGGCGCGAATTTCAAACTAAACTAGAATATGCTACACGCGGCACGAGGCAACGCGACACAAAATCAGTTTATACACAAACGCATGTTCTATGCAGAAATCTTCACATTTTCCTCGATTTTCTCTGAAACGAAACGCGATAGATAGGAACGGATTGAATATTCTTAATCTACGGAAACTTCTCTACAAGATAAACGAGTTAAATTGATAATCTAAGCACCGTACGAGGGTCGCGGGTAATGTGACTCGTGTTCAGGGCACCGTACGAGGGTAGCGGTAGAAGTGACTCGTGTTCAGGGCACCCTACGAGGCTAGCGGTAGAAGTGACTCGTGTTCAGGGCACCGTACGAGGCTTGTGGTAAAAGTGACTCGTGTTCAGGGCACCGTACGAGGGTTGCGGTAGAAGTGACTCGTGTTCAGGGCACCCTACAAGGCTAGCAGTAAAAGTGACTCGTGTTCAGGGCACCGTACGAGGGTAGCCGTAGAAGTGACTCCCATTACGAAAAAATGGGCAAGGGGAGCGCGGTATCATGTATTTTGAGGATTTAAGAAATATCGTTTAAACTAAAAACGCTAACAACCAGCCGATCGAAGATTATGAAAGTTTGGAAAATTCTCTACAAGACAAGATAAGAAAATAATTAAAATACGGGGTGTAAAGGTTCTGAAATCGTGTCAAAAGAGTGCAAAAAGTGAACTTTTTCATTTTTTTAGAGTTTTCTCCGATTGGGAAGATCTCGAAGACTAGGAGAGATACGGAGAACGCGAAGAAAAAACTACGTAAATACAAACTTATATATGACACAGGACTTAAAATAAAAAATATAATTGAATTATAAACTTACCATTGCAGAACACATCGGACTCCAAGGCACGGCAAATACGAGTACTGTAAATAAGAAAAGAAAACATTATATTCATGTAAGATTATATTCAAACAGCGGAGAAAAATAAACACCTATGCTGTTTACGTGAAAGTTACTTTCATCAGCATGATGGGTCATCCTAATGACGAATAAATGTATTCACCTAGCAACTCGACACTGACGCACAAATAATAAATAACATTACTATAGTCGCAAGTTAAAACTAAATAGTTGATTAAAAAACGAATATAATGCGAATTATGAAAATACAAGTTCGGACAAATGATACGAGTCGCGAAAAACACGTCTGCAACAACCAGAGACCGGCACGAACTGGCCGCCAAATGCGCAAGCAACGTCGCGACAGTTTATGATAAGAAATCAAGAGATGCGCGAAATCGGTGCGTCGACGGCCCGCAACCTTGTGCGCGAATTGCATTTGACACATTATCTGCGTTCAAAACTAAACTAAGATGTGGGAACATGCGGCGTGAAGAAATGGCAACGACACCCCGCAATGCGATAAGAAAGAGTAAATTGTGTACAGTACAAGTCTATTTTATGATTTTTGGGTCCTGCTAGTGCTATCTATGAATAATACAGTAGTTTCATAATTTAGATTATTAAAAGTAATTAAAAATTAAAATTCGATTTTCGTAATTTTGATTTCTTATGCTGACAGAGTGCCAGATTTTACATCAAATATTCAAGTGATATCTGCTTAAGTGATCTGCTGAAAATAAAAGTGTTTTGCTGATTGTAATTTTTATAATAAACTATTACACCTAATGTAAAATTGCTAGTTATATTCATGATTTGAGAATTGAAGAATACTTGCTTAAATTTGCGATGCCAATATAAACTGCAACGATGTGATTTTATTCCCAGAAATAAAGATTCGATATCTGCAGGTAAACAAACCACAATCTCTTGTGCGAAATCGCCTAATCGCACACGGACGCGGTGTGCTCTCACTACCACCAACAAGCAATATTTAACACGAAAATGTACATCGTAGTGCCATCTAACCGACTATCTAGTAACGGCAGGTTTAAATTTAAAACACATTTTATCAAATGTGCAACAAATAATTTAATAATGCCTAACAAATCGTAATATTGCTTTAATTTATACTCTATGGTACAATATAATAATAAATAATACATATTATATTCACACATCGGAGAAAAACATACATTCTGTGCGGAGTATCGAAATGGTGAGATAAAAATTACTTACTTAAGCACGAAGGGACCTCCTAAAACGAGGGAACAACATGGCAATCAATCAAATTGATCTAGCGATCGACAACGTCACACAATAACCGACAATAAAACCGCAGTATTCTTGTAATTTGAAATATAAACATCAAAAGCGAGCAAAAAAAACATTTACAGACGTTAAACGCACTATTAATCAATCACAAAACACAGCAGATGCATGTTACAATTAAGTCGATTGGTGACCGAATATAATGCAAATGTAGAAAATAGAAGTCCGATAACACGATACGCACCGCGCGAAATGCGTCTGCACGCGCCAGTGCCAGGCACAAAACTGGCTGCAAACCATCGTTAGCGTATGCCGCAGCCGTGCCAGCAACGCCGCGAGAGTTTATGATAAGAAATCAAGAGATGCGCAAAGCCGGCGCGTCGACGGCCCGCGACCTTGTGCACGAATTGCAATAGATGCGCAAAGACGGCTGCGCGTCGACGGCACGCGACCTTGTGATTGTAATAGACAATGTACCTGCAATAAGAACTAAACTAACATGTGCTGCCTGCGACAGCGCGACGACAAACGTGAATCTTACGCGTAGCATCTTGCGCGGCGAATGCGATAAGAAAATTGTTTATAAGCAAACGCACAGATTTGTATTCAAAACAAATACAAATCTATTTTATGATTTTTAGTTCATGCTGGTGCCATCTATGAATGATACAGTACTTTCATAATTTAGATTATTAAAAGTAATGAAAAATTAAAATTCGATTTGCGTAATTCTGAATCTTATGCTGACAGATTACCAGTTTTATATCAAATATTTAAGTGATCTGCTGATGATAAAAATGTTTTGATTTAAATTTAAGGATATTTGCTTACATTTCCGATGCACATATAAACTGCAACGATGTGATTCTATTCCCAGAAATAAAGATTCGATATCTGCAGGTAAACAAACTTATCTCTTGTGCGAAATCGCCTGATCGCACACGGACATGGTGTGCACTCACTACCACCGACAAGCAATATTTAACGCGAAAACGTGCATCCTTTGTGGTATGTTAATATATGCAACCAAATAAACCACTGTATTTGAAAATTTGCCTAGCATGATCTTGTTTGGCGTTTGACATAAACATCAACTTTTAGGTTGTGCTTGTGTTTGTCTTGCGTTTTAAAACGTTGCTAAGCTGATTTCTTCATTCAATTCTTGTTTTACAAATACACTACAACTTCTTGTTTCTATAATTGCTATGGAGTCGAAAATATCATTTGGTTTCAAAAAACTACCGAAGAAAAGCGCTGTGATTGGTGCAAAACCACCCGAAGAAAATAAAGTTGAATTGATTGAGTGTTTGGATGCTTCAAACATTAAAATTATTGGGTAAAGTATTACCATTTTATGTATTATTCAAGATTAAACTATATGTATTCTAACGTTTTAATATTCTAGCCATGTGGAAGAAGAGAAGAAAGCTTTAGTTATTCCAATGCAAGGTGCGAACAAAACCCTACTTGATAGAATTAATGATGCTAATGATCTCAAAGAAAGAAGTTTGCTCAAACATAGACCAATTAATAAAAATTAGTAAATAAGAAGGAAGAGGTAGTTGATTTGAGACCTGATGCAGAATTAACCATTGATGAATTGGCTGCAAGGAAATTACTTGAAGGTAAAATATACCTATAAAATTATTTTGAAATAATAACTTATCTGAACAATTTTAGAGGCGAAAAATTATGAAAAAAAGACGACTGCTGTAAAAGTTTCATCAATTGCAATTGAGGACCAACTTATTTTAGAGGGAGCAAAGGAATCAACAATGGATGATTATGAAGCAGTGCCAATTGGTGATTTTGGCATGGCTATGTTAAGAGGAATGGGTTGGAGTGAGGATCAAGGTGTAGGCAAGAAAAAAGTGTAAGTTTCACATACAATCTGTATACTATTCTATTTAACATATATGTTTATTTTAGTGAAGCCCCACAATTGAGACCTAAAGGAATGGGTCTAGGTGCAAGTGTTCCAGGGAATACAAGAAATAAAATTCCCTTAGATAAAGATGGTAAAGAGTTGAAACTGGTTAAAGATGCCAAGGCAAGGATTATTGCTGGAAAGGAAAAGGGAAACTATTGTATTGTAAGTATTTCAACTTAAAAATTAAAAATGTGATGAAACATATTTATTTGTTTATTATATGTTTATTTGTATATTAATAGGTGCAAGGATTAGATGATGATTCAGGTCGGGTGGTAGTGAAAACAACTTTAGCTGGGACCATCTTATCACTCAACGAATTCATGTTGTTTCCTGTTTCAAATGATGAATATGCAAAGTGTTCAAAAGTTTTAAGTAAGTTAAATACCTAAAACATGTATTTGAAAAGCTAAATTCAGTTTCCGATTGTAGATAGTTTTAAATTTGAAAAATTCAAAGAAAAGTCCGAACAAACGATGAAGAATGAAGATATAAAAAACGGAAAATATAAAGAAAGCAAAGATGATGATAGTGTTCAACACATTCCCAATGGAAAACCGGAGAGAATTGAACTGTCATCTGAATCGGAAGGTGAACGCGAAAAATATAAACAACAAAATACATCACACAAAATCAAGGTAAAACATGAACGTAGAAGTAGAAGTAAAAGTCGTGAAAGGAATAGACATAAAGAAGATAGGATATCTTCTAAGTCTAGCAGAAATTCAAGACGATCAAGATCAAGAAGCACATCGAGAAGTAGAAGTAACAAACGAAGAGAGCGCACTATTTCGAGAAGTAGAAGCAGAAGCAGAACTAAAAATACAAGTAATAGACATAAATCATCAGGAAGAAGCAAGGATCGTGCGTATTCAATCTCAGATTCTGATGATGTTTCATCAAATGATGATTATAGGCATAAGAGACGGGATAAGAAGACGAAAAAGTCGAAGAAACACAAAAGGGATAAAAAGTCTAAGAAAGAAAAGAAGAAGTCAAAACGGCGTTCTTCATCGTCAGATAGTTATTCGTCGGAAAGCGATGATTATGCTTCTTCAAAGACGAAAAGTAGGCGGTGAAGAACATTTAACAAAACAATATTCTTATCTGTAAATTCAATTAAAAAATTAAGTAAATAAAAAAGGAATGCTACGATGTATCGTACGAACGATGTTTTATGATAATATTTGGCAAATTATGGCTTCAACAATCCTGTAATTGTTTATCATAAAGCGAAAACCATTACAGAATATTAAACTCAACTCTATTTGATGCTGTGATTAGTGGAAAATTGCTTCTAAGAACTGGTGAGTTTTGATAGAACGTGTTTACATTGGTTTTAAGCAAAATTATTTGTTTTTGTAGCAAATATTTTGCTCATAGTCAAAAACTGAATACAAATAAACTAGTTTTTCATTATTTACGTATTTTCTGTAAAATAATGTAGAACCGTGTTAGCAACGCGGAACAATATTAGTTTGGTATTGCATTTTATCAAAAAATAAAATGTGTGGAAATGCAATCACGCCGAAACACGGAAACGATTTCCCTGTCATAATACACTCATGTATTACCTCGTCGAGGATCGATTGCTTTTTCTTTCAGTTAACAGTACCAGCACGAAACCCCCATGAAAACAGAGCCAAATATAGAATATCGCTCCTTTCCGAATCGATGTAACCATTTTACGAATGCTACTCATTCCCTCATGTCAGTCAGTCAAAGTCAAAATCAGACAAAACTGGTATTCATACTAAAAAATCCAAATTTAAAACAATTTTATGTTTGATTTTGTAAAAATAATAAGGACGTTCATTGTTAAATTAAAATTATTGTGTTAAAATTAATTCCTACTCAAAATGGAGAAAACTCCGTCCAAATGTGTTGAACCCAAAGCGCTCCGGCGAACAGTTCAATTAGAGAACCTTGCAAATCGCGAGGGATGGCGTCCGATGATTCACAGCCCTACAGGATCCAAATATGTTGGATATTGGCATCAAAATGATAAACACGGTACCAAAATTCATAAAAATAATTAAAACTATCTGAAGATATCTTTTTTAAGGTGTGGGTGAATACATATCTCGTAAAGATTGGATGTTTTCCGGATATTTCGACCACAATCAACCCTTTAAATATGGCGTTTCTGCGTTTGGGAAAGGTCGCAATATGTATGACATCCAATACCGCGGAGAATGGAAAGATGGACACTTCCACGGCCAAGGCCACCTTCATTTCCGAAATGGGAGTATTTTTAAAGGTACCTTCGAGTATTCCAAACGCGAGGGCTATGGTCAGATGTGGTACACTAACGGTAGTTACTATGAAGGAGACTGGGAGCATGATCTCCGCCACGGGATGGGTTTCTTAGTAGAAAGAAGCGGTAATCGTTATGAAGGATGCTTCTATAAAGGGCGAAAACATGGCCGCGGAGTGTATTTCCTCCTGGCGACTGGGCAATACATGAATGGCATTTGGGATAAGGACATGTGCGTTTCCAGCATCATGGCGGATATTCCCTATAGGCAAACAAGTTGCATGCCAACAGAATATACAATCAACGAAGTTAAACTGGATAATGAAGCGGGTCAAGTTGTAGACATTGTAGAAACCACATCATTTAAAGTAGAAGACTGTACACCATGCCAGAATTCGCCCATCATAAACAACGACAGTAGCAAAGCTGGCATGGCGGTGACTATCAATAACACAACGTCGAAATTGAAATAGTCTTATCGCATAGTTGCATGTTTAGTGTATAAAGTAAGAGTAAAACAAATTACAGAAAATAATGTCATTTGGGGTTTCACACGCTGTCACAACATAAACATACGGTTGTAAAACGAGCATGATATGCAATGGAATAATTAAAATTTAACATAATAGGAAGGAAGACTTAATATTCACTTAACCTTAAATTTAATGTTCCTAATAATTTGTAGGTTATATATTATTCAATTGCTCATCATTTACTCTCTTTCAGATCACAGTTCGTCATGTTTGAATCTTGTGCTGTGCAGACAACACAAGCTTCGATCCATCAATATCAAAGGTAAAATACATAAGTACCTTTCTCAGATTAAGTAAAGTTTCAAAATTACCTACGACCTAACCTATATATGTATATGGTTAATATAAATTTTGTTATAACTATGTGAAAGCATATCACATTTGAGTCGGAATGAGAATGTAAGATTACTTAATGTAAGATCTGCGTTGAGATTCTCATTTTTGTTTTGTTTTCGATAATAAAAGTCCTCAAAAGATTAAAACGTTCACACAATGTGAACACCCGATATCAGATCCCCGTTCCCGCGGGAATGATGATGGTCATGATCACCTAACTCAATCTTCTCCTTGAGCATCTCGAGCTCTCTAATACCCGACACCGACATTTCGTACTTATGCGCGACCAGTGAGCGATAAAAGTGGATCGCGAACGCGAGAAACACGAAGAGAATTGGCACGAGAATAATAGACGCCGACCATGCGGCAATCTCGTTGATTTCCCAGAATTTCACCCAGCAGAGAATGGCGATCTCGGCGAGGAAGAGCAGGAGGCCTAGTAGTGTGGAAAACGCCCACGCTGTTTCAATATACCAGTGGAGTCGTTCATGCGGACTCTCGTCGACAAGGCTGATTGCATCCAGGCTGCAAATGGCCTCGATGTTCGGTAATATGCACGTGCTGATCATCAGTGCGAGCATGTGCACGGCTACAAGTAGTGTTGTGATGATGGCGAATGCAATCAGAATACCGCTAGGAATCTTGTCGGGGTTTTGTAGTTGTAGCTCCACCATTGCTACCATGGCGAAACCGCTGAGCAGAGCGGATGTTTTACTGGAGGCCTTCAATTTTGCTCGGGATAGGTGGAGTTTTCGCCATGAGAGGTAACGTGGTGTGTGGAGTTCATCGCCGTTTTGGGACATTCTGTACTAAAAATTGAAGTAAAATATTAATACATTGAAATATTTAAATATTTACTTAATTAGAAAAAAGAAACAAAAAGTTAGACATTAAAATGTTACATTTATGAATTAAATTCTCATTTTTATCAAATGTGTAATAAGAAAAACATTAAAATATGAAATAAAACAATATCTAAGTATATTTTTAGTTAATCTTCAACATTATTTTAATCTACAGATAAAATTGATGCTTTTTTCACTTTTTAAACACTTTTAAACATTCTATTCACTTATAATAAGCAATAATTATAATAAATTATGGCTGATATCTCCAAACAAAGATAATAACACAAATTTTGTGTTAACTTATCATTATCTTTGAACAACTTACTTTGTTATGTGCCCTTTGAAAAAGTCTTTGTTGACTAGAACAGTCTGCAGTCTTCTTGCCAAAGTTCTGGTTGCTTATGCCGCCAACGGAGCTGGAACTCCAAACGGACATTGGTCGCGGCGAATCTAGAACAGGAAGCATGAATAAACCAACCAAATCACACACCAAATATTTTTCAATTGCTTACTAAAACTAAACTATCTAAAGACTAATAATAAGCTTATCACAGAAAAGTTCTCTATACTTTCAGATTCAAATAGATATAATTTATCTAAGAAAAAGAAACTAAAATGTCTAGTGAATGATCTAATTCCTTCCATAGTTCACATCTGACTAGCTTGTTAGTTTGAGTATTCTATGCAAAGAGAAGCACTGAAAACAACAAATTAATCAACAGATCTATCTGCGCAGTACTGCTGAGATCGTCCATATGCACTTATTACCAATTGATCAAATTGTTTATTATGGTTTGCTCATTCTAAGCGATTGAGAGCGTTAGCTGCACTTAATTTACTTGCCTGCACCACTTGCACTAGAAATCATCAATGTAACCTCAAATAATACGTAATACTGCGATGCAGATGCATCATTAATATAATATGTTATGAAAGAAAAAAATATATTAGTGAAACACCAAAAAGAAAAAAAAATCGCAGATGTATTTTACTATTTAAGTAGCACATTCATAAAGAGATAATAATAATGATAATGATAACATAAAACTATGCGCGGTAGCATTTTATTGCACTGCAAAACAAATGTTTGCATTTACGTTGAATATATGCACTGATTAACAATTCACAAACCTTATCTAATAATTATCTAATACCTAGATGTTCGTAGCACGTAAGTAAGCAGCCAGGCAACGCGCAACATATAATTTAGTATTTCAATTAAAAAAAAACCGCTTGTTTTCTATGTTTTCAAGTGAATTATGAGAAAATAATGCAACAGCCATGTTTGTTTGTTCAATTTTATAAATTCTCAATAATAATAGCAGCTATTAATCATCCGCCTGCAATTTTCTAACGTTTTTAACGTGGTTTTTTTGTTCAACAATGAAAAATATTTCCTACCGCTTGTGTAGCTCATGTTCGTTGCCATTCATGCAAACATTTAATTATCACACTCGCACAAAACTTATTATTCGTGAAAAACAAACGTGCATACATACGACTGTATGCAGAAACCGCCACGACGCCAAGAATTCAACTGTAAGCTGAAGACTTGCACGACTTGCGGCGCTTGAAGTGGCTTCTAGGATTACTATTACGACGCGCAAGTACAACCTGTTTACTGTGTACCCAAGTCATTCGCATTAATAATCCCCCGTATTAATTAATGGCAAATAATGAGCGTAGGTGTCGGTGTCGGTTTAATTCTATCAATGTATTTGTTTGATTTTGTTTGCAACATGGCTGACGATATGTGGGTCACACAGTTACAAAGAAATTTACATAAATTTGCAAGTAATACAATGATTCGATAAAAATAGTGATAATATATGGTATAAAATATAAAAATTACCATTGTGAATGGATTATTGTTCCGTTATGCCTCACTTTTCATCACTTGTTGAAATTTTTGTTTATTCGGAAATGGTTCGTTGAGCGATCGTCATTTGTTTAACATTCACAGTTGATTAATGTCGATAATCCTAATCAAATGACTAAGGCATTTGGATATTAAGTTCACCTCATAACTATTCGATTGCTAACTGTATTCTGCACGTCAGTTTGTTTGATTGTTTCGCGTGTGGTTTTCGAGAGTCATTCGTTAGAAAATATTGTAGATGTATTATTTAAGTGGGACGGCGGAGATTTACGTACGAGAACGCAAACATACCGCGTCAAAATCGTCGAATGCTCGAATGAAAACTACACGCTGACGATAGTTTTGTAAGTTGTGTAACGTGTGCGGCACGGCCACGGGCATGCGAATTATGCGATTGGTGCCGCTCCCAAGTGCGGTCGGGCTTCTAATTATGTCAATGTCGCCGCCATCGGCCGGCAAGTGTTTGTTTTGTTAACTTAAACTTATAAGCTTTTTATTTGAGTAACGGAGTTAAATTTGTCAACTTGCGAGGTAATTGAATGGTTAATTTATCTCTTGTTGTGAAAATAAAGGCAAGAATACTCGGAAAAATCAAGAAATCTTGAATTAAACTGGAGTGAAAGTTGAAATAAATTAAATATTGTTTCGAAGGTTTTAAACTTGACATAAAACAAACAGCACAATCAAAATCAGCTTACAGCGCCATCTAAATGTTATTTAAACGTGCAAAAATATACTTTAAATAAATTAAATTAGTATTTATTGGTAAATAATTATTAAATCTATGCAGATACTTAAGTATCAATTAATCAATAATTTTAATCATCTTAAACATATTAAAAAATACAAAATAAATTATTTTATTTTCTATTGTTCGAAAGTAGCTTTACTTTTGTATGTCACAACTGCAAGTTGCAGAAATTAAACTTGTGCATACTAGCGCCTCCTATGAATTAATTGTCGAACTAATATTCGCACGTGCCACTTGTTCAACGTAAATAGATAAATCAATGAAACAGATGAAACCACGTGAGAAATGTTTACATAACGAATGAAAATAAAAACGGGTGACGCGAGCGTGGCAAATTGGATTTTGCCACCGTGTAATTAGTAATTAACCACCGGATAACCGGATACTAGTTACAATTAGAACTAACGCTGCCACCAATTTTGCACATCCGAAAACACATTCTATACAAAAAAAGAAAAACAGGCGACTGAAAATAATGTTAACAACAACAACCAAACAGAAAGAAACAAGAGGAATGGAGCAAATAACACACAGTAACAGGATTATTTTATCTGATGGCTCAAACTGACCAAATATTGATTCAAAAAGCCGGATACGCCTTGAAACTGATGTGCGCACGAAGCGCGGATTGCAATTAAGGCACAAACAAAAAATCGCGTTCGCCGATCCGTTTTATAACCATTTTATGGCATAGACATACACTTATAAGTAATAACATAACATGTTAATCATGTTAAAACAAGTTGTTATACCGCTGCGAACGTTTGAGTTCAATTCATGCTCCAAACAGTGTTTGAATAGGTACATGTACCTAGTTATTTTAATTTTTGATTTATAATTTAATTACGATTAAAATTACAGCGGTTTATGATTAAAAATTACAGTATTCTGTTTTTTGATGCTAAAATACAACTTTATCAACCAATTTATTAAAAGTTATAAGTAAAAATGCAGAATAATTAATTTTTTTAATTAAAAATAAAAATTGCAACAAAGTTCCACTAGGAAATTGCGTGAAAATTGCATTGGTTGATAATTTTAATTAAAAACATGATTTATATTCAATGTTTTACTAATAATTTATTTTCGGTAGGTCACGATATAATTGAATGTAGTCGACATGCATCTAAATGTCAGTTAATTGTCTTTGTGCACGTTAATAAATTATTATCTTTATGACGTATTGTTTCATTGTTTTTTAAATAATGGAGATTTAAACATGTAAAACAGAAGCACTACCAAAACATGCAAATAAAATTAATAATAACAATTCAAAAAACTCAAAGTGAATATTGAATGTTTTTCAAAATCATGTAAAATTTTGTGAAAATACCTATGTTGCAATTTATGATTATCTGTATTTAAGATTGACAAATAAAATGACTAACACAATATTGCCATAGGTAATGAATTTATAGGTGCAATAAAGGCGTGTCTTGCAATTTACAATGCATTTGGCAGAATCTACATTCATAAAGCTTCATAAAATGTACATACGTTTTTTCCTTTGGGCCAGTGGCGGATTATGCTTCAGTGGGGCCCTAGGCGCAAATCAAGTTTGGGGCCCCTAAATCCGAAAATTTTCAAAAACGGTTATTAGCCCAGTAAAATTAATAGTTTTAGCGTACGCGCGCTGCAAAGTCTACTTCAACATTCGTTTGTGCCAAAAACTCATTTCCACACCACCATGAGGTAGAGTACGTGGCGCGTTTTTTTTATCGTGGCATCCCCAGTAGGCTTAATCCACACGCACTATTCCAAAATTTAATGGATTATCTTCCGATTCGCTCTTCGCGATGGACCAGGTGTTGTGCGTTAATTGTTTTCAGGACCGATCGAAATATCACAGGTAAAATTTTCTGCCATACTATCCGCGATGGGATTATCGTTTTCAATGCTATCTTGGTTCTCGAGTTCATCGTACGTGTGCTCAAAAACGGTAATCGTATTTAAATACAAATTACAAATTTTCTTTTCTTGTCTTCTCTTGGGCAAAGATTTCAATAATTTTGTCGTACTTTAGTTTTTTAAAAATATCATTTTCTATGAACATTAATGCGAAGTCATTTAAGTGCTCTTGTGAAAGACTATTGCGCAGATAGTTTTGACTCGTTTTAAAACTGAAAATGTCCTTTCTCCACTTGCATTAGAAACGGGCAAGGTCAAAAAAATTTGCAGTATTGTATGTATATTTGGAAAAGTTGATTTTAGACCATTAATATCCTTAATATTTTCTTCTTGTATGTATTTTAGAAAATGAGTTAACTCATCAGTAAAATATTCTGGCTCAATATCTTTTTCATACTTAAGACAATAATCGCTCTACACAATTATTAGTCTCAACACGGCTTAATTTTAAATCAAAGAACATTTTAAAATCGTTAAGAACTTTCATATAGACATCGCCCCTTCGAGTAATTTCTGATGTTAATACATCACATACAATATAAAAAATGTTGACAATAAAAAAATTTCTTTACGAAAATGCTGTATCATTTTTGTTCGTTTCATCATATGGATATTTGCGTTTTCTTTGTCTCATTTAGCCTCCTCTTCAACAGTTTCGAAATTATTTCTGACCTCTGTTATAAATTCGTTTAATGATTCTAATAAACTAACACTATTAAGACACTTTGGTTCCTGTAAATATTTGCTGGTAATTTCGATTCTCTGTAGGAGTTTGTTCCAGAAAATTGTTAACAGTGCCGTCTCAAATTGATCGAACTCTTTTGATAATTTTTTTGCTTCTAATTTTGAAATTGGTTTTCCTTTTTTTTTCATTGATACCTAATTGAGTCTTAGGGCTAAAACAGCGTCAGCTCTTGCGGACCATCGTGTATCAATTATTCTCTTGATACTTTTAGAATTCTTATCCTTCATGCATTCAGTTAAAATATTCCACCGTCTTGTAGATGCAGCAAAGAAAGTTATATATTTTGCAAAAACATAAAATACTGTAATGCTCCAGAACAAGATTCCGCTGTAGTATGCCCAGCCAAATTTAAAGAATGACTTCCACATGGTATGAATTCAGCTGATTTGGAATGTTGTTTTATGCGTGCCTGTATTAATCCACTGTACTTGCCAGACATGTTAGAAGTGTTATCATAAGATTGGCCCCTACAGTTTGTGATATCTAAGCCATAATCATGTAACTTTCTAAGTACAATTTCTTCTAACGACTCACTGACCACTCTCTGTTTTTTTTAATCCAACTACCACCCCAAAAATCTAGATAAAAATTGTAGGAGGATAAACGTTGGTACAACGTGTTCCGCAGATGTGAAAAATGATAGAAAGACGAAATAATTAATATTCCAAAAAGAGAGTTACCCGCTATTTTACAACCTCAATGGAATATTCCTCAACTCATCTCCTCCACAGATGTTCGAAATTTTAAAAAATTGGCAATATACTACTCGCATTATAGCTACAACTTTCTAACGCAATATTCAAGAAAAGGTCACAAAAATTCGTGGCAGAAAACATCCAAATTTTATTTTAAACAGTTTGCCATAAAGAAATAAAATCGGAGATAAAAAGTTTTAAGTCAGCTATATATCCGTGACGGTTGCTTTGCGGACACGTGTGAAATGCCGTTTTGGTCGCCAAGTGAAAACCAATACGCTATTCATAAAGGCTGAGGTCAAAACCAACTGATGAAGTATTTGTGGAATTACTATGTCTATATGGGACATATAAGTGCCAGGGGCCCCTCAGGCAGCCGGGGCCCCCCAGGCAGCCGGGGCCCTAGGCGCGCGCCTAGTGCGCCTAGGCCGTAATCCGCCACTGCTTTGGGCAAATATTAAGAGTGGGATAGTTTTTTCTTACAATTTCTGCGATAATTGTGTAAGGTACGTAAAAGTATAATTTTGGGCATTCTTCAGAGTGTATTTAATGCCTCACACTATACTGATTTAAACAAACTTACTCGTATTGCAAGTACAAACAATAAAGGTGTGTTTGCCTGCATTAATAACTGCAATAAAATAAAAGATTTCATTTCGCCAACATACTTGCTCAGTTACAGGTACGTGCGCATGCACACCTTTAACACGAACCGAAAACAACTTTTAAAAACAATTTAACACAAACATCAATCGTCATAATTGACAAAATTAAAAGAAACAAACGAAATATATCTACACAGTTATTCAAAAGTAAAGAAAAAACATGAAACATTTGCTAATGTGTGATTTTGATTTGATTTCGAAACAAACTAATCCCCAAGATCAAACACAGCTAGAGAAAAATAAATTAATGAAAATGTAAATAGATTTTCGGCGGCGCTTGCCAAAAATGTTGCAAAAGAAACCACCGGTCACGCAAATGTTCGTTTGAAAATTTGGCAACACGCAGCGCGATGAACGCTTGAATATGCCTTTCAGATCGAAATGAAAAACGATTCCAATTGTAAGGTGAAACACACTTTAAACTTGCTGCTGTGCGTGTTTAACGGTTAGGTTTTATGTGTGTGTTCATGAAATGTCATGATTCATAAAACAGTCACAAGATTTCAGAGCGTTTTTCGCGAGACTTTTGATTTTCAGACAACACCTGCGAAAACCCACACAAAAAGCACAAAAATACGGAAGAAATAGTTCGCATATTTCGCGTGATTTTACGCGGCGCAATATTTACAGGTTTTTAATTAATTACTCCAAAAGTATTCAATAAATTTGAATAATTTTTACATGAATCTGTTTATTATTAAATTAGAAACCTATTTATGAAAGAAAAATAAGTTTAACTATTTTTAATAAAAAGATACAAAGCAATTTTTGTAAATTTTATTTTTTTTTACAAACAACACCTTAAATTGTTTATAACTTTAACAAATATTATTCAATCATTAAAATTTTGACGTACTTTGATTGTTAATTTAATTTCTAATCGATTTGTGAAGAAATCATAATTTTAGCTCAATTTTTTCTTGATTAAATTAAGAAAAACGAACAATTTTTCAATAAATATTGCGCCACGTTAACAGGCATTAAAAATATAAATACACAAAAAAATTAAGTAGAAAAGATGATTTTATCTACTTACGCCGATTTGGATCGTAATGATTTTGCATAATTTCATTCCAATTATAAAAAACACTTTAAAACATTCAAAACGTTAAGTAAAACTTTCAAGAAAAATAAATCACTTAAAAAACACAAACTTTTTCAGTTTTCAGGAGTTCTTGTCGAAGAAATTCACAATATTTATATTAATTGTCCGAAATATTTATAATTATTTATTAATAAATCTGATTTAGTTAGTTTTGTGCTACAGTATTATTTAATTCACTTTAAATTATCTATTTCTTTACAATTTAAGACTTTTCATCATTTTTTTTATGATATTGTGACCGTCGTGACGTTGTGAAGGCTAGCTGAAAGTATGGAATAGAATAAGCACACACGGAAAGCACTCGACTAAGTGCCTGACGATAGACTGAAAATGTGATTCGCGCCGAACATAAATAAAACGAAATTTCGTATGTGGCATTCGCGACGAGAGTTTCGCGGTCACTCGCAGTCCTCATCGCGTGTCGAATTGCGAATTTATACAAACAATAAACACGTAGCTTTCATTCCACTCATACCTGATGTGCCACTCATCGGAAAACAAACAATATTTGCTTCAAAATTTAAATAATTGCTTGAGTAAAATGATACATTTGAACTAACATGTATGAGAAGTTGCCTGCGCTTGATATTACCGAAAGTTTATTAATAAGTAAAACATTAAAGGGTGTATAAATTAATAGTTGAATTAAATTTGTTTGATTTAAAAAAATTATTGTATATTTTTAATATTAGGTGAGAATAAACTTGAAAATGTAAAATGTAGTGTAATAAAAGTTGCCTAACATAACACACCACCAAACAGAAAATGTCTCGCATCGTCAATAAGCAATTTAATTTCTCATCGTGTTACAGGAGTTGCCTATAGTTTAACCCAACTTTAAAAAATATTAAATTTTGCTTCAATAAAAGTGTTAAAAATCAAAAAAACCTTGAAACAACTGCAATAACATAATAAATAAAATATTGCAGCAATATTCATACAATATTACTAATATATAATTAAATTCATAAAACCTGCATGTTTTCCCTGTTTTTTTTCTGAATTGTTTATGACTTTATTTAGTAATTTTGGATTTCCCACTCTAACTGTGCAACAAACTAACGAATCGCACCTGTATTAAAGCTGGGCAGACATGCGCTCACCTGCGTTCACCTAGCGTCGGCGTCGTAGCTATTACTCGCTGGCAGTTCGCATCGTTCGCATCGTATAAAATCAAAAGTAACGAACGCGCGGCCGTCACTTCCAATATTATTGTCGCGCGCTGTCAAATTGTAGCGCGTCGAACGACCCGCGTTTAAATCCAAATTCACAGTTACACCGTTAATAATAATAAAGTGCGATATTACAATATTCACATTAAATTAAATTAAATTAAATTAAATACGAATTGATATCAAAGTGTCAACCAGAGTGACATGACAAGTTGATCAACCTCAAAACATTGGCAAACCGAACAATTCGAAAAGTTTTTGTAAGAAAAAGTGCGTTGTGCGTTTGAACCATCAAAAAAATGGATCACAAACTGGAGCGTAAGCAGCGGATAATGCTGGACGACGACCGCAAGTTCGCCTTGATGAAAGTAAGTCACAAAAAGTGCTTAAATTCATACTAAAACGAAAGAAAAAGTTTACGAAATTGTTTTTATACGCATAAACATAAATATAAGTACCATGTTTTTATTTATATGATACATGTATCACAATGCGCAATGCATAGTCGAAAATTTCGCTCTGGAATTTTTTTTCGGAGGCAATTACGAGTAAAGACGTATTACGCACAAACGCGGTGTTAGATTACATTTTATAGAAAGTTATAACCGAATATAAAAATTATATCTTTGGGTGACAGCAAGTATCAAAGTACATAAAAATCAATTTAATTCAAGAAAGGAATACATTTTTGTATTTTTTAATTGTGTGCATTATTTGTTGTGTATTTGCGTGAAACGTGCGGGAAGAAAAAGGAAAAAAATCGTCACGCCTCGCTACGAATTTCGAACTGTAACTTATAATTCGATTCGAAAGCGTCCGGAGTCCGTCGCAGCGTAATTATTATTCTTTTCGTTTAGGATCGCGATTGTGCATTGCATTTACGTGTGCTTCATGCGTTCGTAGCGCATACCGCACGGTTAATCGGAAACATGAATACAAACAATAATAACAAAAAAACAGCGTGTTTGTGTGTAAATAAAATGGTAAAATATGAGATTTTACCAAGCGCATGGAAGGTAATGGTTATGCTTTGTATTGTTGAATTTAATATGAAAGACTAGCTGTTGCCCGCGACTTCGTTCCCGCAGTGTTTAATAAAAATGTAATTCATTTTTACTCTCTTGTTCTAGACATATTCGTAGTAAGAGTCAATTCTATCAATAAGATTAGCAATTTTAATTTAAAGAAATTATGCATATAAAGTTTTGTCAATAATGCACTTCAGCGCCCCATCTCGAATTCAACTATTTAACTATAACTATGATTGAATCTCAATGTCAAATTTTATTCGATAGAAAAGAGCTGTTTTGAGGATTTTCCCGGCAATTATTCGAATTTTTCTCACCTTTTAAACCTTCCCTAGACCTCCACGAATAATTCAAGACCAAGATAAGATATATCCGTTGAGCCGTTCTCGAGTTTTAGCGAGACTAACGAACAGCAATTCATTTTTATATATATAGATATATAAACTAGCTCATTGAATGTGTACATGGTGTACATGGTGTAAATGAGTAATTCTTTATTATTTATTATTAAATAATCATTTTGTGATAATTTTGGTATAAATTTTTACTAAATCAATCACTAGATAATTTTCTTGTTTTCTTAATAAGAAATGATAATAATACATGTTAGAGCCATTCATGTGTGAATTATTCTACAATAAGTATGATTAAACTTTCATCTCTTATTTTACACCCTTTCAATTAAATTTTTGGGGTAAAAAGTAGCTTATATTATTCTCCTAGGTCCAAAATTTATTCATACAAAAATTTATCAAAATTGCTCCGGTAGTATATCCGTGAAAACGACACAAACATACAAACTCACTATATTTCTTCGAATATGTAGTAATCCTTTTTGTTAACATCCTGTGTACAATTACAAATTGAATATTTAAATATTTCATTTCCGTCTTGTGTGTAATGATGATTCGAATGTATTCCTCTACTTACCTACACAACTCATTTCGAATACATTTAAATCTCATTATTCGATCGGACATAGATGCAACCGCCGATTGTGGCAATTATTGTTTATAATGTATACGAGTGCACCTTAATATCGTGATGGTTGTGTCATTGTGATGTAAACCATTATTTTGTTGAGTTCTAAGTGGCAGTTTCCACTGCTTTTGTTTAATCATTAAATTAATGATGTTCATGTGTAAATTAGTGTTAATGATTAATTTATAGCAGTTAAAAAGTTCGACTTTTATCATTTCATTTCCATACACGTGTCTTAAATGAACACTGAGTGAGTGGTTTTTGCGATGTTTCAAAATCATCACAATTGCCTTCGTTTTTTTTATTATTATGCGTCTTGCTTTTAGTTTTTAACCTTGATTACTCGTGGTTTTTGATTTTGTTACGTTTTCAACAAAAGCAGTTGTTTAACTTTTTATTTAATAAAATATAAAGTCTATTATATAAAGTCTCAATGTTAATGTTTATATTTGTTTTTAAGAGGTATAATTTTATGGTAACGGTTGCAAAATTAAAGATTTTTTCTTTATTTCTGTAGAATTGGTTGCCTATACCATAAATTTAATTGATTATATTTAATACTAGCCTTAAACCGCGGCTTCGCTCGCGAATATCTAAAATAATGAAGTTGCATCCGTACGCGTCTGTAGTCACAGAAGAAGTAACAATGAAGTAGAATGACGGGTAGTTTAAAATGGCTGAAAGTAGGGGAGAGGGGGCCAAAGTGGGCCCCATAAGCGAAAAAAGGGGATTTGTTTACCTTTTTTCACTCGTTACCCTATTTTTTGCATCCTTGTTCAGTATTCAATATTAATAAGCCGTGTCTATCAAAATAAAAAAAAAATCAGAATATGGGGCAAGTGGGCCCCCGTCCATAAAAATTTTGCTATTACCTTTGTATCCATTTTTTTGCTTATATATATTTTTTTTTCATTTCTTACTTCGAATTTGTTAATGGAGTTATTTTCCCCTCTTATTTATCAAAAATTTTAGGGGGCCCACTTTGCCCCTCAATTTTTTAAGCCACCTGAATTTCAGGGGCCCACTTTGCCCCCTTCCCCTATAGTCTATGGAAGTATAGTGTACAGTCTCCATAGTGTAGTCAATTGGATTTGATGTTGACGTAGCTGTCGGTAATACAGTGTGATAATGCAGTGTGATGGTACTATAGTACTTAGGTTTGAGCTTCATTGCTAGAATGCTAGATGGCGTTAAAGTAGTCAAATAGCCAGATGCAGAGGTATTATTGGCTAAACAATTTCTTTATTTTATTAAAAAAAAAAAAATTATTAAATAAAAAGTAGCCTATAACCATTCGGGGACCACTAAGAATATGTGTACAAATTTTCATGATGGTCTGTTAAGTAGTTTTTGCGTGAAAGTGTAACAAACATCAGGACTTTCGCATTTATAATATTAGTAGGGATTTATATATTTAATTGATAATATAGTTAATATTGTACACAATAAAATGCAGTAAATGCTGTATTATTTTGTCCATCAGCCTTGGAATTTGAAGATTTTTTGCTGTTAAAGAATATTTTTCTTTATTTTATGTGCATTAATGGATTTATTCTTCATTTTCAATTCATTTCCGCATTTAAAATACTCAAAAACAATCATTTCTTTTGTTTATAACAGAATAAAAGTATCATATTAATGTCATGGAACATTTGAGAAGTGTGAAATGGTCAATAAGTACTCTTATAATTGCCTATCAACATTGGAAATAATGATTTCCCTCAGCGCGTCTGACGCGTATAAATTCTGCAATCATTACCGATTATGTCGGAATACGCGGAAATTGGTACCAGTAAAAACAATTCCACTGTAAACAGGTAACATAGTAATTATAGGCATTTAATTTGCTAAATGTGTGCACGCAAGGTACGCAATATTTTAATTGCTGTGTTGATTGCATGTGTTGATTGTCGCAATATTGAAATCATAAACGTGATGAGAAATAAAATTCTGTTTTTATATGATTTTATTAATAGGAAGAAAAAAAAATGAATACCAAGTTAAATTATCCGTAATTCTGCATTTCTTAATATAATTTAACAAAAAGAAACTAAATTATTATGAAGAATATAAAGGTATAAAGTTGTGGTGTTTTTAAAATTATGTTTACTTGTTTGAAGACGTTGTAAATTACAATAACAACATCAAAATAAACTAATTAATCGTAGAATAATAGTATTTTGTTAAATTTAGAAGCAATGTGCAAATAATGTTATTGCAAACATAAAACTGAAATTCGTAAACAATTTTTTGCAATATATAATGATGTATTAGGTAGGTACTCGTACATGCGTATTAAAAGAAGATATTTATGAAAAAATAACTTGCAAGACTTGTTTAAAACCGGATATTATTGTTGGTAGTCAAAAATAAACCCACAAAGGTGTCCATACTATTTTTTACTGCAATTTCAAGTAAAAATTAGTTATATTTTTCTTGTTTAGTTATAGTTTTTTTTTGTAGTTGATTAAAATATTTGCCCCACCTTTATCTGCTGCGGTAAAGATTAATGATTAATTAAATACATGAAAACATAGTTTAATAAATCATCAAAGGTTAATTAAATTTTGTTTAATTAATTAATAACTAGAACTATGAGTCCAAAATGCAAGAGGTATAAATATTTAGACAAAAAAAGGTTATTATGGATTTCCAAGGTCAAGTTATTAATATAAATAGTATAAATATATTCAGTACATTTTTATAGGTTAAAAAAATAAACCCATCGTTTATAAAAATCATGCAATCAATTGTTGTTTTGATTGTATCTACTCGTATGTTACTAACTTTGTAATACTAAGTACCATAAGTACATACTTGAACTAGTTAAAAATAATTTTAAGATTAAAGTTTCAATTATTTTGTTTTGTTCATTGCCCTATTTAAAATGCTTATCATTTATTCATAGATATTTGTCAATACAATTGAAAATGAAAAGGTTTAAGTACTTTAGTCACGGCCTTGACCGCTCGTGTTTAAAGAATCACTTTTTGTGTCTTAAAACAGTAAAAAACAGGCGCTTTAAAGATGGAAGTAGAAAAATGTTATTAAAAGTATAATAATTAATGCAAAACTTTGTTTTTTTATTTAATTGCCCCATAATAAAATTAAAAGTAGAAAAATATTATTTTGCACATTGAAATATGAATTCTGTTATTCACCATTTCATCCCAGACGAAAACAACAACTAAAAAAATTATATTTATGAAGTAACCGACAACAGATTGCAATCGAAGAGTTTTAAATGTCAATAATCATAATTACTTTAACTGCATGATTGTATACACATTACACATGGACAAAGTATGCACAAGAACAGGTACAACTAGTTCATTGTCAGCAGTAATTACACAACTTTG